GTCCCGGAGACTGCCGAGTAAGATTTCGTCGGTGATTTGCTTCAACTGGTACTGCAGAAAGCGGTACATAACATGCTTGAATTGCTCCTTCCTGGAAATGATATTAGCCGTAGATGACCTCTTGTAGTTCTCCCGGTGGTTGTGGTTCATCCCCTTATGAACTGCAAAAATGTCTGGGTTTGGAATTGTCGGGGCTTGTCATGCACATTTTGCATGATCCGCAGGGCCTGTGATGCTGGTGCTAGCACCACAGAATTTTTGAGAGCTTCTTGATGGTAATTACGCATGAGAAATGCCCTCTCTGCGTGACAAGAACTGACTTCTCTTGCTGCTCATGCAACACAGACATTTTTAGAATTCGCAGACAGCATTACAAGCTCCACTCTTCCAGACCCAGACATATTTGCAATCCATACCCCTTCTCTGTTCGCAATACAGCTTCGAAATTCGCTTCCATCGCGTCCAATCCTGTGCAAAAGTATCGCACTCTCGTACTAATTGCGTTTGTGCATTACAAATCTTTTTCTCAAGGCAAATCCGCACTACAAATTTTGTAATGCTAAGTCAATTAGTAATGCAATTTATACTAGAAGTACGTTGCTTTTGCATTGCATACGTCCAAAAACTGGTCCAAATTCTTCACGATAATCCGGTGCTCCACGAAGGTCGGCAGGGGGAGCTTCTTCTTGGAAGGAGGAGCAGGTAAAGTTGTAGTAGATGTAGACCCATTGGTATTATTAGCAAGGGACTTGTTCGACGTCGTGCCGTTCCCGTTCATCTTGTTATGCACGACATGAAGATCATCTTCCCTTATACAACTGTCGTCAATCCTCCGGCCATATTTGTGCCGGAACTCGGTCCGTCGCTTTTTCAGCATTTCCTGCTATCAAATGTAAAAGTGTCTGGGTCTGGAAGAATGCATGTTTGTGGTGCTTGTCTGGCATGACTCTTAAATCTGTCATGCACGTTACCCAAGGGCTCCATTTTTCTATGATGCAGAAACGCAGTTTGTCATGCAGAATAAGCAATACCTAGAAGCTCCGAAACTTGTGATGCTGAGGCAGCATTTGTGGTCTCATCATGAGACGCCGCCCAGCATCACAAGTTTCCAGACCCAGACATTTTTACATTTGATACCTGCGTGGACTTCGCAATGGCGAAGGCAAAGGGCTGGATGACCTTCGTGAACTCCTTCCTCCTCGCACTTTTGTCTTCGGAATTTAATATTCCAACACGGTCGTCGCCGTGGCCTTCCAGTAGATTCTCGAAATCCTTTTGCCAGGCCTCGAACTCGTTTCGCCAGATTTCGTCCCGCATAAGCTCCGCGTTCATTTGATGCCCCCCACGAAAAATACCTTTATTCCGCGTTTTTCGCAGACTCTCCATTTCGCGTTCGATTTGAATACGGGTTAATTTCTGACCGCCGCGGCCTGTGATCAACTCCATATCCACATCCAATTCCGAGTCGCTGCTGTCGCAAAAGTCATACACGCACTTCGTCGTGGTTTTCTCCGCGAGATCGTTCTCGATCTTCGTTATCTGCTCCTCGAGCTGTCTTTCGAAGTTTTCGTCGAAGTTGTTATTCTCCTGATTTCCAGTGTTGTTCTCTACTTCATTCACTAAACTTGTTTTCGCCCACTTTTCCAAGATCTTCATCCAGTCCTCAACACAGTCAATCTCGGTAACTTCCACGACAAGCCTCTCATACAGTGTCCCCTGTTCCTTCTCGTCCAGAACAGCGCCAGATTTTTGAGTCACCGCGCTCCCTTTACTACTCGACTCAACCGTTGCCGCCGCGGTGTACGTGACCGGGCTAGACACGTGGTTTCTGCACCAGTGGGTCTTTTATCAAATGCATAAGTGTCGCACACGTCTTGTAATCATGCATTACAAATCTTTTCCTTAAGTTAAATCAGCATTGCAAATTTTCTTTCTCATGCTGAGGAAATGTGTAATCCATTTATACGAGTACGATACTTTTGCAATGCATATCTTTCCGCTGTTCTTCGGGCCGAAAAGGAAGTTGATCGCGCGAATTCCATTCTCGGGATCTGCCGCTCCTGGGTAGTTTTTCTGGAAGAAATTCGTAAAATTGGATCCGCTAACGGGCTTTCCGGTTGCGGGGTTCGTGAGAGGTTGAGGTGTTGTGGTAGTCAACGACGACGTGGTCCCACTCGCAGCTCCACCTCCTCCGGGTTTGCAAAAAAACTCGTTTTCCAACGGGAGGTGCTTCGCGGCTTGTAGTAGGGAAGAATCCACCTCGGTCAACTGGATTTTCTTTTGATAAGGTTTCTTCATCAAACCAGTTCCAGAAGCAGGGACATTCAAACTCATGTTCATCTTATCGCTCTTCTGTGCATGATCCACAATCTGCCTGCTCAGTTGCTCCAAATCGGACCAGGTAGATTGGTTGACGTTACAATTCTTGGGCTTCGGGTGAAGAAAAGGAAGCTGGTTTATCAATGCATCTTGTGTGCTCAACATGTCAGGCTGTGGCTGCGGAGCTTCAACCGCCCCTGTGGTCGAGTGGTCAGCACGTGCAGCCGTGACATTGTAGAAGTTGTTCGTGCTGCATTTGCCAGATAATAAATTTTGCTGTCTTGTTTCCTGCTGGTGCCCACTAGTAGTTGTACCACTCTCATGCTCCAGCCCCGGCTGCTGTGACAGCTGCTTTGCTTTTGGCTTCTTGCGCGCCATGGTGCTGGTGGATGTCCTTGACTTGCTTAGATAAAGTTTAACAAGTTATATATTGATGTTGAGCAGGGTGTTCGTGTTGGCGGGGTAAAAAGAAAAACCAAGAATTTAGTGGTAGTTTGATTACCTTTTTCGGTACAATAGTGTGGAAGTGGATCGAATACGATCACAAAACTAGTTCCACTTTTGGGTGGAAGTCCGCTGCTCTTCTTGCGTCTTCAATACGAAGAGCGCGAAAAGATGGGGCGTTGATAGCTGTACGAACTAGAACTACGTCTACGCGAAGGTTGTACTACAACTCTGCACAAGAAAGTTCAATTTGGCTCTTTTTTCCGACTGATACCTGGCAGTACAGACAGATTCTGGAAACTAAAGTAGTACAGAAAGAAATGATAAAAAGGAGTGAAAGTGAAGGTTTCTAATATGATGGTGCGCAGGTATCGGTATGTAGAAGTGGTCTCACCAATCCTATTTGATTCTGACGCGTAGTTATGTGTTGCTCCTATGCTAGTTTAGGCCTATGCTATCAACATAGTGGCAGATTTCTATCCGAAAAAAATGAAAAGGTAAAAAACGAATTTCAAGTAGAGAATACGACGACTCACAAACGATCACGACTTCCCTTGGTCACTAGCTGCTTAGGCTGGTGCTTCTTGGGCGGGAAGAAAAAAACCACTTGTCGCTTTCGCGATACTACTCGGAACTGAAAGGGTGGTCCTACTTTGGATTATTTCTATGGGTAAGTTGTTGTAGTTCGGGAGAAAAAGAAAATGATTCTTGCCGTACTATCGGTGGTCTATTAGACCACAGCCAAGACCTCACAATTTTTTTTATGTTCTGGTTGAAGCCAAGGCCACAAACCCGAGTTTCTGGATATCAACTGTAAAAATGTCTGGGTCTGGAAGAATGCAACTTGTGATGCTGCATTTGGATTCCAAAAAAATCTGTATTGCATGAGCAGCAAAGGGAATCCAATTTTTTCTACGCGGAGAGGGCATTTGTCATGCGGAATAGGCATCGCGAAGCCCTCAAAAAATCTGTGATGCTAGGGCATGCATCACAGACATCATGGCCAATGCAAAACATGCATGACAAGTCTCAGAATCTTCCAGACCCAGACATTTTTACATTTGATACTGGAAAAGACAACTGGTCGATAGTACTCGAGAAGTCCTGCCCTAGAAAATTCTAACAAAAGCAATCCTGTCTAGAAAATTATTGTTCTGTGGCTCTGAAGATGTTTCTATCGTCCTCCACCAGTATAGTTGTAGTTCTACAAAAATATTAAATCTTTCATTACCATAGTCGGATTATGCCGCGGTGTCAGAAGCTGCTGCTGCGCCGGCACATATCCGTACTACATTCCGGAGTTGATGTAAGTATTTGTATTTCTACGTGGTTATTAAGTGGATAAGGATATGGTTCTTTCTATCCGTGCTCTGCTAGGCCGGAGCTGCGGCTCACACGGCAGAACAAGTAATTTCTAGGAAGTTGCTGTTTTGTCAGAGGTTGTCTAGGTGAAAACTTATTCAAATCTTGCGACTTTTCTCTCTTTTCCTGTGCGGTGGGGTTTTTTGTAAAATAGGAAATGCAACTAAGGGACGACAGACCACGAGAATAAGTGCAAAGAAAGCAAAGTGATCCATCGCGCGTGAGCAAAAAAGCAGAACTAGCAAGTATCTATCGTTGGAATTGGAAATGTTCGACGCGGTGATCAAGAATAACTTTCTTGTTACTTCCAATCGCGGCAGCAGCATACACAGCCAAACGTCGCAGAAGATCGGGTGAAATCAGAATGTTGGGCTGCACTGCAAACAAATCGCGTCGTCGCGCTGCTATTTCAGAATTTTCGTTTTTCTTTCTTCTCCTACAAATAATTTCTCAGTGTGCACCTCGGATCGTGATCTTTTCGTCACAGGGGAATCTCCTCGAAAATGCTAAAATGCGGATCCAGATCTTCGCTTGCTATGGAGCAGTGCTGACGACTACTACTGAATCACGCCGTACCAGGACCTTGTAACTTCGGTACTAGGCTTTTGAGCTTGTTTCATCCTTCTAATATGCTCTGTCTTCTGAGGTTGTGTCCCTAAGCTTTTCTGTCAACATGATGATGATCGCCGGGATCTGTGTCACAAGGAGCAATCTTCAGGAGTAGTACACCCTGCATATTATCTACTTCAGATTGCAGTGCATGAACCAATGTCTATCTTAGACACGACGGCTAAGTAATATCGATCCAGAGCGAAATGAACTTGGCGTCACCGGGTCAGCGGTCCTAGACGAGGTGGATGCTTTGCTGCTGGTCTGCAGACTTGATTGTGATTATGATTTTAGGCGTCGACATCAAAGGGAAAAAGCATTCGACTTGAAACTCCTTTGCAGATAAAGTGGTTGCTCTTCACATAGTGCCTCACCAAGCGACAACATGTTTGAAGTGCTGTGATTCCTTTCACTTCTTCTATCTTGTTTTTCAAAAGCACGAAATTCATATGTGCAACAAACTACGCTCACATGTTTGCCATGTTAAGCGTAGTAACTACACAAACTGTTAATCATTTGAAATCTAGTTTGTGTAGTTATCCAAGATTTCAAATGATTTTCCGTTTCAATTTCATCACAAATTCAAATCACTTCTACTCCTAATTCGTGTCTGATTCTTCAAAACTACGGGCGCGTTTCCCACTTTATTTGCCGCATTTTTGTTCCCTCCAACAACTACCCCTCCAGCGCTATTTGCAGCGCTGGCTAGTTGTATAATCCCGCCTCCACGACCACCACCACCACCACCACCGGGAGATGACATACCTCCGTTGCTCCCTCCACCGGCACTGTTATTTCCAAAGAACTTCTCGTACCCAATATCGATGCTCCACCGTCGATTTTCCCTCTCCTTCTCCACTTTCGGCAAAGTCGGGCTTGGTTCCCCCGGCGCTTTGTAGTACTCGTAGTCTTATGCATTGCAAATAAAGTATGTATCGTGCTAGTAGTAATAAATTGCAGCACAAATTTCATCTGGTGCAGAATCGAAACTAAAATTTGCCATGCAGAATCAGGCGGCAAAACACATCTGTTATGCATGACTACAACTGCAACTAGTACGAATACGACACTTTTGCACTGGATAAGTTCCTATCAACTGTAAAAATGTCTGGGTCTGGAAGAATTCACGTTTGTCATGCTTGTCTGGCATGACTCTTAAATCTGTCATGCACATTACCCCAGAGCTGCGTTTTTCTGTGATGCAGAAGCGCAGTTTGTCATGCAGAATAGGCAACGCCTAGCAGCTCAGAAACTTGCCATGCTGAGCCAGCATTTGTAGCCTCATCATGAGACGCTACCCAGCATCAAAAATTCTCAGACCCAGACATTTTTCCATTTGATAGTTCCTCCGGTTCGAGCTCGGCCGCGAGATGATTTTCCAGTACGGAAATTCCGTTATGGCGTTCTCAACTGTTACACTCTCAACTGTTGTATACATGAATTTGTGATGCAAGAACCGCAACAGTTAAAGGGGCAAGCTTGCAACTCTCGCATTGCAAGTTCGGCACAGATTCAGGTTCTGTTTAGCCCACCTTCGGGGAAGATTTGTCACGCGAGGTGGCTTGATCGTCTGGTGGCTCATGGTAATTCTGCATGACAAATCATGTTGTTACAGCTGAGAATGTAACGTTTGAGAATCCCATATCCGTCTCAACCCGCTTCGACGCGTTCTGGCACGCTTTTTGGTACAGACACACCGACTCTTTCAAATGTTTCTCGCTAAAGATTTTCTGCGACGGCTGCAAGTTGTCCAACACTTTTAGCTGTTCCTTCACCTGTTTTTCACCGGTAGAAACTATTTCCTTCAACAAGTTTTCCATCCCCTCGTTTTCCTCTTCGATTTTGAAAATTTCGTCCTGCAGCTGCGCGTATTTCGGAATCACTTCCGACAATTTTTCTAATTCCAGATCTCTTTGCAGCATCTTCGTCATTAATTTCGAGAGCTTCTTGCACTTCTTCTGGTAAAATTTCTGCACTTTCGACAGCTTCTGCAGCATCTTCTCCTTGTCCTGCTGCAACAAATTGTGTTCCTCCTCCCAGTCCTCAAACACCCGGATTTGCAGCAAGTTTTCCTCCCGTAACTTCATCGACAGTTCTTCAATCTCCTGCTGCAAAAAATCCTTGATTTCCGGCAACCGTAGAGCTTCTTCGTGTTCTATTTCCCTTTTTTCCGTCTCCCGCTTGCGCTCGAACTTGCAGAACAACTCGAGAAACCGCTCCAAGTCATTCAAGCAGTCGATGACTTGCAGCTCCGCGACGGACTGGCGTTCCTCCAATGCCAACGACATCTCCAGTGCCCGCTGCAGCCACTCGTTCGTCTGCGGGATTTCCTTTTTGCTCACCGCAACCTGCGCCCGGCGGACGAAGTCATCGTTCGGGAAAATTCCCTCGTCGTAGAGGGAGAGCAGCACCGGCTTGAGCAGGTGGTCTAACGGGTGGCTTTGGATCATCGTGCTGACGTTGTTTGTCAAGGTTTTGGACGAGTTGTCCCGGTTGAACAAGTTGAGCTGTAGAGTGGTCCTATTTGTGGCGCGACCCGACGGATCGTTGTGATTCATGCTCTCTGTCGTGTCTTCTAGCAGGGTTGAAAACCTGCCTGCACCACCACCAGGTGTCGTATCGCTTGCAGTAGTTTGTCGACCTGGCAGTAGTACGGAAGTTGAAGTTGTCCTCTCGGCCGCATGTTGGGCTCCTGTTGTTCCTGCTGCTGTTGAAAATGGTGACGCAATTGCATTTGAGAACCGCGCCATTGCCCCTGCGGCGGACGGACTACTATTGATGTTCCCAGCTGCATTAGCTGTACCTGCGGCTGTTATTCTATGCGTCGTGGTTGTTCCGCCTGCGTGGCCGCTTGTTTCGTGCGCAACAACACCAGCCCCGTTTCCTCCAAACAGGGGGTTGTTTATCGTACTGGCCCGCACATCGATCGGTCCTGCGTAGAAACTGTCGCCGAATAATTGCGACGAAGATCCAGCTCCCCGTGTCGTTCCTGTGCTAGGAGTCACCAAGTTTTGGAAGAAGTCTTGGAACGAATGTTTGCTCGACGAGGTCCCGCTAGTCGCTGTACTTCTAGTACAAATCCTGCTCATTGTCGCAGCTCGGATTACTGCAGTGGCCCTGGAGGCGCTATCTCCTGATGACACCGCTTTGTTCAACACGTCGTCACCACCACTGGTTTCGTTTGCAGCTGCGAGTTGCAGCTGGTGCGCAAAAGTTGCGAAACCAGTCAACTGCGAAATCAGTCGGAGAAATTGCGGCAGGGTCACCTCCTCAAGAGGCTCGTTCGCCGTAGGCTGGTTTGTGCCGTTGTCATTTTCTGGATTTGCGGCACTACTAGTTGTGACAGCACCCGGTAAAGGTGGTAAAGGAGCATTTCCCGCGTCTCCTGGCGAAGACCCCGAGACCGGGACTTCTATATGTGCAGAGTCAACATCCCCATCTGCAGTCGTCACTGCTTTCAACGAAGTAGATTCGCCGAGCGCGACATGGCCTTCTTCCCCTTCTTGCGCAGCACCATCGCCAGGCGTACCGAAGGGACGGCTCGAACTAATCATCTCGCTAACGACCACAGCGGCGCTGGCGCCAAAACTCGCTAGATTGCTCGTAGAGGACGTTCCACTAGATCGGGACACTTGTTTATTGAGACCCAGAGCACTATGATCCTGCAATAGTGCAACATCGCCACCAGCAGCACTTGTACCCAACTCGTCAGAAGAGCTCATTTGCTCGTTCGAGGTACTCACGCAGGTTAATTGTCCTTCCTCGGAAATGACCGTGCTGATTTTCTTCCTCCTCAACAAATTTAACTCACTATTTCCGAAAATCACTTCCGGGAGCTGCAGCAATCTCTTAATCCCGTCCTCCTCAAGGATCTTGACGTAGTGCTGATGCATTTGCGCAGTTCTACTCATCTGCTCTTGATGATAAAAGAACTCTTCACCCGCCGCCGGCCCTCCTCCTGGTAGATGAAGCTGCCCAGGTGGACCAGCATGCTCATGAAGATGAAAACCACAAAATTGTTCCACCTCGTCACAGAACAAGTTCAGTCCGCGCACCAGAATCCCCACGTCCGCTATTGAAATCGTCGAACTGGCCAGCGTTTTCTTGAACTGTAATTCCTTACTCCTCTCGCTGTTTTGATGAAGATGGCTGCTCGAAGTGGTGTTCGCCACGGTTTTCTTTCTCCGCCCTGGTGAACCTGCGCCGCTGGGACCACTGCTGGCCGCGCCACCTTGCGGCTCATGTTTCAAGGCCGGCACGGTGGGCGTGCAGAAGTGAAGGAAAAGTTCTGCGGACCGCTTCAAGATTTCTTCTTGGAGGGCTTTTGGACTTGATGTTGAGGCTTTTTGACTGGCAGTTCTGCCTTGTCGTTCTGCGTCACTTTTATCATGGTTGTGGTCCTCGAATAATTCATCTGCAGAAGCAGAACTACTGGAACCACCAAGAACAACTAAATTCGTGCTGCTGGTGCCACTCGTCCCAATTGCACCTGCGCTGAAGGAACTACCCTGAGACGTGCTCTTCCCGTGATTTTCATTTTTATTCTCCTCGCTCTCCAAAACATAAAAATCCGGGTACTCGTGCTCAAAGTGTTGCTTTACCGCGTAATCAATGAGCGGCTGTAAGGCGGAGATTTGCGGCTTGCTCTCGGCATGATCTGCAGTGGGTGTACTAGTTTGTCGGCCAGCTGCAGCTCCAGGTTTATTTTTAGCACCTGCTACTAAGCCGTCTTGCTGGAGCTGATGCGCAGCGGTCGCAGCTCCCACGGAGCTGCGTGCCGTCACTCCTGTTCCCGGTTGTCCTATCCCGGTAGAGGACAGGAGGTTGCGCATGGAGGAGGGCATGGTGGAAGAGGTAGTGATCTATCCTATGTGTCCGTACTAGCCGTAGGCGTAGGCCTATCCGTATGCGTCGAACTTGATCTTACATAATAATTGTGTGGTAGTGAAAGCAAGGATTCAGCTGCTACTGTACAGGTCGACACTTTTTGTACAGACAAGAATGAGAAGTTCTTATCCTCAAAATGATCTAATGACGCACTTCCATTCGTCCCTCGCACTCCCATTCGTACCGTCTTGGCACTTCTTGCCCTCGTCCTGGCCACCGGCGCAGCCAAATCAAGACCTGCCTAGTACATCTGCCACTCAAACTTGTTTTAGCCATCAGCTTCAGTAGCTGTTCTTCGTGATGGCAGAACACGACGGAAAACAAAAAACTGATGACACGACGGTCAATCTAGTTGTAATTTCCCCCATCTGTACCTTCATCACAGGGTACAAACGTCGACTCTGTATCATGTAGTACGTGCCTTCTCCAATCGAGTTGTATGCTTTCTGTCTTCTGTCTTCGGAGCGAAACCGAGAATTCAAAAATGAGCGCAAATAGAAAGTGGACTCTAAGTTGTAACTTCTACTGTGGTGCGAGTACACAATTTAAACTCATGTCATGCAACTGATACTACTTGTAGGACTGTGTACTGTTACTTCAAGCGCAAGGTATTTGTGTGGACGCGGACGCACGAAACTGGTAAGTCCATGTTGCTCTTAATCAAGTGTGGAGGACGGTACAAGTGCAATTTTTTACCTCGGTTGCGTAAAAGTAATGAATGAACTTGACACCTATGTTGCTTATGCTTGTCATCGACTTATACAAAATAGGAATTGCGAGCTTCTCAAAAGACAAATCAGCAACAGCTCGCGGAGGTTCCGCCCCCCTCACCACCACCGTCACCGGGTTGTTGCAACAATTCACTCGCCGAAGTCACCAGCGTGTTGATGCCACAAGCTCCCGTCCCGCGCGCGATACGGAAATACCCCTCCTCGCCCCAATCCGCCCCCCACGAGTTCCGAATTTTCCACCATTTCATCACGACGGAGGTCGTCCCATCTTCAGAAGTAGAACCCATTTTTTCAACCATTTCCGCCACCCTGTCCGCCGCGGCTCGGACGGATCCCCGGGCCATAACGCCCTCGGTCTGCAGCTGCAAGTGGTGCTGCAGCAAGCGCTTGGTTTTTCTCGGGTGCTTCGGAACCATTTCCGCCCCGTCTTGGCCAAAAGCGACGATGGCAACACCGTGATCCAACTGTTCCGGGTTACACATCGAAGTTGTTTTCGGCGTAATGATCCCCCCGGAATACAATCGTGTATGAAAGTGGACAACGAAGAACAACTCTCGAGTGGTCTGGTAAGGACCCCTTCAATTTTTTTGAATGTAGCGATGCAAAATTACAATAAGCTGGGTTCTATCCCTGGCGTAGTCGCACGTCGTCTTTGTCTTCTTGATGCAGGAGTGCATGCGCAGTAATACAAAAACTTTCTTCGCAATGGAGCAAAAAATGACCCCATGGAGAAGCCGCAATTAGTCTTGAGCGTGCGGTCCTTTCTCTTGCTCGCATGTTGTAGACAAGAACCTAGAGTACTTCTTCTCCACTGTCGTACTGCAAACCGGCCCCTTTCGCATTGATTCCGGCTGACAAAACCCCGTACTTCATCAATGCCGCCGCGATTTCGTCTTCCACGGTGCTGATGGACAAAAACTGCTGGACGAAAATGCGTTCCCGCGCCGGGTCCTGATGACAGCCGTTTCCATCCTTTCCGATGTAGGGGTAATCGCTCTCCAACTCTAACCCAGTCTTCGTGGAGATCAGCCACTGCGCTGCCTGCGCCTGCAAACCCCCCTGGCACCCGAGGCTACTCGGGTGGTCGCAGTCTATCAGTTGCTGCTCAGAAAGATCGTACAGCTGCTTCAACTCCAGTAACGCCGCCCCCTCGGCATTCGCCACGGTGCTGAAGGCCCAACAGGAACCGCAGCGGCCCTGGTTTTTCACCGGGTTCGTGTACCCGTTGTCCAGCCAGGAATAACTGTCGGGTAGAGACATCTTCTTCGGGGAATCTGTCACAGTTCCATCAGTCGCTCGAGTATCCACTGCGAAGGAAAGTATCGCACTTGTCGCACAATTTGCAATCTATCGTTCGAACACAAATCTCGTTCAATTCATCCCAAGGTCAATCAGTATCAGCATGACAAGCTCCATATTTGTTCAACGAGCAAGTTTGTGAAGATGCAAGTCGTCGTACTAGTACGATGTACAACTTTTGCAAAACATACCGATCCGCGCCGAGCAAATGCGGCGCCTTCGTCGAGTGCGCCGCGACCATTTTTTTCAAATCTGCAGTGGCTATGGCGTTCTCAGCGAACTGTTACATCCTCAACTGTTACATGAATTTGTGATGCAAGAATGGCAAAAGTCAAAGGGGTGACCTTGCGCGCCTAGCATGACAGATTTGGCGCAGATTCTCCGCCTGTTTGGCTCTTCGAGAATTTGTCATGCGAAGCAGCTTGATCGTATCAATTCTATTTCTATCTAATTGTGATTTTGCATGACAAATTCATGTAACAGTTGAGAATGTAACGCTTGAGAATGCCATAGTGGCTGCGGCTTCGTTTTGATCCGGCGTATTATCTCCCGCGACATTCATGAATTCACGCTCCTCCAAGTCGGCGAGGGGGGTTAAGTGAGTGTGCGGAATCCAATTGTCGTCGTTTTCGTTCAATTTTTCCAGTTTTTCGAGGTTTTTCAGGAAGATCTGCTTCCGCTTGGTCTCCTCTTCTAGTGATTCGTAGTGCTTTTTGTAGTGCTGTTTGAACTCCTGCCACTGGAGTTCGGCGAAATTAGTGTCGTCGGGTGGAGAGACTCTTTCCTTGTGAACGACTTGCTGCAAAAGGGAATGATCTCCTCGATGTAGTAGATTTGGATTTCCACTATTCATCATAACCTGCGGCTGAAGATCCCAAGATGCTTCCTCATCGACCAAAAAACTGTTTCTTGTGGACGATGTTTTGGACATGAGACCAGTAGCACTTACTCCCATCAAGTTCATCTTGGCGGCGAGGGGCCCGGCGAAAAGAGAAGTCGTGGCGGAAAAAACTACAGCAGCCGCGGTGCTGACCGCCGCAGGTGAATTTCTGGTTGTGGACGATATTGAGAGAACCATCGTGAAAAAAAAACCAAAAAAAGTTCTACATCTTGTTGGTGTTTTTATTTTGAAAGAAGAGAGAGAAACTAGACCTGGTGGTGTCCGGTGTGTTCCTGATGTAGACGTAAAGTTTACGAATAAAAGATGATGATGATTGGTGACAAGAGGAAGCTGCTTGCGTCCTAGAGCTTGCGGTTGAGCCCCCCTGCAAAGGAAATGCATATTAAATGGCGCTCTTTGTCGTGTTGGTTCAGTAGACCAAACAAGAATGACTTTATCACGGAAATGAATTGTCGATCCTTCCGCCCAGTCTATGTACGTGCCAATACTTCTCTATGCGGATCTTCCGCAGAAGCTCATCGGCGGTAATAGTGAAAGGTCAAACGTGCTCCGCGAGGTCGCAACGCTGCATCAAGGAGCACCCTCGCAAGCGTGGGATGCTTGTGACAAGCGCCCCAAAGCACCGATGCCAAACGCGAAGAGAGCCGGCAGAGACACGAGTCGGGATCGAAATTCACATCTTTTTCACTTCATTTCACATCACTTTTCACATCTCTCAACAGCTGTCAATGGCCGAGTGTACCTTCTTGTGCATGATCATGATCTCCCGTGGGGTCCTAGTGGATGCTGCCGATCAATTGGCCGGGGCAACAGCCGGGGCAAGACGTACTAACATCCGTCATCTTTAGCACATCCAATTACACACGCGACACCGTGTACGGACGCCGCCCGCAATCACACCAACACCGCTTCGTTTTGAAGGGATGGGAGGGAGGGTGATTCAAAACGTGAGAACCACAGGGCTACCCGGGTGATCTTCTTAGATCACCAGAACAACAACTGTATTTCAACGTGCTAGGACACGCGGGTATCGAAATTCATCTGCTTTTAGTCGCATCTTGTACGATTCTTTACAAGCTCAATGAATTGTCGATCCTTCCGCCCAGTCTATGTACGTGCCAATACTTCTCTATGCGGATCTTCCGCAGAAGCTCATCGGCGGTAATAGTGAAAGGTCAAACGTGCTCCGCGAGGTCGCAACGCTGCATCAAGGAGCACCCTCGCAAGCGTGGGATGCTTGTGACATATTTTCCCATATATCCCCAAATCACCACAACTGCGCAAGCAGAACACGCGACGCAGTCCATATTAATTGCTCTTCACCACCTTCTCGTTCAACTTCTGGAGCCGTATTCGCAAGTCGTCTGCAGGGATCGTCGACAAAATCAGGAACGGGGTCTCGATCGGTTCCAGCAGTACGCCATCGTCCTCGAAAGGTTGCGTGTGCGCCTTCAGAATGGAGACCTTGAAGAGCTTTGCTGTCATAAACATAAAACGAGATTTGAATTTCGGGATCAATGCAAGCGCCGCCGGTCGGTCCGCAATCCGCAGCTTGGTCCACTTCATGAACATCTTCAGGATGGGGTACACCAAGTCCAGAGACGGATGGAACCACGACACGTGCTGCATGAGGAACTCGTCGGTCTGCTGGAAGCAATCCCAAGCCGCGTAATCGTACAGGAAGCTGTTGCAAATTGCGTTGGAGCCGTCGCGCTTCGACATCGCATCTAGCGACGGGTAGCCGCCAAGTCGTGCAAACACTGCATCCCTCGTCCGCTTCTTTAGGACCTTGTGGGGATGCATGTCTTGGAGTTCGCAGCTAAGTCGTAATCTTGACAGCATGTCCGCCACGATGTTGTTCACACCTTGAACATGTTCCGCAACGAGTGATATGCCGTGCTGCGCCAACAGGGATGCAATTTCGCGACCAGTTTCGGAAAGCACTTTGTTGTTTCCGACATAAAAGCTCAGGTAATGCTTAGCACACTTATTATCGGTTCTTACCAAGATGAGTTGTCCTCTAACCCTATGTGCTGCTTTCCGAAACAATTCCAGCCACATGACCAGCTCTCTTCGGTTGGAGGAGGATGCGCTTGCGTCGATTGATTCGAAGGCACTCGATTCTCTCCATTCGTCACTGTTTGCCGTCACCCCCCACGCCTGCTTCGATGCATCGCCCTTCAGCTGTGTGATGCTCTTTTCCGGAATCTGCAAAAGCGTTTCTGGCTGGTCTAGTATCGAAGGCGTAAACAAAAACAGCGCCTCGTCCGCTTTTTTGTGAATCGCCAACCTCGGGATGCGTTCTAGTGTATCTTTCCACCAAAACCAGTCCCGCAGCATACTGTCGGTCACTTTTATTCTCGGATTCGCCCGCTTGTTGCCTTTCGTCCAAAGCTTTACCGCACCGCTTTCGGCCAGGGCGTCATAAGATGCGCGCAGAAAAATACGTCCAGCTCGTACAACGAATGTACAGAACGACAATTTCCCGACCACCGTGCACAATTGCTTGGCCTGCACGTATTTGCTCTGGAACGCAAACGAAATCAACTCGGCCAGTGCTTCCAAAAACTGCTGCCTTTTTCCCTCTTCCACCAGGATTACGAGTTCGTCAAGATGAATCGTGAATCCGATCCAATCGAATCTCATTGCAGGGAAGATGTATTTGTCGAGTCTCTTGGCCTGCCACTCGTGGAGTCGAATACCTATTGCTTCAAAAACTTTTCGAAGTCTGATCATTGTCCGGTATACTGCTTCGAAGTTCGTCGGGTCGCGTCCGTCGGTTCCCCTGAAGTCGTCGACGAAGTCGAAGAGCTGAAGTTCTGGGTACAATTTTTTCGATGCTTTGATGCATTGCTTTATACTGGAATCATTGATGCCTGGTGATATCGCGAGGCCCATCGTGGCGAAGAGCAAGCTTATTACTTTTCTGCACTCGTTCATTGCTTTGTTGATTGTTTCCCGTGGTATGTCCTCTTCCGTCGTGTCGTCGTCTTCTGGCAATCTAGGATCATTTAATCCCATTAGCCTGCGGCTCAGAGCCGCTATGAGCCAATTCCAAAAACAATCCAACGCATCGGCTCCGAATACGTATGCGAACTGCTTGAGGACCGCGAGGAAGTCCTCTATGGATCGGTACTCCGTGGGGACAGGAACAAGCAGGTCATTTAATCCCACCACCGTGAGATCAAAAACCATGCGGGGTCTGTGGGCTTTTATTATTATGTTTGCCGGCGCCACCGAGAGACTCGGCGGGGCTTTTTGCCTGTCGCCCCAAGCTATTGCTTTTCCTGTGCTAAGCAATCGCTTGATCTCCTTGCTTGCTGTTTCCCGATGCTGAGCTACAGAAGGAAAATCCGGTCTGTCGAATGCTGGTTCCTCGCCTTCCGCGGCCGCTTTTTCGTAGAATACCCCTTCCGCTGTTAATTCCAGCTCGAAACCCGCCAACCAACAGTGCTGAAAGTAGTCGTCGATCTGCAATTTGTTGATGACTTCTGGGTCTATGCTCAATGCCTTGAATGCCTGTTCGTCCTCCATTTGTCTATAGTTGTCCTGCGGTCCCGATTGGTCCTTCATGTACTGTAAGACCTCGCTCCTGTTCTTCGGTATCTTTTTTCCGTTCCAAAACCGGTCCGTCACTGGCAGTTGATCTAGCTTCTGCTTGACTTCAGCATCCACTTCGGCATCCCACTGCGGGACAGAAAGAAAGAATTTGCGACGGAGGAACTCCGCTTCCTCGTACGACAATTCCGGCATTTTGGTGTGCTGTCAAAGTCTATGAATAGTGATGACGCGATCGCTTAGCCTGCGGCTGTAACAAACGGCGCGACTCCCACACCACTGTTACCACGACATGAAACACCAGCCATCCGTGCGCGAGCCTTTGCTTACGCAAGAATTTGCCAATCATCAAGCTCAATTTCTTACACCAACTTCCTTCCTTTCAACTTGTCCATCGTGTCCACAATCGCCTTTGCTTTTTTTGAGTCACCAAAAATGTCAATTCTGTTCATGATAGGGTTGCGCCTGGTGCAATTTTCGAGCAAAAGACTCCATTCAACTTTGTGCAATAACTCCCGGTGCTCCGACGAAAACACGTGATGAATATTTTCAATGTTATCCATGTGTTCATCAATACGAAAGTATAAAAACTTTTCAGCTACTTTCTTTACTTGGTCTACCTTTTTCAGCTTCCCCAACACTTGTACCACGTTTCCAATTTTCCTCACCTGCTCCATGGCTTGCAACGCATACTTTGCAGCGTTAGCAATTTGGACAGGTGTACTTTTCGCGTACACCTGGTCCACCATGGCCCGGGACTTCCACCCTCCTAGCATCTGTGCTAGCTGTCTGTCGCCGGTGGCAAAAATTTCCGCGCCGGACCCCCGCAGCGAAACTCTCGGTCTTGCTGCTATTCCTGTTTTCTTGATCATTTCCTTGATCGAGTCGTTTATTCGCTGCGCCGTCATCCTCGTGAACGTCTTCTGCGCCGCGTGGAACGAAGTGAGTAGCAGCTCATCCTGCGCTTCCACCGCTTTCTGGTTCACGTTCAGGTCCACCACCTCTAGACTGTCCTGCTCGCCCCGTGCCGTAATCACCGTCGGGTACTTCCACTTGTACTGGTGCTGCAGCTGCTCCCTGATGCTTCGTAGTGCTTCCACCAGCTGCAGGGGCCGCGGCCGAAGCGAGTCCACATCGGGTACGACCGCATATGAACCCACTCCCAACCGATCCGTCTTGGATTTGGCGATCTTAATCTTCACACTGTAATCTGCAAACGAGGTCGCCTCGACGTCCTGCGTTCTTATGTACTGAAGCTCGGCCTTCCGTCGCTCCGCAAGCACACCGATGCGCAGAAGAAGCATGTTTCGCACCGTCGATGCCAGCGAGGTCAATGCGTTTTTCTGCGCCTTTTTCATGGCGTACTTCTGCATTTCCGGGTCTGTCCAGCTTCTGATCATGATGCCACCGTCTGCGTGCTTTGTCCAGATGTCCCTCGTTTCTTGTAGTAGCGTGTTGTTAATCTGCACGAACTCCGACCACGAAATTTTGGATTTGATGTGGGATTCGCTTTTGCCGTGAAAGCATTTCAATTTTATTGCATCACGCAACCTGACCACGGAGGGAGTATACAAGGACCGGCAATCCAGGTTCGGAGCTTTTGTCTCATGCATAAATTTCAATGCCGACAAAAACCTGCTGAAGTACGACCACCGCAACAATCCTTCCCCCGTTTCCCCCTTCGACACGACGCCGAATCCTTTCTCTAGTAACACTCCGTACGAAGTGTAGATCAACATCGACAGGTCGTTGGAGCTGGTCAACGGTAAGATGCTTGGAGGTAGTTCTGTTGCTTGTAGTGTTGTTTCGAGGATGCTCGTATACGATGCCTCCGTGTTCGTAGCCACTGATCTTGACCTTAACTCCTCCATCTGCGCCTGCATGGCCGTGAATGCTGTTTCCCCCATTGCGTCAATCATGGTTCGCGGGTTTTCAATTGCTCTGCACCACACTGGTATCAGAGGCTTGCGGCTCCCTGTCGCCCCCACCGTGCCAGACTTACTGGCACTTCCTGCAAACCTGTCTTTGGCCAGCAGAAGGTGGCCGTCGTGTAGTTGTACGAAGGATAGCGCGTGCACCGCTAGATCCATCGCAACTCCGACCAACGCGGGGACCAGCGATCGCACCGACAAGCGCTTGTTCGAAATGAACAGATCAAACAAGACCTCCTTCGCCTTTTTGATAGCAGCCGTCAATACTTGTGGCATCGCTTCTCGCGGTCCAGCAAGGTTGACGCTTTCGCCTACTTCCGCAAGTCGTCTTTTGAGTTCTACATTTTTCGCCGTAAATGCTGCATCCGCTAATTCCCAAACTTCGTCGTCGTATTCCCCGTCTGTCATGCGCTTCAACCCGATTGCGTTTAGTAGTTGTTGTGGCGGTGTTTTGCTGCTTGCTGCATCGCCGCTGCTACTTTTGCTGCTTCCTCCTATAGCCAGGTCTTGCACGATGCTCCCTAAACCCGGCAGCGAACGTTTCCGCTTGGCTGCTCTGGCACTGGGCGGCGTTGCAGAAGGTGTTGAATCTCCTTGCAGCTGGCGCCAGGCATCCGCAACTGATCGCGCTCTCTTCGTTGTTTCCTGTACTTGTGTTATCTCCTGCTTCGGCTTGGGATGCGAGAGCACAAGCTGCTCATCGCTAGCCTCCGCCTCCTCCTGCGGAGCGAATTTATCCGCGCCTAGCATGAGTCTTAACGCATTGCTTTTATCATATTTTTCAATGAACTTTCTTTCTAACAAATCCTCGCGCTGCACCTCTTGTGCAGACGCGAATTCGTCGTCGCTCATGCTAAGTTGTGTGACATCTTATCGCCTGCTTCCTCCTCCATCTCCCGTCTCTCGAAGTCACTCTATTGATTTTACAACACCTCGTTGTAAATACAACAGCCGCAGCATGCGCGAGCAGCAACTTTGCTGTCCTCGTTTGCGTGCAATCTGATTCAGTTTTCCTTATTCCTGGTTTCGTATTGTGCCTTCAAATATGTTGATGTCCTGAATTTTTTTGAGTTGTTGTTTCATGTTCATTTTGACGGACAACTTGGTCCCAGATCCTCTGCTATAATTTTATAAACAAACTAAAATAAATTCAACAGCATAATCCTGAAATTTAATATTTAAATTTTATAACAAGGTCGCACTTGTGATGTTTGTTCCCAACAAAACCTCCCTTAGGAGGCTAATGTGCTATTTTTGCTTTCCTATCGTGTCGTGGTTTTCGCTTCTTTGCATTCATGGGGCCAGTGCTTATGATACTGTTTGCAACGACTACACACACCGTGAAACGCATTGCCTTTTTTTGCGCATTCTTTGTATGCATGCTGGGGCACGGATCCATCTGCAATCCAGCAGTTGCGACAACCCGGCTTACCATAACCAAAATAATGATCCCACCACAAAAACATCATCTTTTGCGACTTCGATGCTGCCTTCTGGCACGCCTCCCGGTTGTCCCGTTGGCAGAAACTCTTGGTTTTCTCGTACTTCTGCATCAGCGGCCCGAAGATCTTGTTCATTTCCTCCCACTCCTCGGACTTGACCGCTTCGCTGTAGTCCTGCAGCGAGAAGTGCTCCCCCTCCGCGAACTTGTACTTCTTTGCTGATGGTGGTGGTGCCGCTTCCGAATCCGGTCTTGCTGCTGACGCTGATGCCATGCTGTCCCGCTCCCGTTTTCTATTTGCCAGCTTGGCCTTGTCGTCGATGCTCTGTTGCAATCGTCTGGCCGCTTCTTGCGCGGGTACGAATTCCTTACCGAAACTGCCGCCCATCGCTGCCACCTGGATCTGCAACTGCATTTTTGGTTCTGCAGCTGCTAGTTCCTTGCTGTACAGCGATTTCCACAACATGCTCTCCGCAGAGGATGTGGCCGACTTCAGCATCAATTTCGGCTTGGAATACAACGACTTCAGGAGTGTTGCTACCCGTGTTCGCGCCGCGTGGTCCAGTTTGTCGGAGTCGATGGAGTTCTTTTTGTCCAGCAGCTTTTTCGTACTGCTCACGCTCCACACCTGCTCTTTGATTCTGGTGCAGATAAATAATATTTCATCCAACAACGCCAGCACCAGCGTCCTCATCTCCTCGCTCTTGAATAAGTCGAGTTTGTTGGTGTAAAACACTTTCATTTCGCCGTAGAAGGTCATGAAGTCGCTCAAAGTTGATTTCCCCGCCTGCCAGTGCTGCTGTACCGCCTCGTCGTCGGATTCCTTCAATCCTAGCGCTACGCCAAATTGGAGATGTCGTCTTGTTTTGCTGACTGCTTCTTTTGTAATTGTTTTCAATGCCTGACTGCTCTCATCGAGTGCTGAAGAGGATGCTGCCCCTGCTTCTGCTCGTAACCGCTGCTCTTTAGCTGCCTTGATTACGAAGAGAGACTCATTGTCTTTCAGCGCTTTGACGTACTGCGGCATCATCGGGAACTTGATGCACTGCTGCGCGCGCACCAGGTCCTCCGCGCCTTCCGAAGAGCTTCTTGCTCTCGCGCAAGTCACCGCGAAACTCATCGCAACCGCGATATCTGTGTGTGAGATGTCATCCGATGATGTTCACCACAACCCAGATCTATAAATTTGTCACAAACAATTACTCATTTCCTGTCTTCATCAAATCAACTATACCATTCACAGATTCCTCCGTTATCTGGCCGCTCAACTCCTGGGTCACTGGTTGCAAGTCTTTCCCGCCCCGCAGCAGCGCTGATTTCTCGCAGAAGTTACACACTCCTCGCTTGGGGTCCGGAAAAACAATTCGTAGTCGTGGTCCACCCGTCATGTTGCACTCGTCGCACACTCCTATGTGCTCGCACTTGCTGCACAGCAGGTAGTCTTCCTTGTCCTGGAATCGTTGCTTGGAATGTCGCTCGCCGCAGATCTGGCACGCCATCTTCTTCAATTCGTTTTTCAATTCTTGTCGTTTCGAGTCTAATGACGCTTCTAAATTTGTATTGGTTAAGTTGATGTCCGCAAGTTCCTTGTGCACCGACACCAGATTCAAGGCCTGCTCCTGGATTCTCGTCTCCTTCGCCGATATGTCGATTTTCTTGGTTTCTAAATCACGCTCGAAGTTTTTGATCCCATCTTGGAATCCCTTCGCGATGAGCTGAATCCTGGTCATTGCTTCTTTGTTGATCATTTCCTTCCTCATTTGGTGCCTCTTGTGGTGCAGTTTTTTGTGGTCCTCCGACAATGCTGCGCACGCCGCGTCCGTGGGTTCGAGAGGGATGTTGGCTTCGACACATTCTTTCTCGATTTTCTCGACTTTCTTCCTGAAGTCTCGGCAGTCCGTTTCCTTGACGAAGACGAAATCATCACGGGTCAATTGCGGGACGTTGGCCAACAAGGCGTCAACGTTCGCGATCGCTTCCGTTTCTGACTGATCTGCGGCCATTTTTCTATTTTTCCTTTCGCGTAATTCGGTATCCTACTACTTACATTTTCATTGATGGTTCGCTTCACCCCGCGCTCGTCGCTCATTATTTCTCATGCTGTCTCTCATTGATCATTCCCAACAAACTGATATGTGTATTTGCCCGTAAACAGAAAAACACTCACACCCGCAAACATGGAGAACAGCCGCTTAGTGCTTCTAAGTCCTTCATGTATTGCCACATCATTTCAATCCCTAGCCAACTCGGGCACCGGTGGGGTTCCGGTGTCTGTGATTCAAAACGTGAGAACCACAGGGCTACCCGGGTGATCTTCTTAGATCACCAGAACAACAACTGTATTTCAACGTGCTAGGACACGCGGGTATCGAAATTCATCTGCTTTTAGTCGCATCTTGTACGATTCTTTACAAGCTCAAAGAAACTTTTGAAATAGAAATGTTCTGTTCCGAATAAATGAGCACGACCGATTCAGGAAAAGTAGAAGTGTGTAGATCATTCAGCTGTGACCACTACCGAGTTGAGTAGAACTAGTGCAAGTGCTCGATCGCCGACGGAAACCGATCTTTGAGTTCTGCGCCTCCACCACAGCGAGCTAGTGCTGGTGTCGGAGCCAAATCTGAGTTGTGCCAAACCACTTAGTATCGGCAAAAATTCATGATCGCGACCGAATTTTCTACTGAAGGACACGTATTTTTAAGTCATCGGCGTAGTAAGTCATTGGCCTCTTTAGCACGAGACCGACACTGGACAATGCAGATCAACTTCATCACCGACATCTTCTTCAAGATCTGCTGTCGTGGAAAACAGTGTGAACAAGAAAGCAAAAATATTTCAACGCGGGAAAGCGTCCACCTGACGGCGTTCCTGAGGAAAGGTACATGGAAATTGCTACTTATATTGCGCGCACGCGAATAAACTTGTTGATTGCAGCTCGGTATCAAACCGAAATAAAAGTCAAAGATAATGGACGTCGATGTCGATTGTCGAAACAGAATAACCGTCATAACCCAACCACACAGCTGCGACTCCGCTGCAGACCGAAGCACAACTTGCTTCTGACAGACAGGACATCTTCGTACTATACCACCTTCTTATGCACTCCCGTAATCCCGCCCACCCCCGTTAGCCCGCTTTCGTATTCTTCCCGTTTGAAGTGCAACAGCTCAAACATGTTATCCTGTGCAAAAGTATCGCACTCGTACTAATTGCTTTTATGCATTACAAATCTTTATCTCAAGGCAAATCCGCATTACAAATTCTATCTCTCATGCTGAGGAATATTGTAATGCAATTACTACTAGTACGATGCTTTTGCATTGCATACATGTCCATAGACGCCAGATTTGCAGCCCCAAGATAAACCTCGTTCGGCTTAATCATCGGCTCAAATTGCGGAATCGCGGTGGTTGTCGCGCCACGACCATCGGAGTTACGATTCTTATAACCTTCTCAGGTGTTACAATCTCAAACGTTACCATAGAGTATGGAAATCTGTGATGCAAGGAATCCATTCTCTAGCCAACTCTCATGGACAGACTGCGCATGACAAGTTCCGGAGTCCCAAACCGCACTACAATCTGGCAAAATTTGCATTGCAGAAAGTGGAATACTGTCCGAGTGGTCTGTCATGCTCATCACGCAATACAAGATCCAGATTCTATTGTAACGCTTATGATTGTCACCTTTGAGCAGGTCATAGTTCTTCACTTCCTTTTCCTTCCTCTCCTTCTCTGTCATCAACCCGGGAATGCGAAACGTCGGCTTCTTCGCAGCTGCTCCTGTTCCCCTGACCGCATCTGCGGCGCTCTTCGAAATTTCGTCGCCGTGGTTCATGTGGTCTGCTCGTTTTGCCGGAATCAAATCCCTTAAATCTAACGGATCATGGACGATAATGTCGAACTTCAGATACTCCAAGGGGTTCGAGAGCTTTATCCTCCCTGTCCGGCGGAATTGCCTCTGCTCTTCCTCCTCTAACTCCAACATTTTCGTTAACTCGTCCATCGACTCCATCGAGCTTGTCAGCGCATCGTTCTTCGTGGTTTTTCGTTTCCTATGTTGCAACGCTAAGTAATCGTCTTCGTCGCCTAAACAGCTATTCATCATCGCTTTCAAAAACGGCATGTCCCGCAGCTCCTGTCGTAACCGCTGCGCTAAGTTCGTTACCCTGCTCACGCCGCCCGCGAGAACTATGTTCATGAACAACTCCGGGCGGATCGGGTGATTGCTGCAGTTGATGGCGTGACAGGTTAACTCCTGGAGCGACGCTGTCGTTTTCAAAGCGCCGCCGACCTCCTCTTCGCTGCCCGAAGGTTGGAAGCTGTTTAAGGTTTGTAAATACGCTTGCTCTTCCTTTGTCAGAAGTGTTTTCCCACCGAGGTTGATCCCGCGAAGCTGCTCAAACATCTGCGGCTTGAACAACGCTTCCAGACATCTGCATCGCTCCGTCTTGATACTGTACACCCGCCCGGTCAGCTTGCACTCGTAATTTTTCGGCTGACACAACTTCAATTCCGTCATCCCGTTGGTCAGGACAAAACCCATTTTGTGCAGAATCTCCTCCGCGTTCTGTAATTGCCGCCACTCCTCGCCGAAAAACTCGATGTCGCGCTCCTCTTTGAGGATATGCATTGCAAAAGTATCGCACTCGTATAAATGCATTACAAATTTCCTCAGCATGAGAAATAAGATTTGTAATGCAGATTTGACTTGGAAACAAGATTTGTAATGCAAGCCTTGCATTTAAACGAGTACGATACTTTTGCACAGGATAGAGGAATTTCAGCAACAACTCCGTGATGTCCTTCCCGCCGTAGTTGTTCCGGTCCACCGTGTGGGGCATCAAATAGCCCTCGTAAATACAGCAGGCGGAGGTGGTCGTTTCCCCAATGTCGACTAAGCAGCCCGTCTTCTTCCCGTGGGCCACTAAAGTCAAAGTGGGGATCTGGGTGACACAAACCGCAATGGCGTCGAACTTGTCGAAGAGAACCCCTACCATTCTTTCCCGATCTAGCTTGCTCGTCCAGGGGGCTTCGGTTATGAGAATTGGGAAACGGTTAAGGAGAGGGTGGTCAAAAAGCTCTTCCTCTTCTTCCTCAGCTGGATTTATTCCTGGGTCTTTGTCTTTATCACCTCCAATCTCGCTCTTATTATCCCCAACACTTGACGCCGTGTCTTTTGAGCCTTTATTTTTCTTCTTTTTGCCAGTCGCGGTTGGAGGGCCCGCACCGGTGTTTGTAGTTGCCCCATTCGGATCTGATACAGCTGGTCCTGGCTCAGTTTCGTCGAAGCTTTTGTACACTGCTCTGTGTTCCCGGTACACCATTTTTGGTCTTTTCACCACGTCTAATTCCAGTTTCGGGTTCAAAAACAGCCGCTGCCACACTTTTTCCAACACTTCCCAATCTTGGACGATGCCATGGCGGATTGGGAAGATCAGCTGCATATCAACTGCAAATATGTCGGGGTCTGGAAGTAGAACCCAAGTTTGTCATGCACATTTTGCATCATCCATGACATCTGTGATGTACGCTCTAGCATCACAGATCATTACTTGCGGCCTTCTTGATGCCTCTCCCGCATGAGAATAAATGCCCTCTCCGCATAGCAAAAACCGGACTCGTCTTCCGGATGATCATGCAAGAATTGCAAGACAAATTTTTTTCGAATACAAACGCAGCATCACAAGTTCTTGCATCCTTCCAGGCCCAGATCGATATTTGCAATGCATACTGCAGACTGTTCCGCTGCTCGTACGCCTATCCAGTGCAAAAGTATCGCACTCGTATTGCAGTCATGCATTACAAATCTCTTGCTTAAGGTAAAATAGCATTACAAATATTTCTCATGCTGAGGAAATTTGTGATGCATTTATAAAATAGAACTATAGAATTTTTACTCGGATTTTGCGCCCCTATAAACTATAGGGGCCCCTTAGAAAATGAATTCTAGGAGAGAAGCCGTCTAGGCGCCTCCCTTAAGTGAGCTCCTAGGGGAAGCCTCTAAGGGAACGCACTAAAGAAAACGACTGGCAAGGCGGGGGCCAAAAGTCCTGCGGCACAAAATAAACAAAACCCAGCGGAGTGGCGCGCGGGCCTCGCCCCATGGCTTGAAGAAATCGAAAGAAAAAAGCCGGGCCAGTTTTTAGCAGGCCTATTCTGGCTACCCCAAAGCCCCGGCCCCGTTTGGGGGCGCAGGGGGGCGATAGCACCCTCCCGGCAAAACGAGACTGGGAAGGCAGCGCCCGGCCCCCCGGTAAGCCTAGGTAGAGCTAATGCCATCGGCATCCACTGGGGGTATATCTGAAGTTATATCTGGGGGTATATCTGGGGGTATATCTGGGGGCATATCTGGGGGCATATCTGGGGGTATATCTGGGGGCATATCGATGTCTGGGGAGATATCTGGGGCTATATCTGGGGCCATATCTGGGGATATGTCTGGGGAATTTGGGTGGGTGCTTTTTGATCGGGCTCGTATTTCGGACATCTGGAGGATTGCAATAGGGTCGCTCGTAGGAAATGGCTTGCTGGGGGCGCGCTTCCAGGAGTTTTCTCTAGGATCCGATGGAGCCCCACCGAGAAAGCTGCTGTGAGGGCGCGCTGAAGAAAACGGCTGGTATTGTGGGGGCCAAAAATGCTGTATGTGCGCCCTCCCCGCGGGTGGAAAATAGCACAGTAGTAGCGCTCTTTTTGGCTCCGATTTCTTTTCCATCCTACAGATTAGAGGGCGCGCCATAGGGGCTGAGTAGTAGGAGGGACCGTTCTAGGAGTTTTTTTGGTAGCGGCCTCACCGGGCGAGCTTCATTCTTTAGAATAAAGGGGCCGGCGAAACGGCAGAGGAGGCGCTGCGGGTGGTTCCGTCTAGAATTGAGGCAACCCACAACAGGGAAATCCATCAGGCCAAGGCCCGCGGCCGGGTGGGGGCGAGCTAGAAGCTGAGCGCAGGGAACGAAAGCGAGCGCGCCCGCTAATGTGGGCCGCTACTAGGGAAGGGCGTTGCTAGCAAGCGCGGGCTAAAACCGCCCGCCGGGTTTCTAATAGTGGCCGCGTTTGCGCTAGGTAGCAGATTCCGAATGGTAGGACTCTTTCGACTAGCCTGCACCCCTACGCTCGCCCAGTTTTTTTCTGGGCGTTTACATTTAGATTTACTAGACGACCTATCGCCGGCGTCCTGGACGCCGGCGTAGTAGTCTAGTACGAATACGATACTTTTGCAATTCATAACGCCTCGTGAAAGAACATTTCCTCCCGTTGTTTCCCGCTTGCTTCATCGAAGTTCAAGGAATACCCGAAGACATTGGGCACAATAACCCTTGGATGCTCCTCCACGTTGCGATCGACGTCCGCCGATAATCCCGCGTACATATGACTCGCGGTTTGCACGAGAACTACACAAACGGAATCGTCGTTCCCCTGGTATACCCGCTGGGCCTGGGGTCGGGCCGGCCTCGCGGATTTCTGTTTCAGCTTATTCGCCCCGGCCAGGGCCGCCGCCGCGCCGCCCTGGGCGAGGGAAGGGGGCCGGGTCGGCTTGCTGCGCTTCGGAGCCGCCTTCGGCGGGCCCGCGAGGACGGGGGGTGCAGGACCTTCGTCATCCGCTGGTTGCTCTGCTGCTTCGTCGGCCATTGGCGATTGTGAATTTCAATGTCCCCCGTGTTCGATTCAGGGTTACTTGGTGAATCACCAGCAGACACGATGGCGACTAGTAAGCGCAAAATGAAAACGACTCACGTGGTCATTCGATTTCATCATGCTTTCGTGCTGAGCAGTGCCAACTTTTAGTTAGGTATAGGAAAAGAGCCTGCAACTTACTAGAGTGAGTGGCGCACCGGTGCGACAATTTTGCTCGACGGATGTTTTTTGTTGAAGCTGAAAACAACATAGATATCGAAATCATGCACGTAGAAATAAAACGAAGCTTTGTTCCTTGGGGAATGGGAGGCTTCATCTACGAATTCGCGCATTATCTATCATTCAAGAGTTCCTTGCAGTGGAGGTCCTGTGATAGTGATAAGGAAGCGATAATAATCTTGAAACATATTAGCAACGGAAAACTGTTGTAGATGAAAATCGCGTGCACCGATCAATTGCTATGCGACTCTAAGACCAGTCCAGGTGCTGAATGCAACTAGGATACTAATCTCTGTATCTTTTTTCTGGACGAAAGAGCATTTTGCACGATAATGAAGCGGCGATATTTTTCCATTCTTGTCCACCGGACCGGACGAGGCACGAATGATAATTGGACGGTAGCGGAGAGACGAGCTAAAGACGAGGGCAGTCTGAAACAAAGAGACGCAACAAGAGCGTACGAAACGACACCAAATAACGACCAGAAAAACCAAAAAATCAGTCCGGAAGTTAGTATCAAGCCCGCCCCGGCGCTACTTGTTCATTTTCATCGAACATCAAAACAAGCGACAGGACACCCATCGCAGAAACGCGAAAGACCACGAACACAGCTCTAGAGGAGCTTCATCACGGTCCCTTCGTCGCGTCTGTCCCCTGGTCCTCACACGAAAGGAGGAGGGTTTTCTGATTCTAATGTGAGATGAAAACTAAAAGTATCAATCAAGAAAAGCCGCCTGATGTTCTTTGGGTTTCTGTTTGCTGACACCTGCTATTCGTGTTCCTATCACTCTTCTTTGCTGCTGCAAGCCTAGTTGCTGTCCTTGCTCGGCGTGGTACAAAGAATTCCTCGTGTTCATCTCATCCTAGATAGCGGGTCACCACTACAAATCCAAATCGAGGAACTATTCGCAACACTTTGCACTTGCACAAATTCAACATCTGCGTAAGTAATTCATTCAGGAGCGACAAAGACCACGGTCTACATGCAAGTGGAAAAAGCAAACTCCAGTTCTCAGCTCATCAAGTTAGCGACAATACACTTTTTCAACAAGAAATACAGTACTACTTTAAATTGGCGATGGCAAAGCTGCTCCGGAGTAACTTTGGCACTTCTAGGGCGTTCTTGTTTGACCAACTTTGTTGTAAGAGTCTCTTGTCGCTTACTTGATAAGGTATCTTCTTCATCGCAGGCATTCTTCATGTGGAAGATTTTCTACTTCTAGCTTTCTTCTCGGTGAAACGGGGGTAATACTGCTGCAGCAAATTTTGCACCTTCTATGTACACGTGCCTCTAAGATTTGTTTTTCGTAGTAGCGAAGTTGTATTAAGTACTCATGATGGGCGCCATTCATGTTGAGCGGCCAAAAGGTGAAGACAAGGGGGTCCCTCGAAACCACGTAATAGCTTTTCCTTTTTCACAACTGTGCGCTGCAACTCCCTACTGCAGAAGCTAATGGTGCTCTGAATCTGATGGCGCTAAGTACGACATCATGGATATTGATCGGAGGTACCATACGCAGTACAGCATATCAACATTCCGTGGCAGGAGCTCCACCAGGACAATAGAATCGGATTGAAGAATTGTATTGCACCCAAGAACTACTCTACGACGTGTATAAATTTCTGGTCTGCTCTTACAAGGGGCTGGATCATCTCCGCTGCTGCAAACAGTGACCGCTAGTATCCGGAGTACTTTTACAACTAGGAGCTACCTCTTTCTGATATACGAAACTTTGACACGAGATCGAGATGAGTACTTTCTTAAAATTTTTGTGCCTGTAGTGGTCGCACCAGAAGTTAGTTTGACTTTTTCTCTTGATGCAGGAAACATCACATGCGCATAGACATAGAATTTTTCCTGAACTACGACTACAGACACTATCCCGATGGGGTACAACGGGAAGATAAAGTAGCAGACAGTCAGTAGAAATGCAGCTAGGCAGCGAGCGAAAATTTCAGAATCATGGCACGGCTGCTGCTCAGAGAAAGTCAACTACTAGCTTCTACTTGCTTGTGCAACTTCGGTGACAATACTTCAAAAAGCAACATCTCAGCCTAAAAAAAAAATCGGGGGGTCGAAGATCACAAACATGTTGGAAAAACAAAAATTACGTGCTAAAAAATAGAAATACGGAATGCCGGGCACTTGCTCTGAATAGAAGGTCGTGAAGCGGATGAAGCGCCAGCTCTTTGATGTTGATAAACAAGTGCACGATAGCTCCTGCAAAAAAAAAGGAAGACAAAATGCTTTCACGGTAGTGCGAATGAACTTTGGTCTCTTTTTCGATGAAACGAGCAAATTGTGATTGATTTTTTTTTGTGAAAAGATATTGCGCAAACGATTTTTTGGAAGTGCTACTCACTGTAACTGTTCATGGAAACGAAGAAAAATGAATAGTAAAAATAAAATGAAAAGAATTTAGAAGTACTTTTTAAAGTTGGAATTGCATGCCGTTTGCAGTTTTTTTCGTCACGAGCAGTTCTGTTCTTTCTTATTGATTCTTCTTGTCTTCTCTTTGTATATATAATTCGACGGCTTTGATGGAAATTGTTGCTCACGTACTTTGTTCTACTTTGTTAATTCGAATACATGCAGCAGGATCTTCGGATTCGGACTTGCATCTGCTACTTTTCAGTTTATTACGTATTGAGATACTATTTTTTTTTGCTCTGCGCAATTCAAGGGGGCCGACGCCCCCTATCCGCCCGTCGAGACAACTGCGCATAGCATTTTGGTTTTGGACAAATTGAAATTTGCGGCTCCTTTTGTCATTCTCAGCAGAACTCACGCAACAGAGTTACACCTGTCATGCCAGACACCCATGAAGTTCTCTTTTCCTGTGTGTTTTCCCTTACAAGCTACGCATGACAGGTTTTCTCTGTCATGTAGAGCAGATTTGTGATGCTGTCAGCAAAAGAAAGTTACACTAACACAGTTTTCTTCTTGGATAGCGACGCTGTCGTTTTCAAAGCCCCGCCGACCTCCTCGTCGCTACCCGAAGGTTGGAAGCTGTTTAAGGTTTGTAAATACGCTTGCTCTTCCTTTGTCAGAAGTGTTTTCCCGCCGAGATTGATCCCGCGAAGCTGCTCAAACATCTGCGGCTTGAACAACGCTTCCAAACATCTGCATCGCTCCGTCTTGATGCTGTACACCCGCCCAGTCAGCTTGCACTCGTAATTTTTCGGCTGACACAACTTCAATTCCGTCATCCCGTTGGTCAGGACAAAACCCATTTTGTGCAGGATCTCCTCCGCGTTCTGTAATTGCCGCCACTCCTCGCCGAAAAACTCGATGTTGCGCTCCTCTTTGAGGAATTTCAGTAGCAACTCCGTGATGTCCTTCCCCCCGTAGTTATTTCGGTCCACCGTGTGGGGCATCAAATAGCCCTCGTAAATACAACAGGCGGAGGTGGTCGTTTCCCCGATGTCGACTAGACAGCCCGTCTTCTTCCCGTGAGCCACTAGAGTCAAAGTGGGAATCTGGGTGACACAGACCGCAATCGCGTCGAACTTGTCGAAGAGAACCCCTACCATTCTTTCCCGATCTAATTTGCTTGTCCAGGGGGCTTCGGTTATGAGAATCGGGAAACGGTTAAGAAGAGGGTGGTCAAAAAGCGAACTACGAACTGACTCTGGGGGTCGACATACTTGAAAATAATTTGAAAAGACCTAAATTACGTGCTAAAAAAAATATGGAATACCGGGATCTTGCTCTGGCTGTGAAGCACCAGTTCTTTGATTTATAGCAAAAGGAAGAAGGAGAAAATGCTTTCACGATGGTGTGAAGGAATGTACTTCGGTTTCTTTTTCGAAACAAGGAAATTGATTTTTTTTTTTAAAGATAACGCTGAAGCGATTTTTTTAAAGATAAAGTGCCACTCACTGTAACTGTTCATGAAAACGAAGAAATGAATAGTAAAATCAAAAGAATTGTAAATACACTTTTTTAGGTAGAAATTGCCTCCCGTTTACAGTTTTTTTTCGAGCTTTGTTCTTTCTTGTCATCTTCTTCTTGTAGACTCGACGGCTTTGTAAATTGTAATTGTGGCTCACGTACTTTGTCAAATTCTAATACACTTGCATCAACATCTGCTACTTTTCAGTTTAGTACGTATTGAGATACTTTTTTTTTTTTGCTCTGCGCCGTCGCCCCCCATCCTCCCGCCGAGACTTCTGCGCATAACACTTTCGACGAATTGAAATTTGCGGCTCCTTTTGTCATTTTCAGCAAAACTCCGCTTGCTATTCTCAGCAGCAGCCGAGAAAACCGCCGGAGGACTCGGTTTTAACCTCCTCCTCATCCTCTTCCTTTTCTCCGTCACCACCCCCACCAATAGCATCCCCTGGCTTAGCCACGAGGTTCCCCAAGCTGGAGACCGCTTCGATCGCCCCGCCGCTGCAGGTCCCCGCCAGAGGGGACGAAGATTCGGTCGCGTTTGCGTTAGCCGGCGCTGCACCTTCGAAGTTGCACCCGTAGATGAGGCACTGCACCGGGTTGTAGCTGAGCATGCTGCAGTCCCTTTGCTGGTCCGCCCCGACGCAGACCTTCATGCGGTCCGTGTTCGGAGACAAGTTCTCCGTGGCAAAAACGCCCTTCCAATACTCCAAGCCGGCTTTGTATGGGAGCGTCAGGATTGGAATCGTGAAAGTTGAAATGATTTGCCATGCATAAAATGCAAGACATGAAGTGCCTGTCTTGCCGAGATAGCAAGCGAGGCAGATTGTGAGCCGATTTAAGGTTTGGGACAGAGCTGCTAGAGGAGCATGACAAAAGCAGTCTTCTGTGCCCAAACAGCATGACAAACTGGATTTAGACGGTTGCGAAATTTGTCATGCGCCGCTTGGAAATTGGGCTTCCAACTGGTACCGATTTTATGCATCACAAGTTATTTCAACTTTGTCAATTTCAATCCTGACACAACCATACTTTGCTCGCTTCGCCCAGCATCAGGTGCGTCCCCACGTATCCACAGTAAATTTCCCGTACACGTACAAATGTGGTTTCTGCATTACAAAACTTGCCTTCAATCCTAGTGCAGCATGACAAACTGGGCGCTGCAAGGTAGCGAAATTTGTCATGCATTTTGTACATGTACAGGAAATTTACATTGCATACCACACCCCCGCCGTCAATGAACGAGACCAGCTTATCAAATGCAAAAATGTCTGGGTCTGGAAGGATGTAACCTGTGATGCGCATTTCAGAACACACAAAAATCTCTCATGCATAGGTAGCAAAAGCTGCTCACTTTCTGTCACCAAAATGGGGAATTTGTCATGCGGGTTCGGCATTGCGGAAGCTTCTCGAAACCTGTGATGCTAGAGCTTCCATGCCAGACCTTCCGTGTCATTCAGAAACAGCATAACTCTTGCTCTTCCAGACCCAGACATTTTTACATTTGATACAGCTCCGAACGGTCCAACTGGACATTATCAAATACAAATATGTCTAGGTCTGGAAGCTTGTGATGCAAGTGAGTCAATAACAAATGCACTGCAATGCGCCGCCAAGCATGACAAGTTGATTCGTGCTTCTGTGCTGCGTATTCCGCATGAGAAACTGCGTTTTTGCATGACAGGCAAGATAGGCTGTTTGTGGCCACGCAATACAGATTTAAGGGCCATGCCAGATCAGCATGACAAATCTCGCAATCTTCCAGACCCAGATATTTTTGCATTTGATAGACATCAGACACGGACAACTCGACCTTATGGGTGTGTCAGGATCGAAATCGACAAAATCGAAAAACTTGTGATGCATAAAATGCAGGGCACCGAAGGCCTGTATTGGGGGACAGGCAAATGAGGCCGATTGTAAGCCTGTTTAGGGGTTCTATGCAATGTGCTGCCAGAGTAGCATGACGGGAGCAGTCTTCTTTGTCCAAACAGCATGACAGACTGGATTTGGGTGCTCCCGAAATTTGTCATGCCCCACTCGGAAACTGAGGCTCCCACTGGTATCGATTTTATGCATCACAAATTTTTCGACTTTGTCAATTTCGATTCTGACACTTCCATAGACCTGGACAAGCGAGTAGTCCACAAACTTGCAGTTGCTGGAGGTGGGGCAAAACTCTTCCAGGTCCAGCGGTATGCATTGCAAAAGTAATATCGCACTCGTAGTAATTGCAGTCACGCATTACAAATCTTCTTCTAAAGGTGAATCCGCATTACAAATTTTATTTCTCACGCTAAGGAAATTTGTACTTAATGCATTTATACGAGTATCGGATACTTATCTTGCACTGCATAAGCGGCGATTGCTCGTACTGGAGGGTGACGGCGAAGCACTCGTCGTGCGTGTAAGTGATCGGAGTCCCGGTACTACCGGCTTGCTCCAAAGCGTGCACGGTTTGCTGTAGTGCGTCAAGTCCATTGAATTCGTCAAGTTCCTCGTCCGCAACCAGGGCCGCGAAGCTTGCGATGACGCTTTCAACCAGCAGAGCCTCACCGTCACCAGCTTCCGCCGTCATGTCCACGCCGCCTTTGAGCAGGCTGCACTATGGGACTCTCAAACGTTACACTCTTAACTGTTCTTGCATGAATTTGTCATGCAGAAGCACTATCACGCTTCTCACGATCAAGCTTCTTCGCATGAAAAATTGTTCTCGTCGGCAAGCTAAATTCATAGCATCGCAATTTGTGCCAAGTCTGTAATGCAAGACGCGCAACAAGGTCACCCCTTCGACGTTTGCTGTTCTTGCATGACAAATTCGTGTAACGGTTGAGAATGTGACGTTTGAGAACGCCATATGCACCCAATCGGCCTGGTCCACGGCGCGGGGCTCTTCGCCGGGTCCCGCGGCCCGGTCCCCGTGGGGAGTTCGCCCCGGCCCGGCGCGGCCCCTTGGGGTCGTTCTTGTTCGCCAGCCGCCGGCGGGTCCCGCGGGGTCCCGCGGAGTACCGCCACCTGCACATCCGCTTCCGCAATACCAAAAATGGTCATGAGGTGGGCCCTGAGCGCCCTCGCGTCGCTGCCAGCCATCTCCACCGCTTTTATCCAGGAAAAAAACTGTGTAAGTGTAACTTTGTAGGAAGAGCAGCATCACAAATTCGTTTTGCATTTACAGGAAAAATCTGTCATGCGCAGCTAGTACGTGCAAACACGTATGAAAGTGGCCTATGCTGCACACTCAGCATGACAAGTGCGAACTGTTTTGCATTTTCTGCATCACAGATTTACACTAACAACGTTTGTTTCTTGGATAGCTTTCGCCAGGTGTTCAATTGGAACCGCCGGGACATCGAGAAGGCTGCATCCTTCGACAGTTGTATGGAGGGATTTGCAAAAGTTACACTCTGAAACTGTTGCACAAATTGGATGTCTCATGCAAGAACAGCATCTTCAACTTCAACAGTGAATCTACTTAGCGACACAAATTTGGCACAGATAAAAATGTCGATGCGGTTTAGAAGCCGCGGCCTTCGAGAGTTTGTCATGCGAAGTTGTTGTCGCTCCAGCTTGATCGCCTGGCGGATTCTGGTAGTACAAGTTTTGCATGAAAAAAAATCATGTAACAGTGGAGAATGTAACAGCTGAGATGAGATGTATCCCATAAACAGATGGCAGCCTGCCCGGACCGTAGGCTTCCTGCCACTCCGGAAGCCTGGACGTGCAGGAAATGTCCGCGGTCTCGGTGGGCATATCAGTACCCGCATCGATGTCATTCGAGTTCGCCTGACAGACACCACCACCTTTGACGAGGCCCGAAATGCAGTTTTTCACCTTCTCCGCCGTAGTCGCGCCCATGTTGCTCCGCTCTGGACATTATCCTGTGCAAAAGTATCGCACTCGTAGTAATTGCAATCATGCATTACAAATCTCTCTCTGAAGGCAAATCAGCATTACAAATCTCATTTTTCACGCTGAGGAAATTTGTAATGCATCTATACGAGTACGATACTTTTGCACTGCATAGACATCCGAAATGCGCGTCATGCACTTTCTCCGCCTCGAAGCACTTCCCACTAAATTGCGCGGTGTTCACCATCCAGCCCTTTTCCAGCGTATTCGCGTCGCCCCACACACACTTCTGAAACGTCATGCCCATGTGCTCCCTCGTCAGACCGTTGCACGTCTTTTCCGCTGCAATGGCATCCGCGGTGTTGACGTCGCGGCATTCAGTCGGTGTTTTGATCTCATCTTTCGGCTTGCAGACATTGTTCTTGTTGTCCCAGGAGCACGACAAAGGGGAATCGGTCTTGCACTCGTTTTCCGTTGTCCACCTTGCACAGGGCGTCAAGGGGGGGCTCGGAGTGATGATGGTATCATTTTTCTCTCCTTTCGCACCGAACATAGGCTTCGGGTTATTGAGAGAAAAAATCCCCCCTCCCCATATTGAAAAGATATGTTTTTGTTGCTGATTTGTGACCACAAATCAGCCGCGTCTTGCAAGCCGACAAGTGCAGAGGCTGCATCCGCCCAATTGTGAAGCGCTTTGGCATGCTGTTGGTCCTAGAGGGTAGCCGTTTGCAATGCTGAACAACTAGACCTGAGCGCTGCCACGACCCAGGCTGCCAGACATCTGGCAGGAGTGCCGTACTACTGCAAGACAAGTCGGATTTGGTTTACACAAATCAGCATCAGAAGTTGTTTCCACTTTGATATGAGGAGGGGGGATTTTTCATTTTGATACGGGTTGGGCAGCTTCGACACGCACTTGATGGTCTGCTCTGGGTACGCAGTGAGGTTCCACTTTCCGTCGACCATCGGGATGGCATCGTCGAAGGTAGCCTTGCAGGACGACGCAAGCGCGGTTTCGCACATGTCCTTCCCTGCGGCCCCCGTGCCGCCGCCGTACGCCGGGCAACCCTATGCATTGCAAAAGTATCGTACTCGTATAAATGCATTACAAGTTTCCTCAGCATGAGAAATAAAATTTGTAATGCGGATTTGACTTAACGTTAACAAAAAGATTTGTAATGCATGATTGCAATACGAATACTGCTTTTGCACAGGATAAACCCAGCAGAGCGGCCATCAGCCGCTGACCGCTGTAGCACTGCGGGGGAGGCATGGCGCCGGTTTTAGTACTCCGCCGCGAGGATGAAGATGATCCCAACTCCAGCAAAATGACGTTCTCCGGCAGCGATTGCGGATTTTCCTGGAGCGGGAGCAGAATCGCCCCTTCGATCGTCTCCCCCAGCTGACAGTCGACTGTGCCATCGTTGTCCACGTCCGTTTCCTCGCACTCAATTTTGGTCGTGCCCGCGCTTTTGCACCCTCCTTCCAACGGGAATGAGACCAAAGAGTCGAACGCAGACAAGTCGGGCACTTGCGGATTGTTCGCGCCCCCACCAACGCCCATGGCTGTGAACATCTGGTAATCGTCGCTCTCGCTGTGCACGGAAACGCACGCTTTTTCTCCCGCGCTACTTTCCACGGCACGACAATCGAACTGCGCGTACATCATGCCGTCCGGGTCTCGCAGCCACTTATCGGGTTTTCAAACGTTACGCTCTCAACTGTTACACGGACGATTTCTCACGCAGCATTCTTGCCATTCATATCTTTATCTCCACGATCAAGCTGCTCCTTCGCGTGACAAGTTATCGACGCGCCAAATAAAATCAAAATCTGCGCCAAGAAACCTGTAGTTGTATATGCATTTAAACCGCAAGCTCCCTCCGTTCCGTTCGCCTTCGCTTTTTCTGTTCTTGCAGCACAAATTATTCATGTAACAGCTTTGAGAGTGTAACGTTTGAGAGTCCCGTACCACTGCCGAAAGTCGTCGAACAGATTTCCCGTGCACTCTTTCTCTCCCTTCAACGCGAATGCGGTATCATACAGAAAAAAGCAAGCAGGGCATATGCATATCCATATTTGCAACGCAAAAAATAACTACTTATGTACTTAACACAAAAATCTGTCATGGGCAAGCTCGTCATCGCATGCTGTTCAAGGCGCGCAACAAGAGCGTTCTTTTTTGTGTGCTTCATCTACATCGTTCTTTTGCCTTTACAAATATCATGCCCTGCCTGTCTTTTTCTGTGGGATATCCGGCAGCGCAAAGCGGATTGCCAATCTTTTCGTCGAACAGCAGCTGTCCCGACCACTGGCAGAAATGCGTTCCGTTGCCGGCATTAGCGGTACCGTTCCACTGCCACAGGCAACTGACAGGATTATCAGTGTTTTTTGACGCGTCCAATTGGCAGGTGTCCTCCGTTGTCTGATTGCTTATTACAGTGAAAAATGCCCCCCACCCCTGAAATTGCAAAAATTTGTAATGCGAAGTTTCCAAATGAAAAGTTTTTGTCATGCATGAAAGGAGTTTGAATCTTTCTGATGCAGAGCTAAGGCGTGTATCGCATCGCTTGCATGACAAGCGCCGCTCCTGCTGGGGTTTTTTGCAATGCAAATTTTTGCTATTCACGATTGGAAACCTGTGATGCTGATAGATGCAAGAGGGCGAATGTTATATTTGGAAAGGTTTGCAATACAAATTCTCCCAAGTTCGGGGGTGGAGGCATTTTTCATTGTAATATTGTCACAGTACGCTTTCATGAAGGAGAAGGACGTCGGGGTCAAGGGGGGGCTCGGAGTGATGATGGTATCATTTTTCTCTCCTTTCGCACCGAACATAGGCTTCGGGTTATTGAGAGAAAAAATCCCCCCTCCCCATATTGAAAAGATATGTTTTTGTTGCTGATTTGTGACCACAAATCAGCCGCGTCTTGCAAGCCGACAAGTGCAGAGGCTGCATCCGCCCAATTGTGAAGCGCTTTGGCATGCTGTTGGTCCTAGAGGGTAGCCGTTTGCAATGCTGAACAACTAGACCTGAGCGCTGCCACGACCCAGGCTGCCAGACATCTGGCAGGAGTGCCGTACTACTGCAAGACAAGTCGGATTTGGTTTACACAAATCAGCATCAGAAGTTGTTTCCACTTTGATATGAGGAGGGGGGATTTTTCATTTTGATACGGGTTGGGCAGCTTCGACACGCACTTGATGGTCTGCTCTGGGTACGCAGTGAGGTTCCACTTTCCGTCGACCATCGGGATGGCATCGTCGAAGGTAGCCTTGCAGGACGACGCAAGCGCGGTTTCGCACATGTCCTTCCCTGCGGCCCCCGTGCCGCCGCCGTACGCCGGGCAACCCTATGCATTGCAAAAGTATCGTACTCGTATAAATGCATTACAAGTTTCCTCAGCATGAGAAATAAAATTTGTAATGCGGATTTGACTTAACGTTAACAAAAAGATTTGTAATGCATGATTGCAATACGAATACTGCTTTTGCACAGGATAAACCCAGCAGAGCGGCCATCAGCCGCTGACCGCTGTAGCACTGCGGGGGAGGCATGGCGCCGGTTTTAGTACTCCGCCGCGAGGATGAAGATGATCCCAACTCCAGCAAAATGACGTTCTCCGGCAGCGATTGCGGATTTTCCTGGAGCGGGAGCAGAATCGCCCCTTCGATCGTCTCCCCCAGCTGACAGTCGACTGTGCCATCGTTGTCCACGTCCGTTTCCTCGCACTCAATTTTGGTCGTGCCCGCGCTTTTGCACCCTCCTTCCAACGGGAATGAGACCAAAGAGTCGAACGCAGACAAGTCGGGCACTTGCGGATTGTTCGCGCCCCCACCAACGCCCATGGCTGTGAACATCTGGTAATCGTCGCTCTCGCTGTGCACGGAAACGCACGCTTTTTCTCCCGCGCTACTTTCCACGGCACGACAATCGAACTGCGCGTACATCATGCCGTCCGGGTCTCGCAGCCACTTATCGGGTTTTCAAACGTTACGCTCTCAACTGTTACACGGACGATTTCTCACGCAGCATTCTTGCCATTCATATCTTTATCTCCACGATCAAGCTGCTCCTTCGCGTGACAAGTTATCGACGCGCCAAATAAAATCAAAATCTGCGCCAAGAAACCTGTAGTTGTATATGCATTTAAACCGCAAGCTCCCTCCGTTCCGTTCGCCTTCGCTTTTTCTGTTCTTGCAGCACAAATTATTCATGTAACAGCTTTGAGAGTGTAACGTTTGAGAGTCCCGTACCACTGCCGAAAGTCGTCGAACAGATTTCCCGTGCACTCTTTCTCTCCCTTCAACGCGAATGCGGTATCATACAGAAAAAAGCAAGCAGGGCATATACATATCCATATTTGCAACGCAAAAAATAACTACTTATGTACTTAACACAAAAATCTGTCATGGGCAAGCTCGTCATCGCATGCTGTTCAAGGCGCGCAACAAGAGCGTTCTTTTTTGTGTGCTTCATCTACATCGTTCTTTTGCCTTTACAAATATCATGCCCTGCCTGTCTTTTTCTGTGGGATATCCGGCAGCGCAAAGCGGATTGCCAATCTTTTCGTCGAACAGCAGCTGTCCCGACCACTGGCAGAAATGCGTTCCGTTGCCGGCATTAGCGGTACCGTTCCACTGCCACAGGCAACTGACAGGATTATCAGTGTTTTTTGACGCGTCCAATTGGCAGGTGTCCTCCGTTGTCTGATTGCTTATTACAGTGAAAAATGCCCCCCACCCCTGAAATTGCAAAAATTTGTAATGCGAAGTTTCCAAATGAAAAGTTTTTGTCATGCATGAAAGGAGTTTGAATCTTTCTGATGCAGAGCTAAGGCGTGTATCGCATCGCTTGCATGACAAGCGCCGCTCCTGCTGGGGTTTTTTGCAATGCAAATTTTTGCTATTCACGATTGGAAACCTGTGATGCTGATAGATGCAAGAGGGCGAATGTTATATTTGGAAAGGTTTGCAATACAAATTCTCCCAAGTTCGGGGGTGGAGGCATTTTTCATTGTAATATTGTCACAGTACGCTTTCATGAAGGAGAAGGACGTCGGGTCTGCGCCAGCTTCTTCGAGATTCACGTTTTCGTGCATTTTGCTCTTTCCGCCAGCGCGCAAATTCTTCTTCTCCTCGTGCTCCACCAGCACACGGTGAGTTTTCTGTATAGCGTGCTCAGATGAGAATACCAATATTTTTACCATCTCGACTGCGACAATTATTCGTGATGCAAACTGCGGACGACGATCTGTCTCGCTCACTCGCCGTGGTCCTCGTGCGTACCAGCATCACAAACTTACGAAATGCGGTCAGCACCCAGTTTCAACATGTTGCGAGGGACAGCAGGGAGTAGACCTTGATACTTTGAATAGACCTTGGCCAGGCAAGACAACTTGAACTTTCACTTTGCACGGCGACGGCCTTGTAGTTATATATTACTTTTACACTGAAATGCTAAAAATGATCCCCTCCTCTGAGCAAGCCATAGTCCCCTGTGCCGCGATCTTCTTGGAGGTTTTCTTCTTGTTCGTGCGCTGGGAGGTGGTCTTCGCGGAGGTGCCCACGCGCGCGGTGCTGGTGTGCTGGCCCTTGTTCGTGGTCACCAGCGCAGCGTCCACCGACGTCCCAGTCGTGGCCAACAGGTGCACAACGGTGGCCCCCGCCGCTAGGGAAGAAGCCGCTCCTCCGAATGCGCGCTTCTTGTACAATTTGCCACCATGAGGGGTGGACTTGGATTCGTTTTCGTTGTAGCTCGCCATGATTTTCTTCTCGTCTTGGCGCAATAAATTTGAGTAGTTTATTATTCCGGGTGGCTTAATTTCGTTGCAAAACACCGATTTGAGCAAGCCTCTCAGGGTATGAAAGGTTGTATGTTGTTAAAGAAACACGTTTTGAAAATTAGTTCGAGCTAATTTCAGGGAAAGGAAAACGTACAAAGAACTTCGTTTCGAAAGTGGTGGTTCCGAAACAAGTGTTTTCCTGTCATTTTTCAGAAAACATTTTTCGTAGAAGATGGAAGACCACGACGATCTTCGGAATCAACCACGAACTTCGAGTACAAAAGTTTTGACGAAAAACTAAAAAGAAAAGCACCGAACCAAATAAAATGGTTTACCGTCTTCATGTTTCTTGCTGGACAACCTGCAGTACGACGACTATTCTAGTACGTTTTCCAGACGAGGCAAAGAACGAACTACGAGACAACTGAGGGACGAAAACGCGGTCAGACGCAGAGGACTTAATATTCCTGAACGAAACCGAAAGTAAACCGAGTCACAACTTCATCTAGGTACTTAGACATGAAGTGGTGAAAGTGCAGCTGCAATTATCTTTATGTTATCTCGTAAATCATCTACCGATAGACGCCGCGCGCAACTGACGGACACGAAAATAAGCCGCGTGTAAGTGCTACGTACGTATACCGATGCGTTTGATCTTGATGCTTTTCAGCTATCTCCTATACCTATCTACAACTTGTTTTTCTTCACGACATTAACGAGAAAATCTTGCTGCTTCCTCGACGTTTCTTCTTGGACAAAGTAAACTCAGAACAGCGGTCTTCATCTCGGGGGACAGAGGCTGTAACTCTGTTCACAATAGTGCAGCAGCAGTAAAGCATGTCAGGTGCGTTGGAACCGCGCTGCGCTTCTTCTTCAGCAGGGCTGGTGTTGCAATCTTCCACATTACTCCTACTGAGATTTCGATTTCCGCTGGGGTAACTTAAGAAAGCTCGCGTACTGAAGGTGTTTAGATCATCAGGGTTTCTGTTTACTTCATGCACATTACACAGTGTAAAAATACATCCGGAAGACTCAAGTATTTGTCGACAGAGAAGGAGCACGCGTACCCAATGGACCATCGATGTGAAGTAAAACAAAAACATACAGCTGGTGTTGGGGTACAAGGAAGGAGAACGGTAAGAATAAATGCACTATCTTCACTTTTTCTTTTTCTTGCCCTTTCCCTTGCCGCTTTTCGGCGAGTCGTCGCCACTGGAAATCTATGCCCTGCAAAAGTTCTTGTAGTCGCACAAGCATTTGCATGATCATCAGCACTACAGCCCCTTCTCACGCAAAAATCTGCTTAGGACATCAACATCGAAGATCTTTTTTTTCACTTGTTTGATGATGTTTCACAGACACGGGGTCTTTCTCCGCACCTTTGGAAACGAAAGTCAAAGTGCATCTCTGTCTGACTCCTTGCCAAAATCTCTGCTTGTAGTCATGCGTTTCGTGTTGCTGCAAGTTGTAGGGGGCGGGCAACATTCTATTTCTCTTTCATCATATCGTGAAGTTGTATCGAAAGCCTGCGCAAAAACATGCATCTAGTCTACTGTAAGAACAACCACTTTTGCAAAGCATACCTTCCCTCTTTTCTTTCCCTTGCCTTTTTTCCCTTTCTTCCCCTTCTTGCCTTTTTTCCCTTTCTTGCCTTTCTTTCCCTTCCCTTTGTCAGACGAATCGTCTTCGGTTTTCTGCTATCCAGTGCAAATGCAATACATGGGGATTTGGGTCATGCAATAGCTTTTCTTCCGCGAAAATTATCGTTTGCTTCATCTATGCTGATGGCTGTTGATTGTGAATATTGTGCGTGCAAAAGTGATATCCTGCAAAATTCATTTTCATACAGTGTATCAACATGACAGCTGGGGACTTTCGCAATCAAAAGAGGACCCGAATCAGATGTGAAGATGAATTTGCAACGCGTATCTCCGTGGGTCCCACGCTCGCGGCGGTTTCGGTTTCCTCTTCGCTATGGCGCTCTCAAACCTTAGTACATTGATCGCCCGTACACGATTTTCATTTCTTGCTACACCAGAATGGTAAAAGTAGAAGGGGGGGAACCGAAAAGCAACAGCTACAGCTTGTGCTTACAGCTTGCGCTTACAGCTTGCGCTTACAGCTTGCGCGGCTTGCATTACAGATTGTCACGGACATCAATTCCCATACTATTGAAAATTTACCGCGTCATCTCAAACTTGTGAAACACAGTAACTTGATTGTGTGAATCTGGAAGATCATAGTCCTCGTGGTAGTGATTTTGCATGATAACGAGAAATTATGCAACGGCGATCAATCATGTGACATCGATCCATATTACGATAACGATCGGACGAATACTTAAAAAAAGCCAGCCACTTTCTCGCTGCAGCAAACTGCCCAGGAATGAATCATAATACAGTGATATAATTCGTCCCAATAGAATCACGTCAGAACTCACTGCACGATATAATTTTCACACCGGGGGTTGACAAAAGTTTCACTGCGACTGGACGAATACGAGTGGTGATGTTGGATACTAATCTCTGTAGCTTTTTTCTAAACGAAAGAGCATTTTGCACGATAATGAAGCGGCGATATTTTTTCATTTTTGTCCACCGGACGAAGAGGCACGAATAGTTTATGTTGGACGGTACTAGCGGAAAGAAGAGATAAAGACGAGGGCGGTCTGAAACAAAGAGACGCAAAAAGAGCGTACGAAACGACAGAAAATAACGACCAGAAAAACTAAAAATTCAGTCCGGAAGTAACAAGTACCAGGCCCTACTTGTTCATTTTCATCGAACATCAAAACAAGCGAGAGGACATCCATCACGAGAACGCGAAAGACCACGACCACAGCTCTAGAGGAACTTCATCACGGTCCCTTCGTCGCGTCTGTCCCCTGGTCCTCGCACGAAAGGAGGAGGGTTGTTTGATTCTAATGTGAGATGAAGACTAAAAGTATCAACCAAGAGCCGCCTGATGTTTTTGGGGTTTCTGTTTGCTGACATCTGCTATTCGTGTTCCTATCACTCTTCTTTGCTGCTGTAAGCCTAGTAGTTGTTGTTGCTCGGCATGGTACAAAAATTCCTCGTGTTCATCTCATCCTAGACGGCGGATCACCGCTACATGTCCAAATCGAGGAACTATTTTTCCCAACACTTTGCGTTTGCACTTGCAGAACTTCATCGGCGTAAGTAATTCATTTTCATTTAGGACGAGCGACAAATAAGAGGACCACGGTGTAGCAAGTGCAAAGAGCAAACTTCAGTTCTCAGCTCATCAAGTTAGCGACAGCGGACTTTTTCAAATTAATACAATACTACTTCAGATCGGCGATGAAAAAGCTCCGGAGTAACTTCAGTACTAAGGTGTTCCTGTTTGACCACCCTTGTAAGAGTCTCTTCGTCGCTTGCTTGATAAGGTATCTTCTTCCTCGAAGGCGTTCTTCCTGTGGAAGATTTTTATTGGTCAAAAATACTTCTAGCTTTCTTCTCGGTGAAACGGGGGTAATACTGCGGCAAATTTTGCACTTTCTATGTAAACGTGCTTCTAAGATTTGTTTTTCGTAGTAGCGAAGTTGTAATTAAGTTAGTACTCATGATGGGCGCCATTCATGTTGAGTGGCCAAAAAGCTGCGGAGACAAGGGGGTCCCTCGAAACCACGTAGTAAACTTTCCCTTTTCACAACTGTGCGTTGCAACTCTCTACTGCAGAAGCTGATGTGCTAAGTACGTTGATGTTGATCGGAGGTACCATACGCAGCACAACCTATCAACATTCCGTGGCAGGAGCTCAAGGACACTAGAATCGGATTGATTTTTGTACCCAAGAACGACTACGACGTGTAATTTCTGATCTGCTCGTACAACAGACTGGACAACAACATCACCGCTGCAAAAAGAAGAACTACAAATGCTGGCCGCTAGTATCTTCAGGAGTACTATTTACAACTAGAGGCTACGTCTTTCTGATATATAATACGAAACTTCGAGACGAGATGAGTACTTAAGCTTATACTTTCTTAATTTTTGTGCCATTATTCGCGCCAGAAGTTTGAGTCATAGATCTTGATGCAGGAAATATCAAATGCGCATTGACATTTATAATTCCCGCACTACGACTACAGACACTATCCCGATGGGGTACTACACCGGGATGATGTAGTAGACAGTAGGTTTCAGCTAAGCAGCGAGCGAAAATTTTAGAATCATGGCACGGCTGCTGCTCAGAGAAGGTCAACTACTAACTTCTGCTTGCTTCGCTTGTCGTGCAAGAACTTGTTCTGTGACAACATTACTAAATATTTCGCAAATCAAATCTCGGTCTGCAAACTGACTCTGGGGGTCGACATACTTGAAAATAATTTGAAAAGACCAAAATTACGTGCTAAAAAAAAAAAATGGAATACCGGGCTCTTGCTCTGACTAGAAGGTTGTGAAGCACCAGTTTGATTTTGATGGATAGCAAAAGGAAGAAAGAGAAAATGGTTTCACGGTGGTGCGAAGGAATGGACTTCGGTTTCTTTTTCGAAACAAGGAAATTGATTTTTTTTTTTTGTGAAAAGATAACGCTGAAGCGATTTTTTGGAAGTGCCACTCACTGTAACTGTTCATGGAAACAAAGAAATGAATAGTAAAATCAAAAGAATCATACACTTTTTTAGGTTGAAATTGCCTTCCGTTTACAGTTTTTTTTCGAGTTTTGTTCTTTCTTGTCATCTTCTTCTTGTAGACTCGAAGGCTTTGTAAATTGTAATTGTGGCTCACGTACTTTGTCAAATTCTAATACATACAGCAGGATCGGCTTCGGACTTGCATCAACATCTGCTACTTTTCAGTTTTACGCATTGAGATACCTTTTTTTTTGCTCTGCACAATTCAAGGGGGCCGACGCCCCCCGTCCTCCCGCCGAGACTTCTGCGCATAACACTTTCGACGAATTGAAATTTGCGCCTCCTTTTGGCGTTTTCAGCAGCAGCCGAGAAAACCGCCGGAGGACTCGGTTTTTTCCTGTATCGCGAGCAGAAATCCCCCCCCCCCATATTGGCAAGGTGCGTTTTCGAAAATTTGCGTTGCTGATTTGTGACCACAAATCGTCTCTGTGTTGCATGAAGGCAACTCTACAGGCTCCGCCGCATAATTCTACAGGCGGTTTGTCACGCTGTTGCTCCTACAGCGTGGACGTCTGTCATGCTAAGGGCCTAGGCCAAACCCTGTCTAGTACTCAGGTGGCTTGATATGGGCCATTAGATGTTGTCCTCACCAGCAAGACAAATCTGATTTGTGTACGCAAATCCAGCATCAGAAACTTTGTTTCGATATGGGGAGGGGTGATTTTTCATTCTGATATCCTCCTCCTCTTCCTTTTCTCCGTCGCCACCCCCGCCAATAGCATCCCCTGGGTTAGCCACCAGATTCCCCAAGCTGGCGACCGTTTCGATCGCCCCGCCGCTGCAGGTTCCCGCCAGAGGAGACGATTCTGTCGCGTTCCCTTCGAAGTTGCACCCGTAGATGAGGCACTGCACCGGGTTGTAGCTGAGCATGCTGCAGTCCCTTTGCTTGTCCGCCCCAACGCAGACTTTCATGTATCAAAAGGAAAAATCCCCCCCTTCCATATCAAAAGGAGATTTCTGATGCGCGATTTGTGTACACAAATTCACCTGTAGTATTGCTGGAAGGCAACGAGAGACATCACCCACAGCCTACCTCTAGGCACTTTGTCATGCTGTTCTGGGCAATGCAGTTGGTTCCTGTCATGCTGAAGATGCAAGGCTTACACGCGCCAGCCAGCATTGCATTACAGCCCGCAGCGATCTCTTCCCTTCTAGCATGACAAAGTGATTTGTGATCACAAATCATGCTAGACAAATTCCACTTTGAGTATGGGGGGTGAGGGATCTTTCCTCATGATATCATGCGGTCCGTGTTCGGAGACAAGTTCTCGGTTGCAAAAACGCCCTTCCAATACTCCAAGCCGGCTTTGCATGGAAGTGTCAGGATTGAAATCGTGAAAGTTGAAATGATTTGTCATGCATAAAATGCAAGGCATGAAGTGCCTGTCTTGCCGAGATAGCAAGTGAGGCAGATTGTGAGCCTATTTAGGGTTTGGGACAGAGCTGCTAGAGGAGCATGACAAAAGCAGTCTTCTGTGCCCAAACAGCATGTCACACTGGATTTGGACGGTTGCGAAATTTGTCATGCGCCGCTTGGAAATTGGGCTTCCAACTGGTATCGATTTTATGCATCACAAGTTATTTCAACTTTGTCAATTTCAATCCTGACACAACCATACTTTGCTCGCTTCGCCCAGCATCAGGTGCGTCCCCACGTATGAACTGCAAACGTATCGCACTAGTAGTAATTGCAATACAAATTAGCTCAGCACGACAAATGCGGTTTGTCATGCTGTTTTGACTTGGGATGGAGATTTGTAATGCATGACTGCGATTACTATGAGTACGATACTTTTGCACAGCATACCACGCCCCCGCCGTCAATGAGCGAGACCAGCTCCGCACGGTCCAACTGGACATTATCAAATACAAGTATGTCTAGGTCTGGAAGCTTCCGAGACTTGTAATGCAGATTTTGCATGTTGACCCAGAACGTCTGCAATCGATGACCTAGCATCACAGATTTTTAGAGGGCTCCTTCCGGTTCATCCGGATGCCTAATCCGCATGACAAATGCCCTCCCCGCGTAGCACAAACGAGACTTCTCTTGCTGATCATGCAATACAGATTTTTTTGGAGTCCAGAGTTATAGCATCACAAGCTCCAACCTTCCAGACCCAGACATTTTTGCATCTGATAGACATCAGACACAGACAACGCGACCTGGACGAGCGAGTAGTCCACAAACTTGCAGTGGCTGGAGGTGGGGCAAAACTCTTCCAGGTCCAGCGGTATGCACTGCAAAAGTATCGTAGTAATTGCAGTCACGCATTCTTCTAAAGGTAAATCCGCATTACAAATTTTATTTCTCATGCTAAGGAAATTTGTAATGCATTTACACGAGTATCGGATACTTATTTTACACTGCATAAGCGGCGATTGCTCGTACTGCAGGGTGACGGCGAAGCACTCGTCGTGCGTGTAAGAGATCGGGGCCCCGGCACTACCGACTTGCTCCAAAGTGTGCACGGCGTCCTGTAGTCCGTCAAGCCTTCCAACTTCGGCCAGTTCTATGAAGGTACGTCCGTCAGTAATAGACTACAGTGGCACGCTTTTCAAAGTAGATGCCGCATCTACTTTTTGGTAGATACGGCTTTTAGAAATTTTGAAAATTGTATCTCCTTTCATTTCGGGCATTTTGGGATTGCTCCTTGGTTTTTCAAGGATCAATCCTTGGTAATCCAAGGATCAATCCTTGAAAGCCAAGGATTGATCCCAAAATGACCGAAATTGAAGTAGATATGGTATTGGGAAGAAGACGCAAGCAATTTGCTGTCTCGACAACGAAAAAGAGTGCGCCACGTTGTCAGAGACAGCAAATCGCCTAAGCAAGACGAAGAAGGAGCACCCAGCAAGCAAGAAATGGGCCGCGACGATACCAGGTCCGTGCATCCAACTCCGTGGCCGGGCACTGCGCAAAGAAAGTGCTAAAGCAATCGCAAAGAGGGCGCTACTCTCGTCTTTGACTTTGGAAAAACAATCGCCGCGGGGCGTCTTCGCCCCGGTCAGGGTGCCTGCGTCCTGCAGGTGGGCTCCGACCCCATTGGCGCGCCGTGCCTTGCTTCTGCGCACGCGCCCCGCTGTTGTGTTTCTCTTGGGTTCGCTCTCGTTGATGGCTATGGCATTGCTATCGGCATGACCACTATGAGACGAGGGCGCAGACACTGTCTGTGGCCTTGGCGCGCGGGCGTGTTCCTGTGTGTGTATGGGAATAAGTATGGCATGCGCGCGAGCACAATGAATGGCAGCCAAAGGGGAAGAAGGCCGCCACGGCTCTTCCTTGTTTGCGTTTAGGCCTTGCGCCTTTGTTTTCCAGTGCGGCTGTTTTGAATAATTTTACTAGCACCCGGGAACCGGAAGCAAAGCCCAAAGCTGAGGCTTTCCCGACGGCCAAATCTCATACCCGCGAGCACGGAGTGAGATTTTCCCAGCCCCAAAGCGAAAATCTCGCGCCCTGGTGTCCAGGGCATGAGATTTTCGCTTTCCCGGCTCCAAAGTCTCATACTCGCGAACAGGGCATGAGATTTCCCCAGCTCCAACACCCCATGCCCTGGTGGCCAGGGTATGAGATTTTCCCGGGTCCGAAACATTATACCCGCGAGCAGGGCGTGAGATTTTCGCTTTCCCCGCTCCAAAATCCTGCTCCAATGGCCTCAGCAGGCCAGGGCGTGAGATTTTGCCAGCTCCAAAAGATCACGCCCTGGTGGCCAGGGCACGCTGGAGATTTTCCCGGCTTCAAAAAATCACGCCCGCGGGCAGGGCATGAAAGTTCTCCGGCTTCAAAACTTACGCCCAGGTGGCGAGGGCAAAGAGATTTTCCCAGCTCCAAAATCTCATGCCCGGGTGGCCAGGGTGGGCGTGAGATTTTCCCGGCTTCGAAAAATCATGCCCGCGAGCAGGGCATAAAATTTTTCCGGCCGAAAATCTCACGCCCTGGGGGCGGGGGTCGGTGTAAGATTGTCCTGGCTCCAAAGTCTCTTGCCCTGGTGGCGAGGGCATTGGGTTTCCTCGGCTCCAAAGTCTCATACTCGCGAGATGGGCATGAGGTTTCTCCGACTCCGAAAGCCCATGCCCACGAGCAGGGCACGCAGGAGATTTTCCCGACGGCAAAATCTCACGCCCTAAGGTTCACGAGCCACACCACTTAAGCCAAGAAAGCCGAAAAAGCAATCTCAAATCGACTCCCCTGTCGTCTACCAAAACCCGCAACGCCTCCCCTTCCCCAGGCCAACCCCCCCGCACCCCAATCCGGCCTCCACCTTCCCGCGCCCGGGAAGTTCCACCCTCCCGGGCCCGGCCTTCTCCGTCACGGAGTGGGTCTCCTCCTCCGTCCTGCGCCTGGCCTCCTCCTCCCTCGGTCGCGCCCGCCCTCCCCTTCCCCGCGCCCGAATTCTACCTTCCTTCCCGCGGGCGCCCGGCCTCCGTCGGCCTCTCCGAACCCGGGCGACCGCGATTCTGGAGCCGGGGAAACCCAACACCCTCGCCACCAGGGCATGACATTGCGGAGCCGGAAAAATCTCGCGCCCTGCTCGTCGTGGGGGTGTGTGAGGTTTTGGGGCGGGGAAAATCTCACGCCGTGCTCGCGGGTATGAGTGAGATTTGGGGGCCGGGAAAATCTCATACCATGGCCGCGCGAGGCTTCGGAGGGGGCTGGGAAGATCTCAAGCCGTGCTCGCGGGTATAAGATTTGGGAGCCGGGGAAGTTTCATGCCCTCGCCGCCAGGGCATGAGATTGCGCTGCACGGAACATCTCACGCCCACGAGCAATCAGGGCGTGAGATTTACAGCCGGGAAAACCTCATGCCCACGGGCAGGGCGTGAGATTTTGGGCCCCGACAACTCTCATGCCCTGCTCGCGGGCATGAGATTTTGGAGCCGGGAAAATCTGCCGCGCGCCCTGCTCGTGGGCGTGAGGTTTCAGAGCCGGGAGAACCTCACGCCCTCGCCACCAGGGTATGAGATTTTGGAGCCGTGAAAACCTCACACCCTCGCCACCAGGGCGTGAGATTTTGCAGCTGGGAAAATCTCCTGCGTGCCCTGCTCGTGGGCATGCGATTTCAATTCGGAGTCGGAAAAATCTCATGCCCCGCTCGCGGGTATGAGATTTTGGAGCCGAGAAAACCCCACGCCCTCGTCACCAGGGCATGAGACTTTGGACCCGGAAAAACCTCACGCCCTCGCCGCCAGGGCGTGAGATTTTCGGCCGGAAAAGTAAAGACCTCGCGCCCTGCTCGCGGGCATGATTTTTTGAAGCGGGGAAAACCTCACGCCCTGACCACCCGGGCATGAGATTTTGGAGCTGGGAAAATCTCATGCCCTCGCCACCAGGGCGTGAGATTTTGGAGCCGGAGAAATTTCATGCCCTGCTCGTGGGCATGATTTTTTGAAGCCGGGAAAATATCACGCGTGCCCTGGCCACCAGGGCATGAGCTTTCGGAGCTGCGAAAATCTCACGCCCTGCTCGCGGGTATAATATTTCGGACCCGGGAAAACCTCACGCCCTGGCCACCAGGGCATTGGGTTTCGGTGCTGGGCGAATAAATCTCATGCCCTGGCCGCCAGGGCGGGAGGTTTCGGAGCTGGGAAAATCTTACTCCGTGCTCGCGGGTATGAGATTCCTTTGGGGGCCGGGAAGGTCTCACTTCGTTCCGGTGCCCGGGTGCGAGTAAAATTATTTTAAAGAGCCGCGCTGGAAAAGAAAAGAGCAAGAACTGAACTCAAACAAGGAAGAGCCGCGGCGGCCTTCTTGCCCTTTGGTTGCCATTGTGCTCGCGCGCCTGCCATGTTTCTTCTCATACACGCACAGGCACACGCCCGCGCGCCAAGGCCACCGACAGTGTCTGCGCGCGCCCCCGTCTCATAGTCATGCCGATAGCAATGCCACAGCGACCAACGAGAGCAAACCCCAGAGAAACACAACGGCGGGGCGCCGCGCGCCAATGGGGCCGGAGCCCAATGCCAGGGCGCAGACACAGACACTGAGCGAAGACGCCCCACGGCAATTCTTTGCTCCTTCGAAGACGAGAGCGCTTGCGTTGCGATTGCTTTAGCACTTTCTTTGCGCAGTGCCCGGCCAAGGAGTTGGATGCACGGCCCTGGTATCGTCGCGGCCCATTTCTTGCTTGCTGGGTGTTCCTCCTTCGTTTTGCCTAGGCGATTTGCTGTTTCTGACAACGTAGCAGACCCTTTTTCGTTGTCGAGACAGCAAATCGCTCGCGTGTTCTTTCAAAAACCGTATCTACTTCAATTTCGGCTATTTTGGGATCAGTCCTTGGCTTTCAAGGATTGATCCTTGGACTACCAAGGATAGATCCTTGAAAAACCAAGGATCAGTCCCAAAATGCCCGAGATCAAAGTAGATACAATTTTCAAAATTTCTAAAAACCGTATCTACCAAAAAGTAGAAACGGTATCTACTTTGAAAAGCGTGCCACTGTAGTCTAAACTGACGGACGTACCTTCATAGCCAGTTCCTCATCCGCAACCAGGGCCGCGAAGCTCACGATGACGCTTTCAACCAGAGCCTCACCGTCACCAGATCGCGCCGCCATGTTCACGGCGCCTCTGAAGAGGCTGCACTATGGGACTCTCAAACGTTACACTCTTAACTGGTGCATGAATTTGCCATGCAGAATCACTATCACGCTTCTCACGATCAAGCTTCTTCGCATGAAAAATTGTTGTTCTCGGCAAGCTAAATAGCATTGCAATTTGTGTAATGCAAGACGCGCAAGGTCCCCCCTTTGACTTTTGCAAATATTCTTGCATCACAAATTCATGTAACGGTTGAGAATGTAACGTCTGAGAACGCCATATGCACTGAATCGGCCTGATCCACGACACGGGGCTCCTCGCCGGGGCTCCTCGCACATCCGCTTCCGCAATGCCAAAAATGGTCATGAGGTGGGCCCTGAGCGCCCTAGCGTCGCTGCCAGCCATCTCCACCGCTTTCGCCAGGTGTTCAATCTGAACCGCCGGGACATCAAGAAGGATGCATCCTTTGACAGTATGGAGGGATTTGCAAAAGTTACACTCTAAAACTGTTGCACGAATTTGCTGTCCTCTCATGCAAGAACAGCATCTTCAACTTATTTAACAGTGAATGTATCTATATAAGGTGCAAGGTTCTTGCAGCTCTCGTCCCGACACAAATTTGGCCCAGATAAAAATTTCGATGCGGTTTTTTAGAAGCCGCCTTCGAAGGTTTGTCCTCATGCGAAGTTGTTGTAAGCAGCTTGATCGCCTGGCGGATTCATTCTGGTAAAAATTTTGCATGACAAAAATTCATGTAACAGAGGAGAATGTAACAGTTGAGATGATGAGATGTATCCCATAAACAGGTGGCAGCCTGCGCGGATCGTAGGCTTCCTGCCACTCCGGAAGCCTGGACGTGCAGGAAATGTCCGCGGTTTCGGTGGGCGTAAAAGTAGCCGGATCGATGTCGTCCGAGTTCGCCTGACACCAACCACCACCATTGGCCGAAATACAGTTTTCCACCTTCTCCGCCGTAGTTACGCCAATGTTGCTCTGCTCTAGACATTATCCTGTGCAAAAGTATGAGTATCGTACTCGAACTCGTAGTAATAAATAAAATTCTAAAAATTGCGATCATGCATTACAAATCTCTCTCTTAAGGCAACTCAGCATTTACAAATTTCATTTTTCACGCTGAGGAAATATATAATTTGTAATACATTTATACAAGTATCGGATACTTTTGCATTGCATAGACATCTGTAGTGCGCGAGATGCACTTCCTCCGCCTCGAAGCACTTCCCAATAAATTGCGCGGTTTTCACCATCCAGCCCTTTTCCAGCGTATTCGCGTCGCCCCACACACACTTCTTAGCCGCCACGCCCATGACCCAGTGCCCCGTCGTCAAACCGTTGCACGCCTTCTCCGCTGCCACCATGTCCATGCCATTGGTGTTGACGTCACGGCATTCCATCGGTGTTCCGATCACCTTTTGCTTTATTTTCGGCTTGCAGACATTGTTGATGTTGTCCCAGGAGCAGGATGCAAGCCTCTCGCAGTCGCCTGCTTCCGTCGACCCTGCACAGAACGACAAGGGGGGGCTCACGGTGATGATGGTCTCAATATCATTTCCCTCAGGTTTCGCTCCGAACATAGGCTTCGGGTTATTGAGAGGAAAAATCCCCCCTCCCGATATTGAATACGATATGTTTGTGTTGCTGATTTGTGACCACAAATCAGCCGTGTCTTGCAAGGCGACAAGTGCAGAGGCTGCATCCGCCCAATTGTGCAGCGATTTGGCATGCTGTTGGTCCTAGAGGGTAGCCGTTTGCAATGCTGAACAACTAGACCTGAGCGCTCCCACCCAGGCTGCCAGACATCTGGCAGGACGAGTGCCGTGCTGCAAGACATCAAGTCGGATTTGGTTACACAAATCAGCATCAGAAGTTTCCACTTTGATATGAGGAGGGGGGATTTTTCATTTTGATACGGGTTGGGCAGCTTCGACACGCACTTGATGGTCTGGTCCGGGTACGCAGTGAGGTTCCACTTTCCGTCGACCCTCGTATGGCGTTCTCAACTGTTACATCCTCAACTGTTACATGAATTTGTGATGCTAAAACAACCGCACCGACATTGCCATTGTCCGGCGTCGCTGGGGAGGCAAGCCTCCGCAGGGGCCAGAGCGGCATAGGGTCAGAGCCAAATGAATTTGTGATGCAAGAATGGCAAAACTCAAAGCAGGAAGGTTGCACCTGTAGCATTACAAATTCCGCACAGATTTAGGCGCTTTTTAGCCTTGCAAAAATTTGCCATGCGAAGTAGCTTCACCTTGTGGATGTTGATGCTCATTTTGCATGACAAATCATGTAACAGTTGAGAATGTAACGTTTGAGAGTCCCATACCTCGGGATGGCATCGTCGAAGGTAGCCTTGCAGGACGCCGCAAGCGCGGTTTCGCACTGGGCCTTCCCGTCGACCCCCGTGCCACCGCCGTACGCCGGGCAACCCAGCAGCGCGGCCATCAGCCGCTGACCGCTGTAGCACTGCGGGGGAGGCATGTCGCCGGTTTTAGTATGGATTGAAAAAGTAGTGTCTGGGTCCGGAAACTTGTGATGCTGGGTGGCGTATCATGAAGAGGCCACAAGTGCTGGCTCACCATGACAAGCTTTTGAGCTTCTAGGTGTTGGCGTTGCCTATTCTGCATGACAAGCTGCGTTTCTGCATCACAGCAAAATGGGGCTCTTGGGTAACGTGCATGACAGATTTAAGAGTCATGCCAGACAAGCATGACGAACATGCACTCTTCCAGACTCAGACATATTTGCATTTGATACTTAGTACTCCGCCGCGAGGATGAAGATGATCTATCAAATGCAAAAGTGTCTGGGTGTGCAATGTTGCCGGGTTTGTCGTGCAAATTTTGCATGGCCCAGGATGTCTGTAATGCACGACCTAGCATCACAGATTTTTAGAGGGCTTCCTGATGGCTACTCCGCATGACAAATGCCCTGCAAGCGTTGCACAAACTAGATTCCTGCTCTTGCTGGTTATGCAATACAGGTTTTTTTAGAGTCCAAAGTTAGCATCACAAGTTCCAACCTTCCAGACCCAGACATTTTTATATTTGATATGATCCCAACTCCAGCAAACTGGCGTCTGACGGAAGCGGTTGCGGATTCTCCTGGAGCGGGAGCAGAATCGCGTCCTCGATTGTGTTCCCCAGCTGACATATCGAATGCAAACATGTCTGGGTCTGGATGAGTGCAGAAGTTTGTCATGCATCTTTTGGATCACGCAAAGAAATGGTCTGGTCTCTAATGCACGCAAAAGCATTACAGGTTTTATTGCGCAGGCCTCTTGATCCCTAATCCACATGAGAAAATCCCTAGTTGCGCAGCAAGAAATGGCCAGCTTTTGGCGTTCACCAAATACAAATTTTTGCCTATTCCAGAAGCCGCGTCACAGTTTCTTGGAACCTTCCAGACCCAGAGATATTTGCATTTGATATGACAGTCGACTTTGCCATCGTCGTCCACGTCCGTTTCCTCGCACTCAATTACTTGAAACGGTTTCAGTGTTTTGCACCCTTCTTCCAACGGGGATGAGACCAAAGAGTCGAACGCCGACAAGTCGGCCTGTTGCGGATTCGCGCCCCCACCAACGCCCATGGCTGTGACAATCTGGTAATCGTCGCTGTGCACGGAATATTCTGTGCAAAAGTATCGCACTCGTATAAATGCAAGTCTTGCATTGCAAATATTTTTCTTAACGTAAATCAGCATTACAAATTTTATTTCTCATGCTGAGGAAATTTGTAATGCATTTATACGAATGCGATGCTTTTGCAGTTCATACGGAAACGCACGCTTTTCCTCCCGCGCTATTTACCACGACACGACAGTTATGGAAGCGTCAGGATCGAAATCGTCAAAGTTGAAATAATCTGTGATGCAGAAAAGCGATACAAGCTGGAGCCCAGTTTGCAAGTGGCGCATGACAAATTTTGGGAGCATGGAATTGGAAATCGAATTTGTCATGCTGTTTGCGCAGAGAAGACTGCTTTTGTCATGCTATCTTAGCAGCTCTACCTCACACCCCAACAAACAGGCTGATGATCGGCCTCAGTTGCCTGCTCTGCAAGACAGGCCCTTTGCGTCTAGCATTTTATGCGTCACAAACTATTTCAACTTTGACGATTTCAATCCTGACACTTCCATAACAATCGAACTGCGCGTACATCGTGCCGTCCGGGTCTCGCAGCCACTTATGGGGTTTTCAAACGTTACGCTCTCAACTGTTTTTACACGATTTTTTACGCAGCATTCTTGCCATTCATATCTTTATCTCCACGATCTTCAAGCTGCTTCGCGTAACAAGTTTTTATCGACGCGCCAAATAGAATCAAAATCTACTGCGCCAAGAAACCTGTAGTGGTATATGCATTTAAAGCGCAAGCTCCCTCCGTTTCGTTCGCTTTGTCTGTTCTTGCAGCACAAATTATTCATGTAACAGCTTTGAGAGTTGTCCCGTACCACTGCCGAAAGTCGTCGCTGCTGCTGCTGCTGCTGCAGCAGTGATGTTGGTTGGAAGCCCGAAAACGGCCGAAAATTGGCGCACCACACTAAACGGCTCGCAACAAGCTTAGAATGCGACACCCTTGAAAGGCGATGGGAAACACTAACACAGAGAGAAAGTGGTGGGCGGGACCATGTCCGCAGCCGACGCCCTAAAATGGGCCGGGCCTGCAAATCCCGGAAGACGGTCCGATATGATGCTGAAAGCCGGAAAGTAAAACAGCCTGAAAGCGGGCCACGATTATGATGCTGGGGGCGGATACGTGGAGAGGACGTCAATTGATACACTCAGCCACCCCAACAACAGGTCAAGGCGAAACTGAAAGACGGCATCCTGAAACGGGCACAGACCCTGAAAGATTGTCGACATGAAGTCGGAACTTGGCAATCTGAAGTGGGCGGAAACTTTACACCCTGAGACGGGCGCCAAAGATGTGCTGCAACAGGCAGTCTGAAAGAAAATTGCAACTCACCGCACAGCGCGGCTGTTCAATAAAATAGGACCCTTTGACCAATACCGGCCTTCCTACGACTGTGAAGCATCGCCGGCCACTGAAGTGCCAGTAGATGCAGATGCGGAAAAAAACGCGCTAGGGTGCGCAAAAATGATTGATGGCGTCTGTTCATGTCGCAGGACATGCTTGTTGGTTGCAGACCAGACTGCAGCTCTTGTAGAGGGCATGTGTGTTGGTAACAGCTTTGAGAGTCCTCCCGTACCACTGCCGAAACGAAGATCGCGGAGGTGGCGCTACTAATATCCTGTGCAAAAGCATCGTTGCTTGTTGTGCTTACTAATTGCAGTCATATCCATGACAAGTCTGCTTCTCAAGCAATATTAAAATGAGCACGACGTCGAACTCAGTTTGTAATGCTGAGCGACTTTGATGTAATGTAATTTCTTTCGCCGGCGATAAGCGCACAGGCAGAGCTGGAAAGCAACTTCCTGCCGTTGCGCGATATAAGGGGGGCTTCAGTTTCTATTTATATTAATGCGAAACCGAAAGCGATTTCTACTAAAATGCTTTCCACAGCATCTGTGGCGTACCGCCGCGGAGCGGCTTCGCGAAGGGCCGTGATGAATGCAGAAAGAAATAACCAAACCACCACCATACCGTGGGGGGAGCAGAAGCGCGGGCCGCCTTTTCCCTGCGCTGAGTAATGGGGGGGAGGGGGGGGATGCCGATGCATGCATGGTTTTTGGGGGCATTACCTGGGTAATGGTCCGACTTTTGTTGGACAAGATCTAACAGCTTTGACAGTGTAACGTTTGAGAGTCCTCCCGTACCACTGCCGAAAGTCGTCGAACAGATTTCCCGTGCACTCTTTCTCTCCCTTCAACGCGAATGCGGTATCATACAGAAAAAAGCAAGCAGGGCATAAGCATATCCTGATATTTGCAACGCAAAAAATAACTTGTACTTAACACAAAAATCTGTCATGGGCAAGCTCGTCATCGCATGCTGTTCAAGGCACGCAAGAGCGTTCTTTTTTGTGTGTTTCATCGACAACTTTCTTCGCGGATGGCGATAGCCTGTCCTCCCTCGCCCGTTCGCACGCGAATGCGCACGCTGCCGCTGGCTGGAGGGCCGACGGCGCCAACACACGACGATAAAGTCAGCCTCTGCGTCCAAGAGGTTGATTTTATGGCCGCGAAATTTCGCGACGATACAATCGACCTGTGCTTCCAGCAGGGAACAGGAATTCAGGTCTGGAGCCTGAATTCTCGTTACAGTCATGAAAAAGGACCCAAAGCTATTAGTGTACTACTAAGAGAGGAAACATAGTGCATAAATAGCTTCTTTTTGGAGACTGCGCTTGGCGCTTGGCGCTTGGCGCTTGGCGCTTGGCGCTTGGCGCTTGGCGCTTGGCGCTTGGCGCTTGGCGCTTGGCGCTTGGCGCTTGGCGCTTGTCGCGATTCCAGTTGCATCCCCGGTGGTCCTTTACATCATTAGGCTACTATCGCGATGCGCTTCTCCACTGCCCTTGTAAGTCTTCAGCTTCATCTTCGTTGCTGCTTCCTTTTAAGAAGTAGCCTTCTGACCAACTAGTTTTATTCTGTTGATCTGCTGTCCCTTTTGCATGACCAAGAGCCCAGCTTGCTCTACCTCCCAATGTATTATGTGGAGTCACTTCCTTTTTTGTGTGTTTCATCTACAACTTTCTTTTGCCTTTTAAAATATCATGCCCTGCCTGTCTTTTTCTGTGGGATATCCGGCAGCGCAAATCGGATTGCCAATATTTTCGTCGAACAGCAGCTGTCCCGACCAACGGCAGAAATTGTCTCCAGCGGTACTGTTCCACTGCCACAGGCAACTGACAGGATTATCAGTGTGGCTTAAGGCGTCCAACTGGCAGGTGTCCTTCGTTGTCTGATTGTTACAGTTATGCACTGCAAAAGTATCGTACTCGTATAAATGCATTACAAATTCCCTCAGCATAAAAGATGGAATTTGTAATACGGATTTAGATTAGGAGGGAAATTTGTAATGCATGATCGCGATTACTCCGAGTACGATACTTTTGCACAGGATAGCAGTACGCTCTCATGAAGGAGAAGGACGCCGGGTCGGCTATTGCGAGGAAAAATCCCCCCTCCCCATACCAAAACGGGACACTTCTGAAAATTTGCGATGCTGATTAGAGACCGCAAATCGTCTCTGTATTGCAAGAAGGCAAATCCAAAAACCCCGCCGCGTTCTGCAGGCAGTTTGTAGTGCTGTATTGCCTACGGAGGGTATGCCTGCCTTGCTAGGCGCCTACACCAAAACGCCCCTCCTCCGGCTTTGTATCTGCCCCTCAGTCTTCTACTGCAAGACAAAGCCGATTTGTGTACACAAATCCCGCATCACAGATTTCCATTTCGATATGGGGAGGGAGGATTTTTCCTTTGATATCGGCGCCAGCTCCTTCACCTTTGGCCGGTGCACTTCCACCCACGAGACCATCGTAGTCGCTGGGCCTTCCCGGCATGCAATGGTACTCGTACCCGCCAATCCAATTGCCTTGTTCGTCTTGCTTCACCTCGTTGTACTCCCAATGCCAGGTGCAGTCGTGGTCCGTGTTCTTGCCGCAAGTTTCTTCGGTGTCGTTTTCCGCGCAAATCTCCGTCACCCGGCCTTCGTTCACAACACACTTCTTCATCTCCCCGGGCTTGTCACTCTTGAAAATGCACCCGTCAATCTTGTTGCATGTAGCCGCGTCCCCGCCTCCTGCTTCACACGGGTCCGTCGTCGCGCCCCCACCAACGCCCCCGAAGGCTACCACGATTCCGTACTTCTCGGGCGGAGCGTGGCGGGACTCGCACTTACCCGAGGCACCACCTTTGCTGGTACAATCGAACTGCCTGTACATCCAGGGATCGATTCGCAACCACTGCGCCGCCTCCTCGAGCGCATTTTCCGTGCACTTTTTTGTGAACCCTGCTGCGAGCTCGCAAAGCCGATCTCCCAGCTTTTTGTCGAACAGCAGCTGTCCCGACCAAGTGCAATAGTTTTCTTTTCCACCCACACTGCCGTCCCACATCATGACGCAACTGGCACCAGCGCTAGGGCCCGCCGCATGCACTGCACTCTGACCTTGAGGCAGGGTCAAGGTGCACGTTTTTTGCCCCTGCTTTTCACAGTACTCTTGTTCCATGGAAGTCTGGTCGGGGGGCGAGACCTCCCCTCCGCGCAAGCCGTATAGAGGGATCCACTTCGGTAACCGCGACATGCAACTGATTTCGGTCGAGTCTTTGTCCGCGAGGTTGCCGGTAAAATTCGGATCTGCAGGGTACGCGCGGCAAGATAACCCATCCAGAGCATCCATGCAGGCCTGTTCTCCAATCTGGCCTATTGTGAGGAAAAATTCCCCCGCCCCAAATCAAAACGAGCAATCGCATGCTGGATCTGCGTAACGCATAAATCACACTTATCTTGCGGGAGGGAACTGCAGGCCCATGCCAAGCCTGAGTAGAAGGGTTTCGGTCTAGGCGCTTTGCATGAAAAACGTCCGCGCTGTATTAGGCCCAGCAGCACCATAGCAAACCGCTCGCATAATGTTGCGGCGGAACCTCCTGTGGCGTTGCCTTCTTGCAAGAACGACGTGGTCTGTGGTCACAAATCAGCAACACAAATTTTCGGAAACGTGCCTCCTTGTCAATATGACGAGGGGGGATTTTTCCTCACAATATGGCCGGTCTGCTTCGTGCCGTTCGTGCCGAATTTCGCGCATTCAAATTGCGCGTCTGCCACTTCGTTTGTTTCGAAGCATTTTTCGACGTAAACTGCCGGATATACACCCCACCAGGACGGCCACTTGTATTCGCCCCACGCGTATCCTAAGTAAATAATTTCCCGTACACGTACAAATGCGGAGGTCTCTGCATGACAAATTTGGGCTTCCGATCCGCTTCGATCCTAGTTTAGCATGACAAGTGTGCTGGCAGCGCTCCAAATTGGTGAAATTTGTGAAGATGCATCTTGTACATGTACGAGTGGAAATTCGTATTGCATAACGCGCATTTCGGGGTCATGGCCGTGTTCGGGAGAATGATTTTGGTGCACTTCGCCTCCTCCTCGATCGTGCTGCAGTCAGGCGAGCTGCCCTCTATCGTAAGGAAACATCCCCCCTCTCCATATCAAAACACAGAAAGCTTCTGATGCTGGACTTCCGTACGCAAATCGGATCTCTCTTGCAGTAGAGGAATGCGAGCATATGCCGCGCCTGAGTGCAGAGCTTCTGACGTGGGCGCCCAGCATCGCAAATGTCTAAACAGTAGCCCAAGCAGCATCACAAACCGTCCGCGTAAGTAATGCGGCGGAGACTGTAGAGTTGCATTCTTGCAAGACAAAAAGATTTTTGTGGTCACAAATGAGCCAAAAATTTTCTGAGGGGTACCTTTTTGATATGGGGAGGGGGATTTTTCCTTACGATACTGCCCCCTGCTCCCGAGCCGGGTGGAACAATGACGGGACCTCGGGTTTGGACGTACGGCTCCTCCTCGGGCAGCCGGGCTTGGCAAAGCACCACATCCGATTCCTCGACGGAGGTTTTGGCTGAATCTTCCAAGTACGCTTGGCAATCGTCTTCCACACGCGTTTCTGTGCATTGCTCCACCGCCTTTTGTCCCATACCTCCACCCAGTTTCGGGCACGCCTCGGCAGCGTTTTCCAACGCCGTCACCTCGAAGCACTCCGGCTGCATTTGAGTAGTAGAAAAGACCCATCCAAACTTCGGCTTTTTGCCTTTTCCGTCCCACTGGCACATCCGGTTCAGATGTTGGTCTGTGATCGCGTGGCAGCGTTTTTCCGCATCCGCCACGTCCTCCCCGTCCTTCACGATCACGCTGTCGCACGCCGTGGGCTGCTTCCACTCGCATTTTCCGTTGGACCACTGACAGACGCCTTTCACGCGCTGCTCTATGGAGTTCTCAAACGTTACATTCCCAACTGTTACATGAATTTGCAGTGCAGAGCAGCAAAAGTGGAAGGGAGGGTCTTGCAACTCTAGCATCACAAATTTTGCACAGATTTCCATGCTGTTCCGTCCTTCGCGAATTTGTCATGCGCAGCCGCTTGGTCGTGTGGTTCTGGTTGCTTATGGCAATTTTGCATGACAAATCATGTAACAGTTGAAAATGTAACGTTTGAGAACGCCATATGCTCCGTGTGGTCGTTGCATGGCTTTTCTTCCACGATTGCCTCGCAAGTTTTGTCGAGGTCAATATCAAATGCAAATATGTCTGGGTCTGGAAGAATGCAAGTTTGTCATGCTTGTCTCACATGACTCTTAAATTTGTCATGCACATTACCCAAGACCCCCATTTTTCTGTCATGCAGAAACGCAGTTTGTCATGCAGAGTAGGCAACACCAAGAAGCTCAGAAACTTGTCAACATGCTGAGCCAGCACTTGTAGCCTCCTCATGATACGCCGCACAGCATTACAAGTTTCCAGACCCAGACATTTTTACAGTTGATAGTCAATGAAGATGTGCATTTTGCTCTTTCCGCCAGCGCGCAAATTCTTCTTCTCCTCGTGCTCCACCAGCACACGGTGAGTTTCCTGTGCCGCGATCTTCTTGGAGGTTTTCTTCTTCTTCGTGCGCTGGGAGGTTGTCTTCGCGGAGGTGCCGACGCGCGCGGTGCTGTGCTGGCCCTTCGTGGTCACCAGCGCAGCGTCCACCGACGTCCCGATGGCCAGCAGGTGCACAACGGTGGCCCCCGCCGCGAGAGAAGAAGCCGCTCCACCGAGGACTGCGCGCTTCTTGTTGCAGTTGTTGCCACCATGGGGGGTGGACTTGGATTCGTTTTCGTTGTAGCTCGCCATGGTTTTCTTCTCGTCTACTTGGCGCAATAAACTTGAGTAGTTTATTATTCCGGGTGGTTTAATTTCGTTGCAAAACACCGATTTGAGCAAGCCTCTCAGGGTATGAAAGGTTGTTGTTAAGAGAAACAAGTTTTGAAAATTAGTTCGAGCTAATTTCAGTGAAAGGAAAACGTAGAAAGAACTTCGTCTCGAAAGTGGTGGTTCCGAAACACGTGTTTTCCTGTCATTTAGGTTTAGAAAACATTTTAGTGGAACAAGATAGAAGACAACGATTTTCGGAATCAATCACGGAATTCGAGTACAAACGAAAAGCACAACGAAAAGCAAAAAGAGAAGCACCGAACAAAAACTTTACCGTCTTCATGTTTCTTGCTGTACAACCTGCAGTACGACGACTATTCTAGTACGTTTTCCGGACGAGGCAAAGAACGAACTACGATACAACTGGAGGACGAAAACGCGGTCGGACGCAAAGGACTTAATATTCCTGAACGAAAGTAAACCGAGTCACAACTTCATCTAGGTAGACATGAAGTGGAAGTGCAAGCCAAGTGCTGCAATTATCGCGTACTTAAATCATCTACCGATATTACGCGCCGTGCACAACTGACGGACACGAAAGTAAGCCGCGTGTAAGTTCTACGTACGTATACCGATGCGTTTGCTTTTCTGCAGCCACTTCCTATACCTATCTACGACTTGTTTTTCTTCACGACATTAACGACGAACCGCCCTTGCAGTAGTTTCCTTGAGCTTTCTTCTTGGACGAACACGAAGGAAAAGAGTACGTTAAAAACTCAGAACAGCGGTCTTCTCGGAGGCCAGAGGCTGTAACTCTGTTCAAAATAGTGCAGCAGCAGGAAAGCATGTCAGGTGCGTTGGAACCGCACTGCGCTTCTCTTTCACCTTGTTCAGGGATGTGGCAATCGTCCGCATTGCTGAGATTGCTGCTGGGATAATTCAAGAAGAGCCGTGGTGTAGTAGGAGTTTAGAATTAGTAGATCAGGGTTTCTGTTTACTACATGTCCATGATACACCAGTGCAATTAATTTTACTTAAACCCGAAAGAAACTCAAACACAATGACCCAAGGTCTGACTTTGCCAACCGGGCAGCAGCACGCGCAGCCAGAATCGAAATTGGTCCAGGTAATGAAGTAAAACATGCACTTGAAAGTCGTGATACAAGAAAAACGATCCTCCAACGCTGCAATATCTTCACTTTTTCTTTTTCTTTCCTTTTCCCTTCCCGCTTTTCGGCGAGTCGTCGCCGCTGGAAATATATGCCCGGCAAAAGTTCTTGTAGTCCCATATTTGTACTTCTGATCTATCATCAGCACGAGAGCCCCTAGGATATCATCAATGAGTTTTTTTTCACGTGCTTGCTTCAGAGACACAGGGTCTCGCTCAGCAGCGTTTCAATCGCAAGTGCGTCTTTGCCTTTCTCTGACTCGTTGCAAAAAGCTCTTCTTTTAGACATGCATTTCGTCTTGCGGCATGGGGGGCCAACATGCTATAAACAAAGAAGTGTCGGACGCTTGTACAAAAACATGCATCTAGCCTACTGTAAGAACAACAACTTTTGCAAAGCATACCTTCCCCCTTTTCTTTCCCTTGCCTTTCTTCCCTTTCTTCCCCTTCTTGCCTTTTTTCCCTTTCTTGCCTTTTTTTCCCTTTCCTTTGTCTGACGAATCGTCTTCGGTTTTCTGCTATGCAGTGCAAATTCAATACATGTGGATTTTTTGGGTCATGCAATAGCTTTTCTTCCGCGAAAATTATCGTTTGCTTCATCTATGCTGATGGCTGTTGGTTGTGAATATTGTGCATGCAAAAGTGATATCCTGCAAAATTCATTTTCATACAGTGTATCAACATGACAGCTCTGTACTATTTCGCTATCAAAAGAGGACCCGAATCAGGTGTTGTGAAGATGAATTTGCAACGCGTATCTCCGTGGGTCCCACGCTCGCGGCGGTTTCGGTTTCCTCTTCGCTATGGCGCTCTCAAACCTTAGTACATTGATCGCCCGTACACGATTTTCATTTCTTGCTACACCAGAATGATAAAAGTAGAAGGGGGGGAGCCGAAAAGCAACAGCTACAGCTTGTGCTTACAGCTTGCGCGGCTTGCATTACAGATTGTCACGGACATCAATTCCCATACTATTGAAAATTTACCGCGTCATCTCAAACTTGTGACACACAGTAACTTGATTGTGTGAATCTGGAAGATCGTGGTCCTCCTGGTAGTGATTTTGCATGATAACGAGAAATTATGCAACAGCGATCAATCATGTAAACTCCTTGAGAGTGCCATACTCGCCCTCACTGCTTTCGGACTCGATCTCATTGTCCTTGTTGAACTTGTCCTCCAAGTCTTTGCGTTTTTTCCGCAGCAGGTGGTACCGATACCCGAGACAGGACGACGCCCCCGCAGCCAATCCAAGAGCGATCGTATGGTGTTCTCAAACGTTACATCTTCAACTGTTACACGAAGCTGTAATGCAAGAATGGCAAAAGCCAAAGGGGGAAGATTGCAAAAATTGCATTACAAATCTCGCGCAGATTTAGGTGGTGTTTAGCCCTTCGCAAATTTGTCATGCGAAGCAGCTTGATCTTGTGGATGATGATGGTAGTTTTGCATGACAAATTCATGTAACACTTGAGAATGTAACGTTTGAGAACTCCATAGATCGAAGAGACCACCTCGAACACGGAGGGCGTCATCTTCATCGCCTTCTCCTTCGCTTTCAGCACCGCGGACTCCTCCCGTAGCGGCCGCCAGAACTGCTGTGCCTTGGACTCGCGAATGTTCGGGCAGGACACTTTATCCTGTGCAAAAGTATCGTACTTGTATTGCAATCCTGAATTGCAATTTTTTTTCCTAAGGTAAATCCGAATTTACAAATTTTATTTCTCATGCTGAGGAAATTTGTAACTAATGCATTCATACGCCGGGTACGATACTTTTGCAATGCATATACTTCAATCACGTAGCCGGGGTCTTTCAGGGGGTCGGGAATGGAAATGAAAGAGGATGCTGTACATCGCTTGTGCTGGTGTACATTAGCTGCTGTGGATGACTTTGTCATGCTGAGAAACGATGGGAGTAGCCCGTTGTGATGCCCGAAAATGCTGCAAGTTTGCTGCTCTGTCGTCGAGCTTTTGTCATGGTCTTCAGCGAAAAGCTGGGCCAACCGGATTCCCGCCCCATCGGTGGAAGACGGACTACAGCTGAAGGCGTGGTGAGGCATGCTGTGTGCGTCTGGAGCGTATGTAGTTTCTTCTGCTGTTTCGAAGTACTGGTGGCGAGGTTTGTTTAATGCGTCCTCTTCAACAAGAACCGTGCTACGAATATGTGATTTTCATTTTTGTAGAACAGGTGCTGATCAACAAAACAGATTCATTTTCAACCGACAAATGTATCGCCACGATCTGGTCGTGCTGGAAAGACTGCAAGACCACAGACCACGACTACTTGTGCATTTATTACTTGCACAAGATCATGACAACGACACTGACGACACCGACCGAGATCACGACCCAAGACGAAACGAGGACTCTGCTTCTTGTACTTTTTGCACCGAGGTTGTGAAGAGCTCGCCAGATGAAACGAAATTTTCGCAGAATTTATTTCACGGTGAGTTTGGTTTCACCCAGAAAGACGACGATGACGATTTAGTACTGCAGCTGAAACGGTACGGCCCTTACGATTGTGACGGACCATTTCTTCCTTCCAGCGATACTTTGTCGGGACCTAAACATGCCGAGACGACAATGATCTTCTATTCAAACCGAAATAGTCCATAATAGTGGCTCGACCCATGAGGACCGCAACCATCTCAACAGTGCTTGTACTACTAGAACCGCGCATAATATGCGTTCTGGCGTCTGTCCTCGTGTGAAAATGTAGCACACATCCAGCAGCTACCCAGGCAGTCATTTGCTTTTTCTTAGGTTCGTTTGGAAAAGATGAAAATCTGACAGCTTCACAAACTACAACTTGAATGTTCACACAACCACTCGCCGGCATGGCAAGTCTGAATTTCAAGACTTTCCCGTGCCTCATCCAGAAGTATCATCATCTTCAAGCAGCTGTCATGACGTCGCAGCTGTGGTTGCAGCTGCCACAGCAGCAGGAGCTTCTGTTTGCATGCTGTTCGTCGCTTTCATTGCAGTTTCTTGCGCGCCACCCACGCCCTCAATCGCCTCCACTCTTCCCTTGATTCTCTCCACAATTTCCCCCATGCGCACGACCAATGCCGGGTCCTTTATTTTCGTGCCCCGCTCTCCGGCCAAGCCGACGTCCTTGTCTAAGGGGATCGAACCGAGAAATTCCAAATCGTAGTCCTTGCACATCTTCTTCACCCCCTCGGAGGAAACGCCGAGAAAACCCTGCATGTTTTCGATCACACCGATGATCTCCACGCCGGTTCGCTTGCAAAAATTCACTTCCTTCCGCACGTCGGCTAAAGCGACTTCTTGGTATGGATTGCAAAAATGTCTGGGTCTGGAAGATTGCAACTTGTCACGCTGAAACCGAATCATGCAAAAGTCTGTGTTGCATGACTGCCGAAAGCTGCCCACTTTCGACCAAGTTGGGAGGGAGTTTCTCATGCAGGATAGGCATGACAGAGACCTCACGGACTCTGTCATGCTAGGTCCCGCATTCCAGACCTCATGGGTCATGGAAAACCTGCATGACAAGTTTACACCCTTCCAGACCCAGACGTTTTTGCATTTGATACTTGGGGCGAAGTGACAATCACGGCGCCGGTGATTTTTGCGTCGTTTTATCCTGTGCAAAAGTATCGCACTCGTATTGCAATCATGCATTACAAATCCCTGTGGTAAGGTAAATCCGCATCACAAATTTTATTTCTCATGCTGAGGAAATTTGTAATGCATTTATACGAGTACGATACTTTTGCAGTTCATACGTTTAGATACCCGACGATCGCCATGTGTTCGTCGCTGGTACCGGGTGGGGTGTCGACGAAGAGGTAATCTAGTTTTCCCCAGGTCACGTCGGTCAGAAACTGCCGAATCAAACCGTTTTTCCGTATCCTGTGCAAAAGTATCGCACTCGTAGTAATTGCAAATATGCATGACAAATCTTTTTCTGAAGCCAAATCCGCATTGCAAATTTTATTTCTCACGCTGAGGAAATTTGTAATGCATTTATACGAGTACGATACTTTTGCACAGCATATTCCGCGGCCCGCGCCAAATGATCGCGTCGTCCTCGTTCGGCAGCATAAAACCGATCGACATCACCGCCAAATGCTCATTCAAGTACACTATGAATTGCAAAAATGTCTGGCTCTGGAAGATTGCAACTTGTCATGCTAAATCTGCAGCATGCAAAAATCTGTGTTGCATGATTGCCAAAAGTCGTCCAGTTTTGACCAAGTCGGGAGGGAGTTTCTCATGCAGGATAGGCATTAGAAAGGTCTCGCAGAATCTGTCATGCTAGGCCCTGCATTCCAGACCTCATGGATCATGGAAAAGCAGCATGACAAATCGCGCATTCTTCCAGACCCAGAGACTTTTGCATTTGATATACACCGGCGACCATCCCGCGTTCGATTGGTGGACCTCATGCCCCTTCAACCCGAGCATGGTGGGCAAACTCGGGCCGCAGATGTCAATGTCCAACAGCCCCACGTCGGCGTTCGGTTCAACGTGTTCTACTGTGTGGTCTTCTTCTTGCGGATTTCGATTTACAATCACTTTATCCGGCGCCGAAGAGAATGCGAAGGATAATTGGCAGGAGACTGTCGATTTCCCCACGCCACCCTTCCCCGACAGCACTAAAATCTTCCGCTTCACCTCTTTCAAAACTTCTGCGACCTGCGCGACGGCGGGATCGGCTTTTTTCGCCTCGCCGCTCGCACAAGCGCCCTGGTTCGGGCAGCCGGCGCAACCGGCGGCCTTCCCGGCTTGTTCGGAATCCACCCCCACGCAGTCCTGGTTCGCATTGTCCGGAATGTGGATCTTGCTTTCTTGGTCGTCGTTGTTGTGCTCCGCTTCTGCTGATTCGGCGCTTTTAGAAGATGAAGATGTTGTATTCTGTGGTCCATCACGATCACCTGCTCCTCCAGCTTCTGCAGTTCTTTTCGAACCCGTTTTATTTTTCTTGTTCTCGAACTCGATTACATCGCTGTCTGATTCCTCTTCTGAAGACGACGACGTCGCAACATTCCCCTCTCTAGCAGCAGCCACAACGAGCTTCACGCCGAACCCCTGCTCTGCGACATGGGAGATTTTCTCGAGCAAGTATTTCTTCCCCTTTTTCCATTTTTTTGGGTAATAACTCGCGTAGGCCGCGGTGGCTGCGAAGGCGAGGGTGGTGGTGGTAAGAAACGCGGCGGTCGTGGCCGTAGAGGAGGAGGAGGGGGAAGATTTTGTGGTCGCCATGGTGTTTTTTTGTTTTCCAGTGCAGTTCTTGTGGGGATAAAACTAACTAGTTAGGCAGGAAGCGGAATGAAAATTCTAGGTGGTGCTAGAAGTAGTGAACATCATTGAACCTAGGAAAGACCGTGCGAGAAGTTGGTGAGGTCCAATGCATTTTACAAGCTACAATGAGGGGAGAACTGGTTACGTAAAATGGTTATTGACACAGCATCACGCAATGGAGTATGGTATCCTTACAACATCTTTGGACTGCACCTGGTCTGGATCGTTCGCAGATCGTAGTACCAATTCCAATTTACTGTCTGATCTCGTCAAGGTACTAGATCGTCCGCTTTCAAGTTCAATCATCTCTGAGTGTTGGTGTTGTTCCCAGCACCTACCACAAAAAATACCCCGTCCTTCACACTCACTAGAGATCCGATTCATCGCGACGATCGTCTTAGTTTTTATGTTTTCACACACAGCGCCTGGAAAGAATCATCTCGAATGTACAACAGACTCACGTAAGGTTCCAAGGATCTTCCTTTCCATTCAACTTGCAATATCCTAGTAGAAGAAGTCGCTGATCATCTCGTGGCCTAGAAAGAACTTCCTCGACGTTCCGCGTACGAAGCATTGTGCCGAAGGTGCTGCTCCTGCTCATGGGCACATTTTTTATGTCCTACGACGACAGTACTTGCAGTCATGATGTGCATGTGCGCTGTGGTTTCTCGTTGATGTCTTTTTTAACGTTGAGGTTGACCCGATGAAAACATCTTGCGTGTATACTAGCCGTGCTCACAAACCCGCCACGCAGATCAAATACCACTGCCGGAAAAAGGAATGTTTTACGTAGTAGTCTTCGCGTTTCCGTCCTATCCTCAGACAGTTATCCCGGAAATCGGACCCGACCCGCACGCCTTGATACATGTTCAGTAGCAGCTCTTCGTACTGGTTCTGGATACTCTGATATGCGAGAAAAAAATTGCGAAGGTGTAACCCTGTAATGCAGAACATGCAACAGAGTTACGCCTGTCATGCCAGACAGCCACGAAGTCCTCTTTGCATGTGTGTGCTTTCCCTTACAGTTACGAGCCACGCATAACAGGTTTACTTAGTCATGTAGAGCAAATTTGTGATGCTGTCAGCCAAAGATGGTTACACTAGCACAGCTTTTTTCTTGGATATCTGGCACGCTTTCCGCAACGCTTGCTTCAACTCCATTTGCTCGTTGACCAACTGATCGATATGAATTGCAAATATGTCTGGGTCTGGGAGATTGCGAGATTTGTCATGCTAATCTGGCATGACTCTAAACTCTGTATTGCGTGCCCGCGAAGAGGTCCTCTTGTCTGTCATGCAAAAACGCAGTTTCTCATGCGGAGTACGCAACTCTGACCAACGGAAAAACTTGTCATGCTGGGAAGCGCATTACAGTGTGCTCAATATTCGTCCCTTCCTTGCATCACAAGTTTCCAGACCCAGACGTTTTTGCATTTGATAATCGATCAACTGCGACAACTCCTCGGTTTCCGTTTCGTAGAAGTGTCGGATCATGGAAATCGATTGCGCTTTCTGCGTGGACTCCTTGTAGTTTTTGTCGATCAACTTGTAGTTCAGCTGCACTTCCTGGTTTTGCTGCTGCAAGGTTGTGTTTTGCTCCTTCAGTTTCTTGTTCTCCGTATCGAGGGAAAAGACCTGGGTTCGAAGTTTCTCCACCTGTTTCCGGAGCTGCTTGTAGTCCGCTGCAATAGAAGTAGAACCTCCACCTGTACCATAGTACGTGCCGTCGTTGGCGGAAAAGCTTCCTGCTCGGGTTTTCCCCTGCTTCGTAAAACTACTGTTCGACCGGCTACTAGGGGAGAAGCTTTTCTTCCTTGGGATGGGTAAGGCAGACGCCGGTGGGGGTCCTCTGGGAGCTGATGCACCGCTACTTAATGCAGCACCACCTCCGGTTGTACTTGTACCTCCTGGCGGTTTATTTGTCGTCCCACCTGATGCAGCGCCACGACCGCTCCCCGGTGCATTATTCCCCTGCTTCGGTGGAAGTCCTGCTGACGAGTTATTTGCTGCAGCCCCAGCACCCCCTGGTGGGTCCCGTGAGAACAGAAATGCCGTTTGCTTCGAAGAGCTGGGTCGCGGGTGCTGGTCCGCGAACGAAAACCCCGAAGCTGCTGCTGCTTGTGGTCCTCCCGAATAAGTAGAAGACGAAACGGGCTCGAGTCTTTGCCGGGACGACGAGCTCGTTTCCTCGCGATACAACCTCTCGTGGATCGGAATGCGCGACGAAGAGCTGTAGCTATTACTGTAGCCACCACCATATGCATTGCAAAAGCATCGTATTAGTATAAATTGCAATACAAATTGGAGGCTCAGCATTACAAATTTAATTTGTAAAGCGGATTTCCCTCAACCCCTAGATTTGTAATGCATAATTGCAATTAGTACGAGCACGATGCCTTTGCACTGGATACACCACGACGAAGCGGCGAATTGGCGGACCGGGAACGCTCGCGGGCGATACCTTGATTGATGAAAAAGAGTCGTGTAGCTGCTCATCAAGTGAAGTAGAGAACATTCCAGTGCCAGCAAGCGGCACGATAATGAATCTGTGTGTAGTGGTTCCAAGATGAACGTCACTTGTTCTGTATGATCGGCGAAGTATCAAGAACATTTCCGCAACACAAACGCGGCCAACTACAGCGTCATGTAAAAAACAGAACCAACCTGCAATCGATGCCGTTCCTTGCTCTAAATCCTCCAGCAGGTTCTGAATCTTCGACAGTTTTTCCTCCTGTTGGTCTAGATCCGTTTGCAGCCCGTCCCCGTTTTCGGCGAGTGTGTGCAAAGTGTTCTGCACGGAATCCACGTGAGAAGCAGAGCCAGCTTGTTGTGCGCGGTGCGGGTAGGAATGTGGTCCAGCTCGACCCCGGGAGGAGGAAGAACTGGAAGCGGTGCTGTGATGTTGTGCGTCAATTTGACGAGCTTTTGTTCATTTCCTACTTGCTCATTCTTACCAACAAGATGAAGAAGGCTTCATGGACTTCAACACATCATCTCAGTAGCTGATGCTGTAAGCGAACAAGGGGAAACATGCGCCACAAACTCAATTTGTTTCCACAAACGGAGAATTATACCTCCTCACCCCAATCCCGCGCTCCCCAGGGACGAAAGAAGTCGCCGAGGTTTTCAATTGTGCGAGTAGACTGTCACCCTCTTGGACCAGCTCGCGGAGCTCCCGATCGAAGTCCATGTTGGCTGCTGTTGTTACGCTGGTACAACTCTAGGTCTAGTGCCGCACTAACCAACCGCCCCTAGGAGACAGCCTTTGTATTGTACGAGCCCGCAGGAAGCCGCTTCGAGCGTGTCCTCTTGCAGGCGCTTGTAGTTGCGGAAACAACAGCGGAGGTCGTGATGAAGACGGGGCTGCGGCTTATCTCTCGCCGTGATGTGCTATCTTTGCCCGGGACTTTGACTCGCCACCGCCCAACCTATGCTCTCGTTCTGCGAAAAGATTTTTTCAAACAGAATAAACGGTACGTGCTTACTAGATGCTTATGCTAACGTTGATGGTGACGAAGGGGAAGGCCATCCCAAGAGAACGGCTGTATGCCAACTGTACTCGATGGCTCCACAATGACGCGAAAGAAGAACGCCCAAAACGTCAATAACTCTGGTGCTGCTGGGTAAACGAAAACAGACGACTCCGCCAGCATAATTGCAGGCTCTTGCATGATCCAATACCACTCAAATCTTTCGATTGCTCATCTTGGCTCTGTACTGCGCTCGTGTTGCAAACATCGATTCACCGGTACACACGCAATTGGAACAGAACTAGCTGGTTTTTGTCGTCAAACACGAAAGGTCTGCGGTCCTGGGGGCGGCCCACGACCCGCAAGAGAGACAGCCCAAAAGCCGACGCGCTACGTTTTTTTCTTTCTTTTGCTGAAACGTTTTCTGCGAAAATTCCGAGTTTCATCAAATAGGCCGTCTGACACATCTCAAAAGTAGAATTTAGGCAATTCTATTCCATAGGACGGTTGGTGCGGTCAGAACTTTTCCACCTATTGATCACCTCCATCGGGGAAAACGAATATCAGATACGCCCTACTGATCGAGAAAATAGAAGTGCAGCCGTTTTGTTTTACCGAGCCAATGCTACTACAAAGGCTCCAGACATGGGGTAAAACAAGTCTACTAGTACCTCTGCAAACACTAAAATCGGGCTGTAAAAAGACGAATTTAGGTTTTTCGTCCTCAACAAAGAAAAGAGTGTTCGCAGGTGGAAGTGTGGTAGAAGGTGCAACTATTCTGACAACAAAGCAATATCGGACAATCGTTTGCAGAAAGTGCTGTTTTCATGCTGTAACATCAGAGGCAATAGATCTGCCGGGGACAATAGAGCTCCAGCGAAAAAGTATAGCAAAGATGTCTTACAACACAGCAAATTTAGAAAATCTTCCAAAACAGGCAGAAACGGAGGAGTCGTTGGATTTTTGATGTCACAACTGACATCTTCCGTATCACCCGCTCTAGAGAAGTCGAACTAAAACTGTGTGTAATTTCGATATAGAGGGTTGATGTCGTGGGTGACACTTAATAAAATCTTGGAAGGCGTTCGAAAATTTAAGTGAAGCCGTTTTAGAAAATTATATTGTAGTCGAATAGAAACATACATATCTTCCTCCTGTGTCTTTGTCCTATCTGTGCCTATTATGCTGTTGTGCCGCTATAGAAGTCCTCAGTTTTGCTTTTGCACGGACGTTGTTGCTGTCGTGCAACAATCCGGAAATAGTACTGTTTTTAGCTCACGAATAGCAGGACTTCTACAGCGGATAATTTTTCATCTCTGGTGTTCTGTGCAATATCAGATTCCTCTCGGAGAAGTGTTTTGTGTTTTGCCTTGGCAAAAACTTTATGTGGTCAGACCGATTGCACGCAAGCGTTTTATTCCTCCATAAGCAGTCCGATTTTTAAATGTTCGTGGCACAAATAGTTATTTGCTTCTTGGTCGAAAATTTTCTGAAACCGTTGATACAGTCCTAGTTTGATGTCTTCACGATAAAATAACCTGATCGTAATCTAGTAGTAAATTTCGTAAAAATTTTGCAATAGTAGTTACTAAAAGTTGAAGTCGTTGCGATAGCGCGATGTTGAAAACGCTTGAAGATGTAGCCTAAAATTTGTAACCTTGAAAGAAGATTTTTACACCTGGGTGAAGTTCGTGTCACTTAAGCCGCATGATCTTGAGGGCGGAACTTCTCATGCTGTTTCACCTCCATCTCCGAAACAGGCACAGCTACTTACTTCTTCAGGCGGGGGATCAGGTCACCGATCTTCTTGCAGCACCCGCACGCCGGCTTGAAGTCGGCCCTGTGTGATCAGAGGTTAAGGGTTTAGGAGTTTGCACAACGTTTTAGCATGACTTTTGATATTTCATTCGTGTGAACTTATTGATGTATCACAATGGTCACGTACTTCATATACAAACTTGCGCGATTGTCGTCTTGTGTCATGCCTTTGCCATGCATATCAATCCAAAACAAAAATGTATACATGCAGTTCAGGCCGCAGGAGTTCAACAGGCACGGCACTTCGTCGTTGCACGGGATCGCGCACCGGGAGTCCAGGCAGAAGCACTGGTTCTTGCACTCCAGGATCTCCTGCGGGATCTTCCAGTAACTGTAGTTTTTTTGTTTAATCGTGTTTACTACCCTTGTTGTAATTCCAAGTTGTTTGGAAACGATATCACCCATCTTAGTTATACGAAATAGAAATACGCATTATAAAAAACGCTCGTAAAATTATGCATGTGTGTGACAAAGGGGGAAGATACCGATAGACATAGATCAAATTATCTAAAAAATTTAAGTACCGCTGCTGCTCGACGACGGCGCAGAACCGCTTGTTCTCATCCTTGCAGTATCAAATGCAAAAATGTCTGGGTCTGGAAGAGTGCGCGACTTGTCATGCAGATTTTTCATGACTCATGAGGTCTGGAATCGAGAAACGAGCATGACAGATTCTGTAGAGACCTCTGCCATGCCTGTCCCGCATGAGAAGCTGCCTCGCAACCAGGTCCAAAGAGGACAACTTTTGGTAGGCATGCAACACAGATTTTTACAGGATGCGGACTTAGCATGACAAGGGGCGACCTTCCAGACCCAGACATATTTGCAATGCATATGCAGTCCAACGGCTTGCAGCACGCCTGACGCTGCTGGATGAACAGCAGGGTACCGTCGGCCTGGCACCCAATGCAGGCCGGAAAGGCACAGTACAGGGACGTGATGGCGCAGATAGAACCGTTGCAGGGACTGTGGTTTCAGATAATTCAGTTCATTTTTATAATGTCATCAAATTTTTCATGCACGACAGGTGGAAGGAACCAAGATTTAAAAAACAGTCACTGTCTACTTCAACTTCTCCGTGCAACCACGCATGAGAAATAAACGCTTCTTTGATGCAAAAAACAAAATGACAACAGTACACTAAGTCCTCGGTCTTGACGGCGGACTGATCACGGTTGTCCTCCGCGGCGTGGCAACCCTCGGAGAAGTATGAAATTGAAAACAGGTGGGTGGTATCACATTTTCCATACGCTTATGCTATTGCTACTGAATATCGTGCATGGCAAGGGATCGCTACGAAGCACACCACGTTCGCATAGGAAATAATCCGAAGCCCCAGCCCGTGTAAAGTAGAAACTTTGTCATCATGCGTCCATGTCTGTGCACAGTACGTATCAGCAATTCAAGCTGCAACACTACCCACAATTTTTTCTACGTTCCATACGAAGTTGCAGCGGGCGACCTGGTCCATGTCCATGGAGCACAAGTTCGGCAGGCGGTGGGATTCCATGTCTGTAGAAGATTTAATGTTTTTTTGTTTGTCATGCGAAAACGAAAAGATAGAACAAAACTGTCATGCTATCTCTGCTTTGCATAAAACAAAAGAACGTACTAATACCGTGCTGCAGCGGCACTTCCAGAGCCATGGCGGCCTTCACCGTTTCCTGCGCGGCCTGCATCTCCAGGTCCATGGGCGTCTCGTGACGCATGTTCACCATCTCTTGGGAGGGAGCCTGCATTTTCTGCGTTGGGTTTCCAAACGAAGAACGTTCCAAAATCTAAACTCGGCACAGACAGGAAAAAGCTACGAGAGCAGGATTTTTGCAAGTTTGCTATTGTAGAAGTTGACGTAAACGTCGGTTTTTTACAGCGGGTTTAGTTTGGGGTAAAGCTTTGCGGAAAAGTGGGATGCGGGGCGACTCCACACTTTCTTGTGTACAACCTGGTCAGGGTAGGGAATAGAATGTAGGTTAATTTTTCACGAAATTCCACATGCCTTCACGGTGCTCCCTCAACGCCACGGTGGTTGCTCTCGAGATTACACCCCACTCAGCGAAGGAAATACAAATAGACGCGATTTATTACATGCATCGTAACTAAACTAAAAACGACCACTGGTATTTCTACATGTTGTTTCTTCATCATCTCTCCCAGCCGACGTCACTCTGTGTTTCTGCAACCTGTAGTGCGCAACGACCCTCTGTAGTACGTAAAAATTCTGTACGTAGCGCTTTTAGATGTAGCATTTTGCTCAGTGTACGAATGAGTATTTGTACGCCAAACCGATACTATTAGAATGTCTCTCTTTGCGGTTCCAATTCCATTTATTCGCTGCACGAAACAAAAACCGATCAAGTTGCACCTTGTTTTTTAGTGAAACTACGAAGAACCGATGAGTTCATCCATATTTCTGCTTTACATGAAACGACATTTGCACCGAAAATTTTGTGTACGGTCCCTATTCCAGCCGACCACCTCCTCTGCACACGACGACAACCAACGTTGATGTAATCGCAGGCCGTGGCGGCACAAGGACCACACAGCACGGCTCACCGCCTGCGGCCCTGCCTCAGGCGCAGCGCTTTGTATTTTGAATTTTCGGACGTGCAGTCTCGTAGCGCGAATAAATTGTCCTCCCGACTTTTTGTACGTCTCCGCTGACAAGCAAAAGGAGAGGCCTATATTTCCACAGCCGCTAGTCAAAGTAGCTACGAAAACATAGAGCCTTATCGTGGCGAGAATCTAAAGCTCTGCTGCTACTTACTCATGTTCAGAGCGACGCATGGTAGTTTTCTACTGCTTCTCGTACAGGTGCTAAAAATTGTATAAGTGCAGCAATAGCGCTCAACCCCCTAGAGAGGTTTTGCGAGCACATTGCGGACGTGGCTGCTCACCGAACCCAGAAGGAATAGAAACGGACCAATCATCTCTTTGTCGTCATGCAATATTCACAGTCCGAGAAATTTTTGTTTCGGAGGAGAAGAGAATGAGAGTTTGATAAAATTGTAAACATCTATAAATCTGAGAAACGATGTGATAGTACTTATTCTTACACGGTCAGCGGGGCTGTGTTCTTTCCTCGTAGTGAGCCTAGTCAGCAAAAAGTCCGCTACAAGCAGCGACAGTAGACGTACCAGAGTTGATGACTCGTTGTCTAGATCTATTCTGCCTTTCTGAACTGCAGACTTGCGGTCCAGATTTATTCGAGTGGTCCAAAAGTCGCGAGCCGCAACTTCTACATCTTAATCTAGAAACAATCGAAGCACCGCCACCTCTCTCGCCGATAGCTCAATAGCATACGACCTATCACTGTGACCGCTTCTTGGTAGTAAAAATTCTGGGACAAATGGAGTGACACTTACTGTAAAATAAAGTGGACGTCGCAGATGCGGCGGGGTTCTTAGCTTAGGTTCTTTAGCGGCCCATCTTCATCAAAGCCACACCTGTTGAAGCAGCTCCGTGGAAGTTTTTCCAATTGTGGACTTGCGTGTTTGCGGTTTGCAAATTATGGTGTGGGAACCCAAACCACAATACCATCGTACCATGTGGGCTGGAAGATAAAGGACAATAAAAAACCTGAAACTAGTAAAAAAGTGCGTTTTGCATTTGCGAAATGCCGTCCAACGTAGCACAACAAAAATTATGGCCTTGATCTATTTCTTACAGTTTTTTGAAACCAGTGAGAAATTAGCACGTGAAATTTGCTAACAAAGGTTGCGCTGTAATGATCTTGTACTCAATCCGAGTCGTCCTCAGCCCCCTCCTGATAACGACTTCTGTCTGTAATAAATCTGGGTTATAATACTCTGAGAAATTGAAATGGTTTAAATTCCTGACCGTAATCTAGTAGTAAACAGTTTTAGAAGTGAGAAGCTGTGCAGCATAGGTGATAAATAACGTGTAATTTTTGTCATCTCCTAGACAGAGTCAACTTGCCATTCCCGACGCATGGGCATGAAGATGGTGACAATGCGCAGGAGCCGCTTACTTCTTGTCATTACCAGTGATGGCGCCGAGCTGTTTTGTTCGATTCAGAAGGCGATCTTTTATGTACCTATCATCCGTAAAAACACTGTATGCAAAAACTACATCACAGAACCCTTTCCTCTTGCGAAAAACAGCATGACAAATTTTCAAAAATACCTTCTTGCAGCAGCCGGTGGTGGGGAAGCAGTTGATGCCCATCATGTTCACGATCATCGGCACATCCTTGGTGCACGGCAGGGTATGGAACGGAAAAAAACTTTCCGAAGTTTGACCTTCTGTAAACTTGTCAACTACATGCGGAACAACTCCACCAAGTGAAAGAACCGATGGTCTTGTTTCCATCTACGGCACAGAGTCGTCGTGTTCTTCTTGGGTATAATACTTCTGTTTTCGGATCTTCTTCTTTCTCTGCATCATCAACATACATGGGAATAACTTATCCGCTGAACAAGTTTTATGGCCAAACCTCGTGGGAAACTGGTGATCACACTCGCGTACAGGGCCGCGCGGACGTCGATGCAGAAGCACTGCTGGTTGCACTGCACCAGGGTGCGGGGCTGCATCAGGTACCTGAAGAATCAAAAATATTTAAAATTCCAAACTTGGAGGACTGCGTGGAAAAAATCTTCATTCCTCGACTTTTTCATCGTATTTTCCATTGTGCAGAAACACAACAGTAGACCAAAGCCAGCATCTAACAGTAAAACCAAACCATCTAAATTCGATGTCGTGGAACAGAAAAGACTATCAAGAAAAAATCATCTCTGTAATTGATGTACATGTTGCAGTTATCGCAGGCGCAGCAGCGCTTCTCGGCGTCCTTGCAGTCCAGCGGCTTGCAGCATGCGACAGTCTGCTGGCAGAACAGCACTTCGGATATGAACTGCAAAAGCATCGCACTAGTAGAAATCGCATGACAAATTCACTCAGCATGAGAAATACAATTTGTAATGCTGTTTTCCCTTTGAAAATAGATCTGTCAATGTCATACATGATTGCCATTACTACGAGTACGATAACTTTTGCACAGGATATCGGAGTTACCGGAGCACCCGATGCAGGCCGGGAAGGTGCAGTACAGGGACTCGATGCAGAACAGGCACCCGAAGCACGGACTGTTTTTTTAAATAAGGGGTAAAATGTCTCATGCTACACAGAACGATGAAGCAAACTTATTATCGAATTTGTCATGCGAATCTTGGAACGACAGTCATGTTTTTGATACAAATACCACAATAGTACTACATCACACTGATTAAAAATTGTTTTGGAAGTAGTAAGTACATCAGGTCGTTGGGGTCGGCAGCCGCGTCACCGGATTCGTTGGGCATGCAGTGGTATGCAATACAAATTTACATCGATCTGGTAGTGAGTTCCCCCGAAGTGATTTTGCATCAAATCTAAATGCGTGACTAGCATGGCTGGACAATATCAATGTCGGGTACGGTTGGACTGCTCTAATTCTTCTTCTTCTCCTTTTTATCGAGAACCACCCAGATCGATGTTTTTTGCAGTGGATAAGTGGGTCCCCTCGCAGATCGTTGGGTACAGGTTCAAGCCCGGAGACATAGCTGTATTAAATGTGATTTTCGACAATTTCTCATGCGTTAAGTAAATCAGAATCACAATCTGTCATGCACATTTGTGTTCTACTGCAAGAACCAACCATTTGTAGTACTCAACAAGTTCCTATACCTGGCAACTTCTCACCCATGGCCTGTTGGGCCGGGCACTCCAGAGCCTGCGTCTTGATCATGTCAGCCATTTTTGTTGTGTTTTTTTCAATTCGGATGAACTGAAAAAAATTTGTGTCCTCTGCTGTGTCCTAGAGAAGGAAAATGGTTTTTGATGTCGAGAGACAAGTGCGTCGTCGTGGGTTTTGAAATTTTTGCGTAGAAGTACAGCGGGTAGTTCTTATTTGATTAACTAGTTGCAAGGGTGGGTTGCAAATAGTTGAGTCACTCCTGTTTGATGTGTAGTTTTAAATTCAATGGGTTCGTCGTGTGATGAAATACACTTACGGAAACAACTACGCGAGCGTGTCTCTCGAAGAAGCGGCCAATCGATAGAAACCAGACTAGGCAGACAACGCTCATATCTTCTGACGCGAAACTCTCAAAATGCAAAACCTCTCATAACACCTCTGTTTGTAGACTCGCTCGCAGCTGTCAAAACTCTGCCTCTCCCATGCCTAGGTTGACCAACCACATCAGTTCGCGTTGTAAAGAATAGTTCTGCACGGACGTAGCACTCAGTTTTTGGCCAATGCACTCCCTCGTTTTACAACTGTTACACTTGCGGACGACCCTTGTTTCTTCTTGCACGAGAATTCTACGTAGTAGCTCCTTGAGTGGTGTACGAATGTGTGCCCTTTCACCGATGTACTGATGTTTTTGTCTTTTATTTATGACCGAAAACTATGTAATTCCAATGTTACTCAAATTTCGCTTTTACGACCCTTGACCGGCTTGTACGACAAGTTCGGACTACCTTTGCATGTTTTTTAATGCACGATTTAAAAAATTCGTCTTCATCTACGTAAGGACGTACGACAAAATAGTACCGACTGCTTTAGATGCACGACTTGACAGCGATACTAACCGACGCGCTTCCTCTAGACGACCACTTATCACGGGAGCACGAACAAAAAGCTCGACTGCTGGACCAGCTCCACAAAATTGGCGCAGATCTGCACCAGATCTTCACGCTTTTCGTCATCAGAGAAAGACAATAATATCGCGCAGAATTTCTAATGCCGCCACTGCGAATGGAAAAGTCGATTAGTTCTCCGGTTCTTTCATTCACGGGTTGACCACAATAACTGGTCAGACTCTCCCTCGAAGCTGCTGATAATAACAGGCACTTTGTTGAAATCTCTACCAAAAGTTGGTTGTAAAATCTGTCTTGCGAGAAAAAATGCAGAATCGTCTGCACCTCCGGTTCCAGTTGTTGCGCTGCTTTTAACGAATCCGACATTCGAGATTTCACGGTTGCATGTATCTTCGTGGACGCCGTGGCCTCATCTTGTCCATCTGATGAAACATTTTTAACCTCAGGAGCTGCGGAGAACGTCGTCGTATCTGCTGGCGATGGGGCCTGCGCACGATGCTGCTCTCTTTTCGCGATTCGCAAAAGAAAACCCCCTTCCTGTACTTCTTCACTGCGCTGAGACACAGCTTGTGCGGTGGAGAATGAAGACGCAACTTTCTGCTGTTTTTCTCTTTCCACTCGCACCCAAATGCCGTCTTTTGATTTCATTTTCTCCAGCAAGTTCGGCAAAAACTCCGAGTTTAGACGATTTAGCTTCGCGGTTTCTACACGTGTTTCATCAGTAGTTCCACTTGATGCGTTTGCTGTTTTACCAGGAAAGGACAAATTGGATGATGAATTGGATCTTCCCAGTTGATCTGCATTGTTCCCCGGAGGACTATCTTCTTCACGACCGGAGGAGCTTTTCTGCAGCACCAGCATTGGTACGGTGTTTTGGAACTCAATCCGCTGGTAGAAGTAGAAGGAAGACGTCGGTTCTCGACGTTCTTGGGTCGGTCTCGCGTCCTCTTTTCCTCCCCGGCGGCGATGTCGGGCAGGAGCTTCACCCAAGCTCTTGGCTCCCTCCAAGTTGTAGATTGTGTCTTCCCATAAGACCACCTCATGCGGTAGGCAAGTTTGTAATGCGAGAAACTCAAGAAGGAGAGAAAACTGGGAGGCAAAGGTCGTGGAAAAAACACGTTGGCTGCTTATGCTTTCTCCCTGCGAAGATGAGTCCATCTCCTCGCCAGCGGACGAGTTGGTCCTGCTGTTGTTTTTCGTTCTTTTCAGTGGCGCTGCTAGTAGTGCTGCTTCTGCTGTCATCGCAATAAAAACGACGATTCTAGTGCTCCTGCTCTTCGTGTCAACAACGCTTAGATCTCGACCCAGAGCGGGCGATGGAACAAGCGGCTCCTGGTGAAAGCGCCAAAGAGCGGCTGCGCCAATGTTTTTTGTTGCACCTGCAGGTCCAGAGGTGATGACCGCATGATGATGCTGGTGGTGATCGACGTCTTTTTCTGATCCTACTGCTTTCATACTGTTGTGGTCGTAGAGGTAGTGGACCGGTAAACCCGTCAAAACCAGAACCGCTGTGATTAGCCAAGACACATCATGTACTACTTCATCTTGATCTCCGAAACCGATAGAGGACTCCAGTGCGGCTTGCGCCATACTTTCTGTTCGTGCTCTTGCGGGAGGTGGTCCTCCATCTTCTTCTCCTTCCACGCTCGCTTTGGAACTTCCGGTTCCGGTTACTACTGCGGTTCCACGATCAGTTGCTGTTCCTAACACAAACAGTGCCGCTGTGACGAAGGATCGACGGGGTAAAATGATTTTATTCGCAGGAGCAGCGGAGGAGATAGATGTTGCTTTTGCCTCCGATGCAGATTTGAAATTGAATCCCTCTTCAATGAAGTCGGCAATCGGTTGCGATAAATCATTATCCGCCACAACTTGTCTAAAACGCCCTTCCCGGCTACACGCAATCACGTGCCCGGGTCGCAGATTAGCGGCGCGGAACATCAGGTCTTGTGTGCACCACAAGACATCCTTTTTCCCGTGCGCATCTTCATCTCCTGCGCTGGTGTCCGCCATCCCTTCAACTCCATCGGCCTCTTTACGCTCGTTCTCGTCGTTGCCGACCTGCAGCATGACAAACTCAGCTCTTTCATCCATCGAAGCTAACTGGCGTTTCAGTCGATTCATTCCACGACCCTGATTTTTATCGATGATTTCATTTTGTTCAGCCGCTCTTGCAGTGACATCGATGACCGCCATTCTTGTCCCCATGTCCGCAAAAAGCACCGGCTCGTAGAAATCCTTCGCAACCAGGTGGAGCAGCGTCGCGTCCGTACAGCTTGTTTTCGGGTAGAAATCTACGCCAAAATGCTGCTCAAACTCATTCAACACCCGCGGCTTTCTCTGGCCGTCGGTCGTCGAAATGGTCCATTCGCGGTACCAAGAAGCGACGTCTGTTGGTACGCCGGTGAAGTGCTCCGGGACTGGGAGCGGGTTTTCCACGATACGGATGCCACTCGCTGTTAGTTTTGATGTACTGGTCGCACCATCGGTCGTAGAAGTGTCTTCGTTTGTTGCTTTTTTGTCCGTCCTAAATTTAGGAAAAACGAACTCGTCCGCGGGGACCTGCGGCCCGGAGACCGTTCTCGGATCCTGCGCGAACACTGGGCGCAGAAGCTCCCTGCGGGGGAGGGGCGATGCAGCAGCTGGGGTATGATCAATTTCGGTGGTTGAAGATGAATTATCGTCGCCGTAGAAATCTTCATCGACATGTACATGTTCTTCCCGCGCCCCACCTCGATGATTATGAAAAATTAGTTGACTCTGCACCGCAAACCGGCGGTAGCTCGCGAGATTTCCGTACTGGCAAACGCCGATAGAAGTTGAGGAAAAACCGGCATTTGTCATGCTAGAGCCGCTTATGTGCGACGTCTGCCGCACTTCGTCCAAGTACTGCTTGCTGCGCATGCGCGTGTGGCAACACAAATGCTGGTCGAGGAGGGATAGTGATGATCTTCTACCTGATCCTGGGGGGTTGTCTGGAGAATCTGCGTCAACATCTTGGGCAGCAGCAAGTCCACCTCCGCTTCCTTCTGCACGACATTGAGGTGGCATAAAGAAGCCACTAGAAGTCCCCGCGGTCCTTCGGCTTGCTTGTAGGTCCTGCACGCCGGCGCTCTCCTGCTCCTGTCCAGTAGGTGTGGCCGACGGAGGTTCATCTTGGGCGGGCTTGGCACTCAGTTGCGAATATGCGTACTGCACAACCCACTCTAGATTCGGAAACACAAACAGGATTGTCTCCGGGTCTTGCTCCACTTTCGCTATCGCTCTCTTCACCAGAAGTTGCCTGCTCAAATTAGTACCTGCTGTATCTTGTTGTTCCGGATCAGAAATTCTAAACAGGTGCAGATGGACCTCGAGTTTCTGGTTGAAATCGTCTTCCGCCCGGATTTCTATCAGGCGCCAGAGGTAGGACATAGTAGTTGCACCGTCGGTTCTTGATTTTAGCGCAGCAGGGATCATTTCTCTTCTCGACGACACAGGGATCACCAGGTGCAGGGCTTGTAGGCCCAGCCGCGTCAGCAAAGATCCCCTGACGTCGGCCTTTTGCGCCGTTTCCGCCAGCCCTTCAAACAGCTTCTCCAAGATAAGCTCGCGGAGGTTGTGAATCCTTGTTAGCTCCGCCTCGATGGAGAGGTCTTCTTGAGGACTTGGCGTCTGACTTTTAGCGTCCCCTTCTGAAGAGCAACAATCCAACTATCAAGCGCAAAAGTGTCTGGGTCTGGAAGGTTGCCAGGTTTGTCATGCATATTTTGCATGACCCAGGATGTCTGTAATGCATGATCTAGCATCACATGTTTTTAGAGGCCTTCTTGATGCCAACCCCGCATGACAAACTGGGCTCCTCTTGCTGGTCATGCAATACATATTTTTTAGAATGCAAAGTGAGCATCACAAGTTCCAACCTTCCAGACCCAGACGTATTTGCAATGCATACCAACACAGCCTGAGCGAAATTTTCATCGTCCACTAACACAAATCCGGCACTGCGGTCTTCAAACGCGCCCTCAATCCAGATGTTCGATTTGGTTCTTTCGGCAGCCTTAGTTTGTTTGCCGGCGTAGTTAAAATTCGTGCTGCTGTCTCCATCGAAACTGACTTCATGTTCATTTTCTCGCGGTGGTCCTCCTCCTCCTTCTGGGAGAGCTCTTGAAGTAGACGTGGTAGACCCAATAGCAGCTGACAGCCCATGTAAGCACTGAAACAAATTTTCGTTGTTATCGCCACTCCCCGCACCACCGAGATACAGGGCATCAGGTTCGAAGCCGAAGCCGATGTGCTCCGTCCGCAAGCGGTGGCCGAGTAGTTCGCGTTTGATCCGCTTTTTCGCCAGATGCGCGGACAGCCACAGGTCGTCGTGAAGGGTGCAGGCTCGAGCCTGCAAAAAATGTTCATGATCTTCTGTAGAAGTAGGAGTTCTTGCCAAATCAAAACGACCCTTTGATGTTCCGTAAGCACCACCAGGAGCAAGCACTTTCTCCTTCCGTACCAAAGATTCCAGGTCGAAAAAGTACCGTGACCACAAGACCCCGTGCACGCCCTCCAAAATCGTCGACCCCACGTAGGCGTAGACGTGCTGGCTCGCAGTGCCGGTGGCCCGGCCCGGGGTCACCTTGGTCATTGCGGTGGAAAGGAGATTTACCAACTCAGGATCGTATGTTTGATCGTCGTCTACCTGAAGAATCAGTGTGTCCGGGTCGTTTTTCTCGATCGTGAGAATCTGCAGCATGTGCGTGCTCGGGCCTCGGTCGCGGCAACGGACCAGGTAAAACTTTGTTCTTGGTGCGGAAGACAAACCGTGACCAACAACATCTTCCAGAGGAGCGTCAGCTTCTTCATCAAGTGTGTTTCCCGTTCCACTTCCGTCGCCGGATGTAGCTGCGTCCCGTGTAGAAGAAGTACCCTCCTGCGCGATAATTTCAAAAATTTTGACAGCATTCCGGTCGTGCAGAGCACGCGAACTCTGATCCTGCTGCAGCTCGTTGAGCAAATCAAAATCAGGTCCGCCTCTTGTGTCTACTTCTGCCTCCCGATTTTTATATTTCCGATCTATTCTGGTCGTCGTGGTCCCTGCCACCGGAAAAATACTAAACCTGTATCCACCATCGTCGTTATTCCAGAAGGAAGTTTTCCCATCCTTCGTTTTTTCGAAGTCATATTCCTCGTTATTCCTCAGAAACACCCAGGGGACGAAGAGGTAGACCGCGTCGAGCGGAACGGTTTGTTTGTGGAGGAGGGAATCCAAGCATGGTTTTAGCAAATGTAGTCTCTTCGGAGTGGTCGTCAGGGCCGCGACGATACGCGGCGATCGTGGTAATGATCTTCGGGTTAGTACAACTTGCGATGCAGTGCTTGTCTGTGATGCGGTCCTTACAGCATTTTCTTTGTCCTCCGTGTCAGCGTGTCGTATCGCCTCGCGCAAGAGGATGCCGTCTCTCGTACCGGGAAGGTTATGGACGTCGATCCAGTCGGAGATTCGCTCTGCGTTTGAAGAGGAGCTAAAAACGGCGCCAAGGACGAGGAACGTCAAGAAAACAGAAATCATGAAGTCGCGTGTAGTAGTTCTGAGCAGTACTAGGGCTACTGGGGACAAGAACATCCTGTTGTATTTACAATGGACATGGAGGCACTGAGGCATGCTCGTAGTTTCAACAACACCAAGAAAACATGATACTGATATTCGCGATCTGTTTACCAAGAGTAATGATCTTGCTCGTGATCAAGTTCGAGACCATATCCAGCAAAATATTAGAATGGTCTGAAGAAAAAGCACTGATATCGCTGCGCTTGCTCGGACACCAGACGGACGGGGCGCACATACGTCTCAGATCTTTTCGTGACGACGACGCGCCTTTCTTGATCTACCATGCAAAAAAAAATGGCCCACAATGTAATGGCTCCTGGTGTACAGAGCCTCATCCAGAGGCATTGTCTCATCGATCCGGAACCGGATGGTCGAGATCGACGAACAAAACACGGTCTCAACTACACACTTACCGGACTTTTGCCAACAAGACACGCACCTTCTTTTTTTTTCAGGCTCCCGCACCCCCTCGGGCTAGTAGGTACGTGGTCCCAAAAGCATATAACGTGTCCCCAGGCGACTCCGCGCCAGAGGCGACTTTCCGATTTTGCATGCAAAACAGAGTGAGCTCCATATCGGAAAGCCAGGGCACACATACAAACTACCTTCGGATCGGCTGAAGAAACTAGAGATAGGAGGGATGCGGGCCTCCGAAACAAATAAGAGCAAAGGCGAGAAGCTGGATCGGCGGTCCAAAAGAGCAAAGGCGAGAAGCTGGATCGGCAACACCACTTGACGCTGATCGACCCATCGATCCCCGTGCCGGATGGCACGGATTGCGAAGCAAATGCACTGAAGACAGATCATTAGGGCGTACCGGGGGGCGGCGCCCCGGTGAAGTGGGCGCGCGGAGGTAGCGGCATGCAGGGCAGCGCCACGAAATAATTGAAGCAGGGGCGCGGATGCCCCGCCCGAGGCGTTGCGACCGCAACCGAAGTAGCGGGCGGGGCCCGTCTGTCTCCCTCGCTCCCACCCGGGGAAGCAGCGAAGCGGGTGGCGCTGTGGCTGCCATCGCGAATAGTGCAACGGCAACGCGATACTAAGAGGGCCGGGGCGCGCGGGCCTGCCCCAGCCGGGCCGGGCTTCTCCCTGACGGCGCTACGTACGCACGCGGCCCGCCCGCCCCGGGCAAGCAACCCGGCGGGGCTGACCACGCGCAACCAAGCGAGTTCCTTGCTGCGGGCGCCGCGTTGATGGGGTCTCCGGTCTCGTCCACCATCGCCACGTCATCTGCATCGGATTCCCTTCTGCCGCTTTTTCCTTCGCCAAATAATGGAACCAGGCAGATCGCTTCGCTGCGGCACCGGCTTCGGTAATCCCGTCACCCCCGGCTGGTCGTGCTTCATCCTGCGCGGAAAAGCGTGCGGCCCACCAGCGGGCGGGGTGCGTGGGTACCGGCGGGCCGGATTTTACTTCTCGCAGAGGCCGATCTGGGAGGAACACCGGGCCCGGGCCTTCATTGCCAAGGCAGGCCGATGGGGGGCCGGCAGCAGGGCCGGCGCGGGAAACAAACGGGGCGCGCCACAAAACTCGGCGCGCTCCCCGGGCGCCCGGCACAAACGCGAAGGCGACTGACAAAAACCAACACGGCGCACCGGACCGACACAAACGGCCGCGCCTGGGGCTCCCGCCCCGCGGAGCACTTTCCCCGCCCCCCTTTGAAGGGGCAACAAGGCCCCCGGGCCGCCGGCCTCTGCGCCGCGCACGGTGTGCGCACCCAAAGCAATGCGCGCAACGCCGGGAGGCTCGCGCCATTCTGGGCAAGGGCGGTCGGCACAACAAGCAATGCCCGGCCGCTAGGCGCCCCGCCGCGGATCACACACCGCGACGGGCCCCGCGCGGTCCACCCCAAACTCCCTCCCCCGGGCCGGCCTTAGAGACACCCATCTCCTGAAACACCTGCGCCCGCCACCCTGCACGGCGGCCAACGCGCCACCCTTGCGCCCGGCGTGGCCACTCAAAGAATTCGCGGCGGCGCGCCCGCGCGCCCGCGCGCCCGCCCTTGGTCGGCCCGTCTTGTAAAAACCAGCCGCCTCCAGCAGGGTGGTGGGAATGATCGGAGCAGCAATACTCGCCGCGGCCGCGGGGGAGGCGCCTGGGGTAATGTGGCGGCGCAGCTAGGCGGCAAACTTTATCAGCTTCCGTGCCTGCGCCCGCGCATGCGCGTCGGGCAGGTTCTTGCAGGCCCCACTATCGAACTCCCCAAGGGCCTCGGGGGTTCGCGCTCCACCTTTGAGCCCGCCCGCATCCGGGGCGAAAAGCGTCAGGGCCCCAATCCGCAAACGCCTGCCATTCGGCCCGCTGCAAGCTGCAACACCTGGGCGCCCGGGGGCTTTCGCAGGCAATGTTTGGACACTGGCAAAAAACGCCAACAATACCCGAACACGCAACGCCCAATCTGGAAATCTGGGTCGACGGTTGCGCCCGGCGACGCGGACGCCGCTGCGCGCGCCTCGATTTCCGCCACGGGCCCAATCTTGCACAGGGCGGCGGGCGTGCGGTTGCCGCTGCCAATCTTGCGCCATTTTTCCGCCGATAAATTCGGCGGACGCCCTTCGCCGACCACATAGGGGGCCGCTGCGCGGGGTTGAAAAAATGCGCGACAAAACCACGAGCCGGAAGCGCCGCGCTTCCGTTTTTCTCGTGCTGCACCTGTTCCAGGAAATGAAGAGAATCCCACGAGGGGTTCATCTTCGTCAACACAAACTGGCGCGTCGGCGTGTAGAACAATTTCCACGCAATTCTGAAGGTTGCGCTGGTTCACAAGCTGTACTCAGCAGCTTGATCGCACCTCTGCCTGGCGCCATTTGCTCCCGAAAATATTTCACAATTTTTTTCGCAGCTGCTTCATCTCATACATGGGGTGTACACAATTGTTGCTCCGTTGTTGACCACAATTCCATCAAAGAACTAAGAGTCAAAGACGTCCACCACAGACAAATTCATCCAAATTCAAGTTCAAGTTTCGCTCGCCATAGGAGTTTGTTCGTCGTGTGAAAGGTACAGGTACATAAAAAAGAACAGTAGTTTCATCTCGCCCCCTAAAATAGTGTTAAACACATGATCGTGACTGACTACAATCCAATCACGTCTGATCTAGTGATTTTCATCGTCCAATAAACAGTTAGGAACTTCTGGAAGTAGAGAAGTTCTAATACCATTTTCACCTAAAAAATTCGTAAAAGTACAGTTGACACAGGGACAGCAGACGCAAACGCATTTGGCTTGCCGTTGCCGAGACCGCTAGGTGTACAGGAAATGTTGCTCCTGGAAGATGAAAAAAACACGTCGCAGTGATATGATTCTTGTCTATTCACACCTGCATTCATTTACTTACTTTCCTACTGTCCTTCCCCCTCTTTCTCCAATTTGATTAAGTCGTCGATTCGCAAAATGGTAATCGCCGCTTCCGTCGCAAATTTCAAAGATTTCAACTTTGATACCATCGGCTCGACGACTCCGTTGTTGATGCTATGGTGGATCTGTTTTCATGTTTGATGTGGAACTCATATTTGTCGTTCTTGCGTTTCTGCATTGCAGATTTGTTGACATTATCCTCGTTCTGATCCAAAAATCTTCATGTCATGCGTGCTTGCAACAGTACGAAAGTCAGTTTCTCATGCAGTCGTGCAAAGTGTAAAAAGAACTCCTAGCAGTACCTTGTTTCCAATCAAATCGAGGCCGAAAAACTTCTGGTCGGCCTTCGCCTTGTCACTCCTGCTTGCGTGGTGGGCTACTCGCAGTTTTGAGGTCAGGTCGATCGCATCGAGCGCCGCGTTGCAGGTCAGAGTTGTGGGGATCACCATCAAAGCGTCGGCAAATTGGGCGACGGCAAGCTGCTCCCGGGAATCCAGTGTTCTTGCGTAATCGTCCAAGTGGAGGGAGAGTTGGGTCTCCACCGCGCCACCACCTGGTCAAATTGAAATTCGTTTAAAGTTAGTGTATATTTTGCATGACAGTCGCGATTCCTGTAGCCATGACAAGTACCATAAAACAGAAATCATGTTCATCCGGCACTCTGCCACCGCCGTTTTTAGTACTTGCTTCTTACGCATGACAAAAACAAGAACCTCACAGTGCCTACTAAGATCACTTGTATAACTATACCTGGCACGACCGTGGCGCTTTCCGCGGTTTTTCCCACAGCCATCAGAGCGTCGTGGATACTCCGGTCGGTCTCTTCCAGCATGTAGTCGTTGGCGCCGCGCAACAACAAGGTCGACGCCCTGCTGTCCTTCGCGCCCGTGATGAAGATGAAATCGTTATCTCCCACCCGCTGCTCCTCCACCAGAGCGCATTCCCCGAGGGATTCCTTGTCAAATTCCTCCCCACCGTCGAGAGAGGACAAGGTCAGTTGGATTTTTGCCCCAGTGACGCGGGCCAGTCGCTTCATGTATTACAGTGAAAAGCGCCCCCCACCCCTGAAATTGCAAAAATTTGTGATGCGAAGTTTCCAAATGCAAACTTTTTGTCATGCATGAAAGGATTATGAATTTCAATTTTCCTGATGCAGAGCCTAGGTGTATATAGCATCGCTTGCATGACAAGCGCCGCTCTTGCTGGGGTCTTTTGCAATACAAATCTTTGCTGTTCACGATTGAAATAAACCTGTGCTGCTGATAGATGCAAGAGGGCGAATGTTTCATTTGGAAAGGTTTGCAATACAAATGCTCCCAAGTTCGGGGGTGGGGGCATTTTTCATTGAAATATCATGTCCGCCTTGTCCACACGACGGATGCCCATGGCGCCGGCGTCGACCAGGTACTTGATCGACATGTCGTCCATACCGCGGGTTGTCATAATCACGTTGGCGCCGGTGTCCAGGATCTGATAAAATTTTGGGTTTCGATAGGAACTTCTTGCAACACAGATCAAGTTTTTCATCTGCATTTCGCAACACAAATCTAAGTAAGTGGAGCATGTCAGCACACTTGTCATGCACCACAGCAAGCGCACGCTACACGTCTTCAACATTAAATCTATTTCTGTACCTTGTTAATCCTCTCCTTCGTGATATCCATCTCCTTTTGCCTGATCTTTTCCAATTCCGCCGGGTCCGAAACCAAAATCTCCGCCTGTCGCATGCAGTACTTTTTCAGGTCAAAATCCAGCAGCGCCAGCTTCGCGTTCTCGACCCGGGTCGGGCAGCCCTGCGCCACTCGTGCCAGTTGCAACGCGTACCCGTTTTCCACCAACATGGTTTCGCGCGACGATTTCCCGTGGGACTTCAACACGCTGATCTGGTTAATCGGGTACTTCCACTTGCCCTCGACGTTCTTAATCTTCACCGAGTTGACCGCGTCCACGATCAATTTGCTGAAAAACTCGGAATCCCCGCCGACAAACTTGGAGGAAAGGGTGGTCTTCGCGACTTGGGTCAATAACTCGTTGCTATTCAACTGTTCGAGTTTGATTCCCATGTTCTCCTTGATGAATTTCACGGATTCCCGCATGGCCAGGCGAAAACCGGAAATCACGCTCGTCGGGTGGATCTGCTGTTTCACGAGCTCGTTGCCGCGTTTTAACAGTTCCGCGGCGAAGAGCACGACGGAAGTGGTGCCGTCACCGACCTCGCGGTCCTGCAGGTCGGCGAGCTCGACGAGAACCTGGAGTTTGTCATGCGGGATCAGCTTGATAAAATTACACGACGTAATTGCACGTCGGCATGCCAAATACAAATCAAAGCTTCAATCACGTATGTTTATGCAAACCTCGCATCACAAATGAGAATAAGGTTTGTTCTTCGACTATCTATCTATACCTTAGCCGCCGGGTGTTGAATTTCCAACTTTTTCAGAATGGTCGCGCCGTCGTTGGTAATCACGACGTCACCGACGTCGTCGACGATCATTTTGTCGAGTCCCTGCGGCCCGAGCGACGTTTTCAGAATGTTGGAGAGTGTCGCGACTGCGGTGACGTTGGCGGATCGGATATCAACTGTAATAATGTCTGGGTCTGGAAGAGTGTCAGACTTGTCATGCAGGTTTTCCATGATCCATGAGGTCTGGCATGAAGGACATAGCATGACAGAATTTGTGAGAGTTCTAGCATGCCTATCCTGCATGAGAAACTGCCTCGCGATTAGGTGAAAAGTGGACAGCTTTTGGTAATCGTGCAACACAGATTTTCACATGGGCATGCACATGGTTCAGATTTGGCATGACAAGTTGCTTTGTTCCAGACCCAGACACTTTTGCATTGCATATCGGACATCCTGCCCGGATTCCCGGGATCCGGCGATGGAAAGACCACTGTATCCTGTGCAAAAGTATCGCACTCGTACAAATGCAATTCTTGCATTACAAATCTTGTTTCCAAGGCAAATCTGCATTACAAATTTTATTTCTCATGCTGAGCACATACATGGATCTGAGTTCGTTTTCTCTCAGTTTTTGCGTAATTTTTCTCACAACTCTATTTTTCAAGCGCGAACAAGAAGAAAGCAAAGTTGCTAGGTTCTGTTTTTTCAAGTGCGTTGTGAAACTTCGGTCACTGCTTCACCTACTATTTTCAATCGGTCATGGATGCTGAGAAAATTTGTAATGCATTTGTACGAATACGATACTTTTGCACCGGATACACTGTCGTGAGCGCCCATTTTTTCTTAAACTTCTGGCGTCGTGGGTGGAGCAAGAAAGGAAACTGATTTGTCGCTTGTTGTGTGAATATACTTTCTTTCTACTACCTAGCAAAGAATCTTTGTGCGTTTTTATTCCTCTTGTCGCCGAATTTAGGTACTACACCTTTTTGCCGTACAACCGTTTCAGAACCAGGCAGCTCTAGTGTGCGTGCATTTCTCTTCGCTTCTGCCTGATGGTTTTATTTCGACACACAGGACAAGATAAAAGGAATTGAAAAAGTATGATGCGGATGTGCGCTTCTAGTTCTACTTGTTCTGAGCGGATCTTCTTCATTATTTTTGATGGGAATTTTGGATTTTGGGATCTTCATCGTGTTCATCTTGCCTGTTCATATTCGGAGGAACTCATGTCGTGGGGATTTGCGAGAAGTTGTCTTTTCGTGAACATCGTCTGCGCCGTGCTGCCAGAGGACAACACAACTACAAACTGTCATGCCCTCGCTGCGAGCGGAGCCGTTTCGCAACCGAACCAGGTGAAAGAGATTTTTGAGCTGAACTTAGAATCGCAACGAGAGTTTCTTGTTTCACGACCTGATATTCTTTGCGCCTCTGCACAGGGGTACTGGTAGACTAGTAGTCGCATTCTTGTGCTATCATGTGAATAACAGTGTGCAGCAGCTTCTTTAATAGCTGTCTCTAATTTTAGTTTTCTACAGGTGTGAGGAAATCTTTCGTTTATGCATGACTGAGATCAGTCATCGTTGCTCTTGCCGCGGAAATTGTAGCGCGATTTCGAAGAACGTCGTGCGATCCAGTTGTATACAAAATTTATTGAAATTGAGTTAGATGTTGATTTTAGATTCATAACCTTGCACAGTCCTCTCAGCGTCCTCGTCTCATTATTTACTTCAATGTGCGTGTGCTAGGCGAATCATACAGAAAACTGCAAAATTTTACATTCTGACTTTGTCATCGAGCAGTCGTAGAGGTTACCGGGACGAACCCTACGTACTAGTTGCCTTGGTAGCTGCGTTTGTAAAAGTTCTGGCAAAAGACGAGCTACTACTGCTGATTTGGTCGTGTGTTTGCAAAGCGTCCTGGTAGTTCTAGTTGTAAACCCGACGTAATACTTTGGTGATAGCGATTTGTCGGTTGGTACATTGAGTTTTTTGAAAATTCATAGAACTGCGTCGTAGTGGTCAATCGGAAAATTTTTATGTGACGAATAGTGATTTAGATTTGCTACTGTTACAGTTACTATTGGGTGAAATGTCAAAATAAGTAAGTCGTGGTCGGTTGAAAAAGCTATAAATTGGTTGGTACAAGTGTAAATGTAATCAAACAAATGGAGTAGACATTGACATACGTACTGGTACATAGTGTTAGTTTTACTAGAAAAGGAAAACTGCCTCCCGTGATATAATTTGCTGCTTCTTCTGCTCCTTTGCCCCCGGATTGATGTGATCGAAGAAGCTAGCAAACGAATTTCTCCCGAATTTGAGGTCGTAGTTGGCGGTTTTGCGTTATTAAGTGGCGTTGTTTGAGTGTGTTCACCGCCAACTACCGACTACATCAAGAAGCTGCAAATGCCAGCTTCTCTTACGTGCGCAGCCCCTTCGCGATGGAGACCACCCCGAGGGAGTGGCAGACCATGCAGATCATGACGAAGACGACGAAGGAGTAGGACTGGTAGCCCGATTTTTCCAAACCGAACACGTTGTAGCGGTCCAACACGCGGAGCTTGTTCAAATCGCCGTTTTCCGTCTCCCGGACGATGGTGGACTCGTCCGCCGGCTTGGGGGGTGCGACGGTTTGCGAGGCAGCGGCTTGTTGGCCTTTGGCAACACCTCCTCCTTGGACGTTGCCAGATTGTTGCACATTAGCTGCTCCTGGTGCAGCGGGTGAACGAGCGTCGAAATCTGGAGGGGCAACCACGGGCTCGGTGTCGCCTGCAGGTTCCGGCGGTCTCGCTGGTGCGTCTGCATGCATACGTATTCCACGCTGCAATGCTTCCTCCTCCAAGAAGGAGGCCGCGGATGAAGCGGCCGCAACCATCATGTCGAGGGGTACCCCAAATGCTGCGGTTTGTCCGGGCTGTGACCCGCCCATCTGCATTTGCGCGTGATTTCCCTTCGAAGCTGCCTGCGGGGCAGGAGTAGCTGCCTGGGCCGCCCCTTGCGTATTCGGCATACCTGTTGGAGGAGAACGTTTTCTAATTATCACGATCAGATGATACATTCCAATTTGAATGGACCGAATCAAGAAAAACCGATTTGCAGATGCAAGTACGACATTGTGAGTGTTTGAAAGAAAAACGGATCGCGTTCACTTCATAGACAGAAAGCAATTTTGTATCTGAGAGTGATGCATTCTTTCGCAGCATCGCAAATTTCAGCACAACATGAGCAGTATGATATAATCCGTAGGTAAGTACCTGGCACATGCAGAAACTGGTCGACGTTTCCCTGGAACAGATAGCAGTTCTTGTCGTCCCCGGTGTAGGAGAATTTGCAGGTGAAGGACAACCGATCCGTATCAAGAAGAGAAATCCCCTCTCCCCGTATCGACAGCGGAAATCTGTGATGCAGATTTGTGGCAACAAATCAGCTTTGTCATGCTAGAAGGGAAGAGATGCGGACTGTAGTGCTGGTTGGCGTGGGAAAGCCTTGATGCGTCTTCAGCATGACAGAAGGCAGCTGGAAGTGGGAAGCAGCATGACAAATCGCCTGCAAACGAGGCCACAACTGCGGCGCTTGGCCTTCTAGCATTACAGGCCGACTTGTGTACTCAAATACAGCATCACAAGTTTCGTTTTCAATATGGGGAGGGGGGATTTTTTCTTTTGATAGTCCGCCCGGTAGGGCCAGGAATTCATGCACAGGTACTCGCACCAACGCTTCTGCTCCGTCGAGTCCGTGTGCGGCTGGGATTTCCCGAACCAACCGAGATCCTGGAAAAAGTTGTGCGCCTGCTCTTCCCCCACCGCATTGCCCGAGTCCGTGATGGTCGCTTCGACTCTGTCCGCGTTCTGCCCGTTCTGCGGGTTCGACCCGGACGCGGCGTGTAATACAGAATCCTTGATGCGCACGTGGATCGCGCACGTCCCCTCCTGGTAGCCCGCAAAGGGCGAGGCGGTGGAAACTTGCGCCAAACCAATGTCGTGCGGGATGAAAGACTGTGCGAACTCCACGTTCGACGTTTTCGCGTTGCTGTCCATGATCATCTGGGTGTAAAACTGGCAGGACTGGTGCTGATCGGTGGTTGGAGTCGCGGACCCCTGCCCCTTGGCCTGCATTTGCCGCTCCTTCTGCTTGTTCTCGGCCGCAATTTCCTCCGTCTTCTCGTTGATGCGCGCATTGCGCTCTTTGTCGGTCTCTCCCGCCTCGATTTGCATGGTCGGACCAGCAGGTGTCTTCGCCGCCGCTTGTTGTAGCTGGCTTTTCGGGAGGGCAAGGACCTGCTTCCCATCCCCTTTCGTGATCTCGTCGACCTCGCCGTGCGCCAGGTCCCGCATGGTCCGCATGGCGCCGTGGTAGGCCGAAAAGTAATATCCTGTGCAAAAGTATCGCACTCGTATAAATGCAAGTCTTGCATTACAAATTTTTTCTTCATCAAGGCAAATCAGCACTACAAATTTTATTATTATTTCTCATGCTGAGATAATTTGTAATGCATTTATACGAGTACGCTACTTTTGCAGTGCATAAGTAGTCCTTCAACGGGACCCCGGACTGGTGCGCGAAGGAATTGACGTCCCAGAAGTAGTTGATCCCCGTGTCCTTCGTGAAGAGCAACACCGTGACGAACACCCAGGCGGTCAAGGCCACGCAGACAAATGGCATATGGATTGCAAATAAGTCTGGGTCTGGAAGGATGTAACTTGTCATGCTGAATCCAAATCATGCAAAAACCTGTGTTGCATGAGCGCCAAAAGCTGTCCACTTTGGACCAAGTCGGGTGGCAGTTTCTCATGCAGGATAGGCATGACAGAGACCCCACAGTGTCTGTCATGCTAGGTCCCGCATTCCAGACCTCAGTCATGGGTCATGGAAAACCTGCATGACAAGTTTACGCTCTTCCAGACCCAGACATTTTTACATTTGATACGGCACGTTGGTCAGCATGTTCGTCTTATACGGGTGGTTAAAAAACCGGAACCAGAAGCTTTCCTCGTACCGGGCCCGCTCCGCCTCGGGGGAGCGGTCTTCCAACTCCTCCAACAACCCACCGACGTTCTGCTCGCCGCGCATCGCGGCGGAAGTCCTTGCCCCGCGCCGGATTTGCGGGTTCACCAGGGAGACTTCGCGGGATAAGACCCCCGGTGCTTCTCCCGATCGGTACCGGTTGATTACCGCTTCTTCCTCCGCCGAGGAAATTGCGGAAGAACTGCTGGCGGACGAAAACATCAACGGCCGTCCCTCTTCCAAATCCCGGCCTGCATGAGAATGGTGGCGCTTGTTATTCCCACCAGCCGGCATCGGGGACTGCGGCTCATCCACTCCCTCGACATTCACACCCAGCTTCCGCACCTTCGGCCGCATGGGCCCACTCGCGCAGGCGATGCAGACGTTGGCGATGGCCATGATTTGGAAGGAAAAGATCATCGCCATGTCGGCGTTATTGGATCGACCGGTAATGTCCCCAATGTACCAAAATCCGTCCTTCCAGAGGGACATCGGGGAGTACCTGATAATTTTTTTTTTCCCGATGGAGAACTTGCTTGAGAAAAAGGATCGTCCTAATGATCACAGGAAAAAAAGGCATCTACAGATTTTCATTTTCTGGATTTGCATCACGAGTTATCTCTAAATTTATTTTGCAAGATCATACATCAAGACAAGAACTTCTTCTACAGCTTCTATTCCAAAATTCTATACCATGCGGGCATCGGGTCTTCAACCTTCCGCACATCCAAGTCCGGCTTTTCCGCCTCCCGGCACGGGACCGTCAACGCAATCACCAGGATGAAAAACGTCACCGCGTTTGCGCCCCAAAACGCGGCCAGATAGATCAGCGAGTCCCGCTGCGCAATCGCGGAGTTCGGGGTGGTCGTCCCCAGTTTGTTCCGGGCCCCTTGGAAGGACAATGTCAATGGCAACGTCAGTGCAAACGCGAAATCCAGGGTAGCGAATTGCGCGAAGGAGCCGAACGCGAGCTTGGTCTGCATGTAAATTTTCCCGCAGAAGATCCAGGTCAGGCCGTACACCGTGAAGAGGTAAAATGACGCAATGTAGGTGTCGAGACACGCGCGACCCTCCTTCAAGATCGTCACGGTTTTCGAAATGTCGTCCTGGTTCGCGACGAACGGTGCCACGACGTTGCTCGTCGAGCCGTCATCGTCTTCGTTCTGCGCGGAGGACTGTCCGCCGTGCACCAACGCGACCCCCACCTGCGCCTGCTTCAAAGCCCCGGTGTCGTTGCCGCCGTCGCCGCACATGGCGATCACGTAACGGGAAGACCGGTCCTGGAAGAACCGGATAACCTTCCGTTTCCCATCCGGCTTGATCCGACCGTACACTTGGATGTATGGTTGCAACTTGTGCCACAAGGTCGCGTACCCCGGTTCCGTCGTCATTTTGTTAAACGCGTCCGCGGAGATCGCACAAGAGACAAAATCGACACCCCGATGCGTTCCGTGGTTGTTATGCATTGCAAAAGTATGGTACTAGTACAAATCGCATGACAAATTTTGCCAAGAGCAAAAATGGGACTTGTCATGCTGAAAAAGGTAGACACAGATATCTGTTATGCATGAACGCAATTAGTACGAGTACGATGCTTTTGCAAAGGATAGTTGTTCGCTTTCAGCAAGTGGTGGAGTTGGTCCAAATCGCGGTTGTTTTTGATTTTCGGCTGCACTTTCCCGTCCGGGCCCTGGATGTCGTCCAGCTCTTCCCAAACGGGTAAGTTTTCTTCCGGATTCACGGAAATGCAGAAAGGACAGTGCTCGACCAAACCGACCTGCTTCGAGATCGCCACGCCGGTGTAGACACTGTCCCCCGTGATCATCACTGTGTGCACGTTTGCGGCCTTCAGCTCCTTGATCACGAGAAACGATTCCGGCCGCAATTCGTTCCGGAACAGCGGCATGCCGAGGTACTCGAACATGGACTGGGTCAACACATCGTCGAGCGAAACGCTATCCAATTGCGACCAGTCGAGGGCTATGCACTGCAAAAGTATCGCACTCGTAGTAATTGCAGTCATGCATTACAAACCCAACTTTCTACCCAAAGTAGCATGACAAATTGCATTTTTGTACTTGAGAGAATTTGTGATGCAATTTATACTAGTACGATAACTTTGCAATGCATAAGGTCCATCTGGGCCTGGCAAAGTCCCAAAACGTAAAACCCCTTCGAGGAATACGTCTGCGACAAATCCGTCAGTCGCTTTTCAATCGCCTGCTGCTTTTTCTTGCTGTTCGGCGACTGCGTCATCGCCTCCCCGGAGCAGAGCTTCGTCACTGCCTCCATGGACCCCTTCGCAAACACCGTGACCTTTTTCTTATCCGGGTTCTGCACGTCATGCGTGCAGGTCAAAGTGACCTGCAACTGCCGACTTTGGTCGAACTTCCACTTGCGGAGGATCAGCGCCTGCTGGTGCGCGGCATCGGGGCCAACCACCATCAACGCAGATCTCGTGTCCTGCTCCCCGCGGGGCCCGGTCATCGGGATGCTGTAGCGGGTCAGGTTCCAGCCGACGGAGGACAAAGCCTCCTTTTCCAACGGATTCCCGACAATCGACAGATCCGGGCCGACGGACAAAGAGTGACAGCAGGCGAGCGCGAACAAAGCCGCGTCGTTCCCGGTTTTGGTCAGTTGCTTGTTGAATCCCACCTGGTCTCCCTGTTCGAACATGACTTCCGCAAACGCCTCCTTGATGTGTATGGGGTTCTCAAGCGTTACACTCTCAGGTGTTTCATAAATTTGTGATGCAAGAATGGAAAAAGTGAAAGGGGGTAGGTTGCACCTGTAGCATTACAAATTTCGAACAGATTTAGGTGCTGTTTAGTCCGTCGCAAATTTGTCATGCCAAGCAGCTTGATCGTGTGGATGATGATGGTGTTTTTGCATGACAAATCCATGTAACAGTTGAGAATGTAACGTTTGAGAACTCCATAATGTGCGGCGCAACGTTCGAACCCTCAACGATCGACCCGCGCTTTCGCATCTGGGTGACCACCTGCGCCAGTTCCTCCTTCGGCACCGCCGACGCGGAATGACCACTGCTGGTTGTTTTTTCGCTCTGCTGGGGACTCGTCGGGGAAGACAAGGTCGGACCGGTTGGACTCGCAACGGCGACAATTCCAGTGACCCGATCCGCGTAGGCCGCCTCCGCATCCATCGGAGCCCGCAGAATGCCGGACACCTGGGGAATCCGGGCCTCCGAAATGCCCTCGCCCTCGGGACCGTAATATCCCGCCGCCTCCCCCTCGGAAAACACCCCTCCCGCAACTTCGCCCTCTGCAGCAGCTCCACGTTGCGTATTCTTGTTTCCGCTTGCCTTCTTGCTGGTGGACCGTTTTTTCGGGGTTTTTGGCCCACCGCCTGCGATGTGCGTGCCAATGGTTTTCCGCGCGTCGTTATGAACTGCAAAAGTATCGCACTCGTATAAATGCATGACAAATTCCCTCAGCATGAAAAATAAAATTTGTAATGCGGATTTACCTTGAGAAAGAAATTTGCAATGCATGATTGCCATACGAGTACGATACTTTTGCACAGGATAGTCGTCGTCGGAGGGGTCCGTCGTGACTCCCCGATCGGAATTGTTTTCCGCGAGTGGGTATGCATTGCAAATATGTCTGGCTCTGGAAAGTTGTCATGCCAATGTCCGAATCATACGCAAACTGTATTGCGGAGCCACGCATGACAAGTTGTTTCCGAGCGACTATATCTAGCGTTAACCGCATGACGAATTGCCTTTTTGCATCATGACAAACAAGTGGCACTGTACTAGCGCAACGAACATGACAGACTTGTCTGTGTGGTCGACCAAGCATGACAAACTTGCATTCTTCCAGACCCAGACATATTTGCATTTGATAGTGGGATGTTCTGCGGGCGGGAAAACTCGTCAATTTTCGGCATCATCAACACCGACCCTTTGACCGCCCGGGTGCCCTGCTTTTTCAAAGCGAAGTCCCCGGCTAACGACCCCCGCGCCGGGCCTTTCCGGTCAATGGTAATTCCGAAGAAGTCCATACCCTCCTTTGTTAATGTACCCGTCTTGTCGAAGCAGAAGAGGTTCACCTTCCCCGCCTGCGCGATTTTTTGCGGTTCCATGCAGAGGATACCGCCGTTGTCGGATTTTTCCAGACGTCGCGCGGACATGTCGGACGCGCGGGCCATCATGGTCGGAATCAACGGGTTGACCAATTGCGCGAAAGAGGTAAAAGCGGTGACTAGAACACCAATAATGATCTCGAAGTGCTCGTCGTCTTTAAAGGGGTTCGTGCAGATCAAGAGCAGAATCAGCACCATCGGCTGCAGGCAGGAGAGGTAGAACCAGACGGTGCGGAGTTCGAAGTCAAACTCGAAGAACAACGCCAGGGGGTAGAACATGGTCCGGATCAAATCTCCCTTCAGCGTTCCGGTCCCGATCGCCGTCACCACTGCGTAGACCGCGTGCTTCGAAAATTCGTTCGCCGGGCCAGAATTCCGCGTTACCACATCCCCGGTCACCCCGCGCACCGGGGACAGATCCGGCGACTGCGGGACCGATTGGCCGCCATCACCCGGTTTCGAACTTGTCAACACCGCGATCACCTCGGTACCGTTGAATAACATGTGGGTTTTGTCCTTCACTGTGTCCAACGGTCTCTTCGGCCCCTTGTCTTCCGCCGGTTCCTTTTCCATCGGGGTGGACTCCCCGGTTAAGGTGGACTCGTCCATAAGAACTGACCCCCGCACCAGCATCGCCTCACACGGCAACACCATGCCGTCCGTGATTTCGATGATATCGCCCGGGAGCAACTCTTCGGAATTCACCTCGTAAAATTGCGCTTTCGAGTTGAACTCAAATCCATTCCGCCAGCACCTCACCCGGGTGAGGGATTTGCTCATCGCCAGAATCCGGTTCCAGCCTCGGTAATCGTAGAACGCGTTGAGAACGCCGGAAGTGATGAAGATCACCTCGTAAATAATCGTGACGTACCACGCGTCTAAGAAGATGAATAGAAACGCGGCGAGCACTTGGAAAACGTACATGAAACTCCCGGTGAATTCCTGGTAGAGGCACATGAAAAACGTCTTGTCCTCGTGCGGTTCGATCACGTTTTTTCCGAAGTACCCCTGCAAGTTCTCAATCCGGTCGTAGGTGACCTTCCCGAGCCCGAGCTTCACCTGCGTGCCCGCCGTGTCCTGCTGGGAGGATAAATGGTCGTTTTTGAAGAACTGTCCCTTCAACTGGGAGGTTGACAAGTGCTCCAGCCGCTCCTTGCGCGGGACGAATTTACCCTGGGCGGTGTCGTAGACGTACTTCAGGCATTTGAAATGGAAAATCTTCACTTCCACATCACCCCCGTGCGCCGCGTTCCCGTAGCTCATCCGGTTGCCCGAAATCGACTGTCGTTGGTGTTTATGCATTGCAGATATGTCTGGGTCTGGAAGGGTGCAAGGTTTGTCATGCTTGTCTGGCATGAGTAAAGAGTTTGTGATGCGTGTTCAAGAAGAGACCCTTTTGCTTGTCATCATGCAAAAAAGCAGCTTGTCATGCGAAAACTGCAATACTGAGCAGCGCAGATACTTCTCATGCTTGGCTGTGCATTACAGAGGATTCACTGTTCCCAACCCAGCATTACAAGTTTCCAGACCCAGAGGACATATTTGCTTTGCATAGTGTCGCTGCACCGAGTAATCGTCTTCCAACCGGACAAAGGCTCCGGTCTCGCCGGGGCCGGCGGCGGAGGGCCCGGAAATTGCCTCGTCGTCCACCGCCATATCCATATCATAGATCGTTTGCAACTCCCGGTCCGTGTCGGCTTTGGTCAGTTCCGTGGAGATCCACACGTACTGGATCGGCTGCAAGTTCCTGGACGTCATCGCCTTCTGGATGTTTCTTCGCCCCTGCGGTTGCTCGGTTTGCCCCGCCTGGCCCGTGAAATACGCCGACTCGTCCAGCTCCCAGACGTCCTATGGATTGCAAAAATGTCTGGGTCTGGAAGATTCGAACTTGTCATGCTGCTTTCGAACTGTAAGAAAGTTTGTATTGCATGACCAGCAAGAAGAGCGCAGTTTTTGCTACACGGCCAGGGCATTTCTCATGCGGAAGGTGCATCAGGAAGCCCTCTAAAAGTCTGCGATGCTAGGTCAAGCATTACAGGCCTCATGGGTCATGAGAAATATGCATGACAAATCTTGCATTCTTCCAGACCCAGACATATTTGCATTTGATACGTCCTCCGAAAACCCGATAATGTTGGCGTCGACCAACTCGGCCACTTCCGCCAGGGTGAGAGCGTTGTACAGGTCCGCGAAGTAGAAGAAACCCATCAAAATGGTGAGCAAAATCCAGGTGTAAATGAAGACGAACCCGAACTGGAGTTTCGCATTCACCGCGTCTGGTTTCTGGTTGCCCCACCCGACGCACTGAAACATGTAAAAATTCCCACCCGCGTGCGCGTCCTTTCCGTCGGCACAGGGAAGCAGCATTTTTTGCAAAGCTAAAACCGCCGTGCCCTCTTCCGCGCCGTCTTTGTCGACGTAGACCGCGATGACGGAGGAAATGGTGAACAGCATGAAGGTCACGAAAAGGATCCACACGCAGTACAAAGCCGCGCCGGCCTTGGAGTAGCGGAACGCGAGCTGGGTGTCCGTCCGGGATTGGCTTATCACCTGCTTCACGTTGAACATTCTCGGGCGGATCAGCTTCCTCCAGATCCCGAACAGTCCCGTGATAAAGAGTAACACGAAAAACCCCGCGGTCATGCCCTGGATGTATTTGGAACTCGCCAGCTGCCCGAAGTGCCCGGAAATCCGGCCCCAGGCGGTGAACTCATCCCCGTGCACCGTGGCGGGCGCTGGGTTGTCGTTGGTGGACACACCGGGCTGCGACTCGAGGAAGGAAAAGCGGTCGGAATTTGGAGCAGTTTTGTGGGTCCCATAATGCTCCATGTGGTACCACGCATACGTGTGCGCGCCAAGAATGGGAGGGTCCAACATTTTTTTCTTGATAATGTGTGGACCGTTTCTTCTTTATACTTATATACTCTGAACAGTTCACGTTGGCCGTTCGAAGGGGGAATGATGAATCGAATGGGGAGGAAAATTCAAATTTTTACTTTTAGTTTTAGGGGTGCTAAATTTAGGAAAAATAAATAGGTGTTGATGCGAATTAAAAACAAATTTAGGTCGTGAATTCAACAGAAGCCTTTCGCGAGACATCATGCATGCACCACTTTGATAAGAAGTGTTTAGCAGGATTATTTGGGGAAATGAAAATAAATGTGGGCGAAAAACTGTGAATGGGATTATGGCGGACTTCAAGCGATTTTTACATATTGTGAAGTGAGGCGATGAAAGACGACGATAGCGATTGTGCGATGACGAGAGGGCCGCGCCTCGACGGGAGAGCAATGTTGACTCCAAGGACGAACAAGAGTCTCACTTTTCGCTCCGAATGATTCATTGTAAAAACGAAAACGAACGACAGAGTTTGACTAATCATTGCGATGTAGGCCGTGTAGATGTACGATCCAAATTTTTCATCTTGTACGAAAGCTAGCAGGTGCACGAGGTAGGGGCCGATTCAAGCTTTGATTTTACTTTTGAGCTTACGACAAACCGATTTCTTTTTTTACTAGATGGCGATAGTAAGTCCAATAGGACTTCTTTTTACTATCGAGCAACCGAGGCGGTGCGGAATGAATCAACCGTGAAGACCGAAATTATCTGTAATTTTTCTTCACCAATTCAGGTTGCACAACAAACTGGAACTCGGCAATATTTTCATACGAAACTCCTTCATTTTGGGGTTGCCTAGAAGTCATAATATTTATATTCAAGCTGTTGTGCTACTACAACATCATAAGCTACATAGAGGAAAGCGAATTCGTTTGTGCGATCATCGTACAGTTTCATTTTTCTGTATGGAATTCAAGATTTTCTGATACTGGTTTGAAAGAAAGTAAAAATTAAAATGGTTGTTCAGACTACTTGTCACTGCGTGGTACTGACTGCATGTCAATTCTGCCTTCTCGAAGTTTTAGTTAATAATGCGATGGTACACATACATTCTACATGACACAAATATTTGGAATCCGCACTAGCGCTCAATGTAAATGCATCGAAACATACAAACAGTTCTATACTAAAATATGGTCAGTAGCTCACAGATCAGCATCCGCTCTATCAATCTTTTAATCGTTCGTCATCGTGGTACTACTAACTTAATCGCCGAAGCCGAACTTCGTCGTTGAAATCCTTCACAAAGCGACACTCTTCCAAAGCCTCGGACTCCCGTATGAAGATGAAAACAAATCCGCCCTCCCCACACTCAAACGGAGACTTGTGTAGCAGGACCTGGTGTGGTCAGGGTCGCCAAAAATCAATGTGTCATGATAATAGAGGAAATGACACGCGGAGTGTAGTGCTGAAGCCTAGTGTGGTCTTCAGCATGACAGGGAGCCACTGCGCTGCCGGGAATTATAGCATGACAAGTAATTGCTATTGCCTGCAAAGCCATTACGAGGGGGCCGGATGTGCTTCTCGTTCTGGTGGCCTTGTAGCAATACAAGTTAAAAATCTGCGTACTTACGCAAATCGCGCATGAGAAATTTCCTTTTGAATATGGGGAGCGGGGATTTTTCGTCGCTGTATCACAACCTCTTTGTTTTTCCCTTCATCGTATACTTTTTTCCGCTATGCATTGCAAAAGTTACTACCGCACTCGCACAAATTTTTGCAGTCTACTAGCATGACAGATTGCATCTTCTCTGCACCTTTACCTGGTCCTGCACGTTGACAACTTGCATCTTTCCTTGATGTGGAGGGGTTTGTCATGTTGGAAGGCTAAGGGCTGGGCGTCCCCTCGTAAATTACTTCGACAAACAGTAGCCTCATACCCGGTAAACTCTAGAAGAAATTATTGGACAACGCGATTTCTATCGAAAGACAAGCACAACAGCATCTGGGACGGCCGCGACGACAGCTGTGTGGATATCTGGATAGAAATAGCCCTGTGCAAAAACTTTTCCTAGCACCGAGGGATTAAAAGAAAAGTAAAAAACGATGAAAAACAACAACTAAGACACAGTCCCACCTATGTCGAGAAAATCACCCTAAAAGGTGGTAGCGCCAGTAGTATCAGTAAAGGTGTCCTGAACACGAGAGTGTGCGGGTGAAGACAAAACCCTAGGACAAGCATGCAAAAGGCCAACGAAACCGGACGGGGAGACAGTCCGAACAACAGCTCCAGGGCGGGCCTGGGCGGAAAATGCATGACAAACACCGGAAGCCGAAACAGATCATGACAAGGAAAGGCCATAATGATACTAAAGGTGGCACCAGGGTGGAAAAATAAATGTTGGTCTTGTTCGTCTCCTTGGTCTCGTTCCCACAGCCCCAGTAAAAGCTAAAGTAATTTTTTAAAAAATTAATAATAAAGCTTTACTCTACGCGCGCATAAGTTACTTTGTCTAGACCGGTCGATCCACTTCTGCCTGTACCGTCTCTATTCCGTTTTCTCTACCACTCTAAGAAGTGGCGATCTTATGCATAGCATGCCTAGAACAAGGGCCCACTATGACGCGTCGTCAGGGCGCAAGCTAAGTTTTCATTCCCAGAGGGCAAGGGCCCCCGCATGCAAATGTGCCAGACACCCTAAACAAGATACAAAACACGACCGCGAGGTCGACACCAACATAGGGAACTGGCAACGGGAGGGGAAGAGGAAAACCTAGTGTCATAGAAGGTCGAGAAAAACGGAGTTAGAGTGCTCGCTATTTTCCGCGTCTTAGATGGTTGCTCAAGGGTACAGGCGCCGGCTCCACCATGAGCAACCACGCGAAAAATACGTGGATAATGATATTGTTATTGATGTAGTAAGGCGCACGTTGTTTGTTCGCGTCGTGGTGTCTGGTTGGTTCTTCGTTGTTGTTGTAGCTCGTGTATTCTCTGTCTGGGACGGTGCTACGGTGGAAAAAGGGTTTTCACGGCATGAACAGCTCCAAACCGGCTACCGGTGCTGTAGTTCCTGCCTCGACCTCGTTTTGTCTTTGTTTTCGTTTCTCTCTCCTCCCCTTACCCCGTGTTAATCTTATCCATCTCCTCCGCCCTATTGCTAACCGCCAGAAAACAGCTAGCTCCAGTGCTCTCGCTGTTCTAAAAAACCGTTCGAATGTCGACGACCGTTGGTTCTGAGCAGGTGCGTAACGATGCTAAAAATTGTACTGCATGTCCTGCGTTGTGTAGTTGGTAGGTGTGCACGAGGTTCGCGGATCTTGGTATGTGGAGATGGTAGTTGATGTATTTTTCATACAAAAGGATTGAATTACACCTGAAGTTCGGCGGGCCAGCTACTAGGAGCCAAACCACAGCCTTCCTGCAACAGGGAAAGGTTTTTATTCAGCAGGCGTCCCCGGTACTCTAGGGGGAGGAAAGCGGTGCTGGGTACACCCCTATGGTTGTGCAACAAATGCAAATAAGACCACGCTACTGTGCATGAGCGCGCCGAGATAAAATGCAAGTAAGGACACGCATCAGTGTACGTACATGCCGTGGGAAACCACAGCAAGACAAAGATTTTTGGACAAAAATCTTAAGAAAAGCATCACAAGCCAACCAGAGCCAAAAATCGCACACCATCCCACATTCGTGGACAAGGGTCATGCTGACATCTTTCCTTGATGTGGAAGGGTTTGTCATGCGAAAAATTCCAATTCGACTAGTACGATAGTACTTTTGCACTTCATATCCGCCTGTAGTGCTTTTCCAGCGAAGTGGGCGAAATGTTTTTTAAACCCCGGGTTCCGGTACTCATGTTACCTCCACGAGGACTGTTGTTCGTCTCGAGTAACGTGCTTGCAAGCGTCATCTTATCGTAAGAAAAAACTGTTCCACTGTAAGGATTTTGCAACTTTTGCATTACAAGTTCGCTACACACTACAAAGAAAACTTGCCACGCAAGGATCCTAAGGGAATAAAACACCGCTAAAAATCTCTTGTCTTGCATGTGTAGCAAGACAAACACTTCAGTGATGCATTTTCTGCATCACAAGTTCACAGTGAAAAAGTGTTTTTCTTGGAATACATCTTGTCCCCTCGGTTTGTCGGAGACAGCGACACCAGGTCCTTTTGCGACAGAAGCAACTCCTCTATCATCGGCTTTGATAGCGTGATTTTTGTCGCAAATTCGGAGAGGAAAGATTCTTTCTTGTAATTCCCCCTGACCAGCTGGTTCAGCCTTTCCTCCCTTTCCTTCGGTGACAACTGGAGTCTTTTTCCCTTTGATACTCCTTTCCGCGAACCAGACCCTACGCTTGTTCCTGGCGAGTATTTCATCTCGGAGTCCGAAGCGCCGTCCGAATCGGAATCATTTTCCTCGTGGTCTATTTCTCGTTCATTATGCGCATGAAGATCCTCTCTTTTCCACTTCGCCTTCACCTTTCTTTCCAGTTTTCGCAGCTGTTTGTTATTGATTTCTAATTCCATGGTCCCGTCGCTGTTACTATTTCCAGCTGGTGCACAACCCGGGTGTAGAATCTCTTCCATAAATTCGATCAACAACTCCCGTCGCTCCTCCTCCTCGTCCTCCTCGTCTTCCTCTTTATCAAACTGTCCATTCGCAAATCGATCCCCGACGAGAAATTGCAAACCGCCGGGCCCCCGATTCACACAGCTCTCCTGCTGCGCAAGCAATTGCGACGCAGAGGCGGAGTTTAAACTCGAGTTACTCGCTGACTTCATCAAGTTCATCGGCATTTTGATCATTTTCTGAAAATTCGCCCCGTTCGTCAGCCCATTGCTGCAGTTCCAGGTGAATTCCTTGTTTTTGTAGTAAACTTTTCCGCTAGTCGCGGTATTCGACATTAGTAGCCGCAGTTGGTGGGAAAGGGACTGCGCCGCCCGTTCCGACTCTAATTTTGAACTCGAAGTGTGGCTGGAATTTTTCCCGTACGGATTGTACTGCGATGCTGTGTGGGAAAACGCTTGGTAAGTCGAGGAAGTCCCGTGCGACTGCAGGCCGAAATTTTGCAACGACATAGAGCCGGCGGCAGACGCAGCTTCGTCGTGGTGCTCCCGGGTCGTGGCCTGATAGCATTGGGTTACTAATTTTCTATGTTGTTTTATACACAACACAAATGGATGATCTTGATCACCATGTTCAAGAAGCGAGGTGGATTCGATTGGCATTGTTTTTCGTGCATGACAACTTTGAACTTCAAACGCAAATGATTGAAGCGCCGGAGGAAAAAAAAATAAAAATGAGATCATCGCCGCTAGTAATTATACCAGCTGCTGCGCCACCGGGTTCATGCTTGCCTGCAGTGCCGAAATCGGCCCCATGATGCTGTTTCGCGCTGTGCTGCGGGGAAACGATGGCACTAGAAACTGCTCTCGCACGACGGATCCGCGACAGCTGTTGGACTTTATGCATTGCAAAAATTAAAATATCGCACTGGTATAAATTGCATCACAAATTTTTGCAAGAAGAAAAAATGAAATTTGTCACGCTGACTAAGGTAGAGAATTAGATTTGTCAAGCATGACCACTGCAACCGATACGATTACGAGTGCGATACTTTTGCAATGCATAGACTTCTGTACTGGCTGATTCGGGTATGAGACTGCACAACTCCCCCTCCCCGTCATTTGTAATGCAAAACCCCAAGTCCAAGTGCTAAGCTACCTTGTGGCGCTCTTTGCATGACAGATTCCGGAAGCCCAAACAGTACTGCACTAGGCGTATGAATTTGCCATGCACAGGCTCCACGTGTGCTGGGGTTTGTCTTGCTGCACATGCCATTCAAATGAGGGGGAGGGGGACGAGTTGTGCACTGTCATATCGGGATCAAAAGGCTCGACGGGACGTTTAAGCGGAACGAAGCCCTCGGGTTCACGGCACTTCCACCCGTGAAAATCGAGTTATGACGAGAGGGCACAAGAACTTTCATTTTTCCCCCGTCATTTGCGATTTTTTGCCATGCAAAATTAGACCCAGTCACCCTTTGCTGCCTTAATAGCCTTGTGCGGTCACTGTTCGCATGGCCAGAACTTCCGGAAGCAGCCCAAACACTATGTGCATTTGGCGCGGCGTGAACTTCTTGTTATGCTGATGTGGTGGTGATGATGATGTGGTGGTGTTTGTATTTTTGCTGCTCATGTCGTACAAATGACAGAGGAAGTAGGGCAGTAGTTCTTGTGCACTCTCATACGAGTTTATCAAATGTAAAAATGTCTGGGTCTGGAAGAGTCATGCTGTTTTTGCATGACACAGAAGGTCTGGCATGAAAGCTCTAGCATCACAGGTTTCGAGAAGCTTCCGCAATGCCGAATCCGCATGACAAATCTCCTACTTTGCTGACAGAAAGTGGGCAGCTTTTGCTACGTATGCATGAGAGACTTTTCTGTGTTCTGAAATACGCATTACAAGTTGCCTTCTTCCAGACCCAGACATTTTTACATTTGATAGAGTTCCGACTTGTCCCAAAGGTCGTGGTGTTCCGCGGCGCTTTCAAACTACTTTGCCCTGCTCCAGGCGTCTATAACAGGGCACAACTCCCCCTCCCTCTCATTTGTCATGCAAAATACCGAATCCAGTCGCTGCCTTGTGGCACTGTTTGCATGACAAATTCTGGAATCCCAAACAGTACTACACGAGGCACATAAATTTGTCATGCACAGGATCCACGTGTGGCGGTGTTTGTATTGCTCTTCGTGCAACACAAATGAGGGGGAGGGGGAGTTGTGCACTCTCATACCGTCTCTCCCAGATATGCTTCGTCGCCATCTGCTCCTCCTTCGTGCTGACCCCCCACGCGGCCGTGTGCTAGGTGCATGTCAAAAGCCGCTGGTGCTGCACCGGATTTATTTCCTAGGTTGCTGCTCCCACTGGTGTTATTACCGCTTGCTGTACTATTTGCTGAGGTTGCCAGGATAGAAAACCGCTGTTGGTTCTGGCTTGGCGAGGACATAAAACCGTTGACGCCGAGAGTGATTCGACGAGAATTTCGGTTATTTCTGAGGTCATTTGCGGTTGTACTGTTGCCCCCCAGGATCCTGCTACCTGGGGACGTCGCTGTGCCTTCTTCATCGTCATCAAAACTTAACTCCTCGATGTCTTCTGGTAGCAACGCCAAAGCATTGTACTCTGATTTTCGTCTAGCCGAGAGCGTTTTCCGCCGCTGCGCGCTGAAACCACCGGATGTTGATCCATTCGCGGTTGCACTACCGCCAGAACAACTCCCGTCGTCTTCTGCGGCAGCCTCGGTCAACACCTTCGTCTCCAAAATCGCCCCCAAATCGCTGATGCTATTGCGTTTCTGCGTCATCATCACGGAATTGCGCCGGGGCTGGAGATTCAGGGTTTGAACTTCCGGCTCGTAGTGATCAATTGCTGGTGGAGGTGCTGGTGGTGGAGCAGAGGTTGTTGTAGCTGCTGCACTTCCACCTTCGTGTGTTGTAGTTGTAGTTCCACCGACGCCAGATGATATCAAACCAAACGCCAGCAGTTCCGATTCCGCGGCGGACTGACGGGAGGATTGCGGCTCGTCGGAGATCGATTCTCATGCATTGCAAAAACGTCTGGGTGTGGAAACTTGTGATGCTGAACTATGGATGACTGAAACATTTGCCAATGCAGCCAATCATGACAATTTTGCAGAACGCTACCTTTGTCCAGTCCGCATGAGTAGAAACTGCGCTTTTGTACGAACAAAGAGGGCGTCTGTTTTTTGTTAGTCATGCAATACAGATTTTACAGGAACGTAGGGCTAGCATCACAAGTTCCATGTTTCCAGACCCAGACATATTATTTGCAATCCATAATTCTGCTGAGTTTACGACGACCGCTGGCGCGTTTTTAGAGGAACTCTTGTTAATATTTGTTCCTAAAGCGTTAGAAGCGGTTGCGTTTGTGGTCCCCACACCGAGCAATTTGTTGATGTTCAACATTGTCAACGGCGCAATCTGGCTGTTCACGTCCCTCAATGATTTCCTGCTATTCACGGATCTTCTTGCCATCGAATGCCGGATGTTTCGCTGGGAAGCAGTGGGCTGGGGTCCTTTGTTCGTACTATGATTGTTGCCATACGAGCTCAGGTGATCATTCTGGTGCTGCAAGTGATGAAACAGCTGGGCCGTTGTCCCCCCGCCGGGCACTTCGGATTTCCGCGGGCTGTGGTGGTGATTGCCGGAGGACGTTGTCGCGTGATGCGAAGATATGCATTGCAAAAGCATCGTACTAGTGGGAATTGCATTACAAATTAGCCCAGCATGACAAATTGAATTTGTAATGGTGATTTACCTTAACAAAGAGGTTTGTAATGCATAAACGCAATTACTACGAGTACGATACTTTTGCACAGGATAGAAGAATTTGATGACCAATAATTCCCCCGCTCCGAAAAATTCATGCTGCCGTTCAAGGTCACTGAAGTCACAGACGTGCGCTCGGAATTGATGCTATGAAATGCAAAAATGTCTGGGTCTGGAAACTTGTGATGCAAGTCAGTCAATAACAAACGCACTGTAATGCGCCGCCAAGCATGACAAGTTGCTTCGTGCTTCTGCGCTGCGTATTCCGCATGAGAAACCGCGTTTTTGCATGACAGGCGAGAGAGGCTGTTTGTGGCCACGCAATACAGATTTAAGGGCCATGCCAGATCAGCATGACAAATCTCGCAATCTCCAGACCCAGACATTTTTGCATTTGATAGATGCTATTCTCATGCATGTTGGAGGCCGTAGAGCTGCGGTCGCTGTTTTAGTTTTAGATTTAGTCGATTTTGTTTTGATGTCAATTAAATCGCCATAGAAATAACCGCCCATGCGCATGCTGTGCGTAGTTGCTTGTAGTAGGCAGTAGCAGCGCGTCGAGAGCACAAAAATAAAAGCACTTCTAGTCTAGTTCTAGTATAAATACCCGCCAATCCCCATTGCCGTTCTCGTACTGGAAGTCGAGGCTCGGTGCAATTGCCCCCTCCCGCCCCTCGGAGACGATGCAGCTGACATCGACGTCCCGTGATTGTTCCCATATCCATGATTTATTCCCGCCTTGATGTGCGTATTATGCGGCTTTTTTCTACTCTTATTCTGACCACCAAGAGCTGGTCCTCCCGATGCTCCTGCTTGGGAGGATGAAAAGTTCTGATTCATTCCATTGTTTTGCCCGTTGTGCAATTGCTGGCGCAACTGCTCGTGGTAGGTGGAAACCAAATCTTTTGAGCTGGTCGCGGAAGTTGTAGACGACGATGAAAAGCCGAATAAAGGACCTGGTGAAGTCGCCGACGCTGCATCTTTACCATTCAAATTTCCACCTCCGAACTGCTGGTGCAATTGAGAAAAAGTGCTGTCATAGCTGCTCGGGCTCAACCGCTGGGACGGATCTCGACTCGTCGTGTAGGATCGGGGGGAGGGGGGTTTCAGGATTATTTGGTTACCACTGCTCTTGCTATTCGCGGCCCCGGGCCCGCTTTGCGTGCCATGATTTCCCACGATCACACCATTGCCACCATTTCTCTGATCCAGTAATGACGTGCTCGTCCCGTGATGATCATAATTCTGGTTCGAAGTGTATCGCATGAAAAAACTGTCTCAATCTCATACAAAAATCTCTTGGAGATGACTCAGCAATGAATGCAAATTGGAATTCTCGTCTCAGCATGACACGGAAATAAAGAACCTGTGATGCGTTAGACACAACATCGAGGGAAAACACACAGGAGGAAGGACGACTTTCTATTGATTCTTCTTCTTGCATGCCGAGCATGACAAAAAACTATCTCAAGGAAGTTGCGCAATACACGTTGAAACTGAGACATCTTTTTCTCGCGATAAGATAACCGGCTTCACGCCACTGACAATCCCTTGCACGGTCAGCGCAATTTTTTCCAGATCTCGCGGGAAATGGAGTAAGCAGTTGAAAAACGCGTCGCGGTTTAAGCACTTCAGACTCGCGGGCTTCTCCCCGATCACCACGGCGGTGTTGACTCTTTTTTCCAATAACCCGAGAAAGCCAAACTCGCCGAAAAAAGCATCCTTCGTCACCTCGATCTCTTGCTCTTCGTAGGTGGAAATGAGACGAATGATGCCGGATTTCAGGAGGTACAGACACGGCTCGCTGGCTCTGCTTGCCGTGGTGGTAGCAGCACTTGATACAACATTTTCCGGCGCTGCCCCCGTCGTGGCAGAAAATGATGTTGAACAAGCTCCTGAAGTACTATTTCCCGCATGCGGCCCGGTTTCTTCGCCCTCGAAGTAGATGACTGATCCCGGTTTCACGTCTTTCACGGTGACAAACCGTTTTGCCAGGAAATGTAGGAACTGGGCCGAGACGTGCTCTAAGAAACCTAGACTATGCAATGCAAAAGCATCCCATCGTACTAGTACAAATTGCATTAGCCCAGCATTACAAATCAAATTTGTAATGCTGATTTATCTTGAGAGTAAAGAGATTTGTCATGCATAAACGCAATTACTACGAGTACAATACCTTTGCACAGGATATAGATTCCGCAGCAGCAATTCGTCCCCCTTCAGTTTCTTCGGCGGGTGAAACCCAGAAATCCCCGTGTTGCTGATGTTGCTTGTATCAACCCTAAAAGTATCGCGTAGTAATTCTAATTGCAACTTCGCATGACAAATCTGGCTCCTTTGGTCGTAATTTAGCACGACAAATTGCACCTGTCTACATGCTGAGCAAATTTATATGATCATGCTGGTTACTACTAGCACGATACTTTAACTTCTTTTGCGATGCCTAGTTTGACTTGTGGAACAAGTTTTTTCCCTGCCAGTCAATCTTGTATCAACTGTAAAAATGTCTGGGTCTGGAAGATTCTGACACTTGTCATGCACGTTTTGCATGAGCCATGATGTCTGTGATGCATACCCTAGCAATACAATTTTTTTGAGGGCTTCTTGATGCGTAATCCGCATGACAAATGCCTTCTCAGTGTAGCAAAAATTGCAGTTCCTTTGGTACTCATGCAATGCAGATTTTTTTGGAATCCAAACGCAGCATCACAAGTTGCATTCTTCCAGACCCAGACATTTTTACATTTGATATCTTGTTGATGATGACATTGTGCTGGGCCACCGTCGCGGTCTGGTGGTTCTGGAGTGGATGTTTGTGCGGCGGGGAAGGTGAGGCAGTCGTGCTGGGAAAGGAACTCTGCACGTGGATGAGCAAAGGATCTTCCATGGACGTCATGGTTTTGATATTAAAGTGTGTCTACTTTAAAATCTTTCCGAGCGTACAATCTTCGCAATGCTCCACCTTGTGGTCGCGAGAAGGACGAGACTCAGCAACTCACACAACGCAATAACCTCTTCCATGATAGATCTACACGCGTAATGTCGAATGACACAAGGAGAAGTCGAAGTGTCGTAAGTATGAAAAATAAACCTGAACCGTGCGATTCAGTGCAGTAGCCTCTCTTGCTGTAGTTGAGCTCCCACAGCTCCGTGTCTGTTCCCCTTCCCTCCATGTGCCGTGTCTTGCTATTAATAAACACGCGTCGTGCACGACCTCTCCAGCTCTTTACTACAGAACGAAAAACATAAGTCCAGAATCAGACACGAACGGTTCCCGGCAGGGCGCTTTCACGAACCAAGCGTGGGGGAAAAGATACGAGCCTCCTCCTGGAGGCGTCTCGTCTACTTGCTTTTTTTGTGTTTTCAAGTTGTAGAAATGCATCGCAAATTTAGCGATTGTTCGGCTCAATAATCTACTTCCAAGCCAATGTTTGAGCAAGACAGGAAGTCGAGCGTGGTGGTTTTTTGAAAATTCTTGTACTGCACCTTTCACGTGGTGGCCCACGGCGAAGCTGAGAAAGCTTACTTTTGTATCAACTAGCTCGGTATCAGTGTTCCTCGTTTATTTGATGAAGTATTGTTCCTTGTTCATTTGATATACTTGTCTACGAACTATCATTGTCTGCTGGGACGGAGAGCGGCCTTTTTATCTTTATCATCAATGCCTTTTGATAACTAGAAGCACGCGACGCATCTGAGTGGATCATTTGTAGCCTGGTGCTGTTCTTACTTGGTATCATCCAGAATAGTGCGCGACTTGCCTCCCCATTTCTACCATTAGCTCCGCGCGCTACTTTTTTCTCCTAGTCTATCCTCGTCGTTATATTTCGGTTTGCCCGAAGATGAAAATCGGCTGCGATCGAAGACGCCGAAGCTACTTCTTCTGCTTGCCCGCGCGACCCAAGTCCTGCAGGTCGCTCGGCACCGCGTAGCTGCGCCGCAAAGCCGCCGCCGGGGGCCTGGCGTCGGCGTAGGTCATCCCTGGTGGGGGTCGCACACTGTACAGGTGTTTCTCGGCCGGCGAGAGGGTAGGCGTCGTGCGGAAAATAAATGTAGTACCAGCGCCACACGTGACAACACTAACACTTCGCGTTTTCTACGAAAATAGAGGCCCTCGCCTTTTGCAAAACGAAAACCAAAATAACAACGCAGTCAGATTCAGATAAATAAACACGGGTGGGGCGAGGGGCCGACTATAGGCAGCGCAGTTTTTATATATGAAAAGCGCGCCGGCGCCCAGGCATGACGCTGGTGCCTCAACATTACGCATGATACGCGTCAGCCGGATGAACTGGCCACCGTCACCGCTGCTGCAGTGGTATGCAATGCAAAAGCATCGCACAACTAGTATAAATTGCATTACAAATTCCCCCAGCATTACAAATTCAATTTGTAGTGCTGAGTGACCTCGAGAAATGCATAAATGCAATTACTACTACGGGTACGATACTTTTACACAGGATAAGTGGGCCCGGTACGCCGGCGCGTTGGCGACGAAGGAAAGTATGCAATGCAAAAGTATCGTACTCGTAGTAATCGCAGTTGTGCACTACAAATCTCCATCCAAAGGTAAAACAGCATGACAAATCTTATTTCTCATGATGAGCAAATTTGTAATGCAATTCATACTAGTACGCTGCTTCTGCAATGCATAGAAAAGCATCGTGGCCCGTTCCATTGGATCGGGGGGCCAATACGAATTTCGTATTGGCCCGCCGATGCAGCAGTGGAAACCAACCCTGGCGCGACCGCCGGCGTCTTCATCAGGCCAGCGCGGGTCATGAACGTCATCCGGTCGGCGCGCGGCTGCACGACGAATGTGTCTTGAGCGGCCATTTTAATATCGTTGTGGCAACAACTAGAATTTTTGAGGTGGCAGAGAAAAAATAGAACTAGAGCTCTACTACGACGAAGAAGAACCACCGGTATGACAAGTACGGGAGAGGCGCTCCCTTTACAACCCGAGCGAAAACAAAAACAAAAAAGTCAGGACCACTAAGTACGGAGAAACAGATCCTCAACCTTGACCACACAGGGAACCAAAAAAAGATGATCTTTCACTGGGTGAGGAACAAAGAATGAAAGGCTAAGGATCCACAAAGTCAAAGACGGCGATACTCCATAATCTTAATTTTCAGGTGAGACAAACAAGAACCGATCCATTGGAACGGAGAGAAGGGTGAAACGGTACACGAGCGAAAGTCATCTTTGAACTGACCGAGGAGGGATCATGATCAACATTTTCATTTGCATCTGCAATCGCACCACGAAAAGTAGAAGCCGATCACTTCCGGAACAACATAAGTAGAAGATACATCCCAAGCTCCATCTTGTCATTACGTTGTATGTTTGATGTTTATTTTGGAGTTCTGTATTCTCAAAAGTTGTTTTTCAGAGTCAGTATAGAAGAAATCAGGAATCAAAATCCGGCCTGGGCCTGCTTCATCTTGGTTCTAGAAAAATCGGCATAGCTGTAGTCATCAAAAACTTTTTCAACTAGATTATAGTTTCTTCGAATTTTATTTAATCTTTGAGGTCGAGCTAGGCTCACATTTCCTGCAGAACCCTGGTTACGAATACCTAGTGGTATTGAGATTGCAATACAAATACTACCTTGTCATCATCTTTTGTTCGTTTATGTTTTTGTTGTTGACCAATGGGTGCTACAATGAATCCGAATTCGGATCGCGTAAAGCTCCCAACCAGTCGCGGTCTGCTTAGTTGCTTCAATCATCGTCCTCTTTGAGTATTGTTATCTGTACGAAAAAAAGTTTGGAAAATCTAGCTTCATCGCTATCTGTAGCTTCGATGTCCAGAGCAAAGAAAAAAACTTCAGTGTTGAGCATCAACATTCGCAACCCTTGTTGGCGAAAAAAATTCAAATTGAAAAATCAATATCAAAGCTTGATCTGCTTGGCCTACTGATGTAAGCTCTATTGCCAAAAAAAAAAATGGAAATCAAAAATCAGAGTTGGTACGCAAAAAAAAAGGAAATCTCCAAAAAAGCCTCAAAAGATCAAAAAGCGAGAAGAACCCCAGGTAAAGAACTTCCCCGGTCTAGTGTCGTGGACCGGCCTATAAATCTTCTTGCCTCCCATCCTGTAAGTCGACACCACCACGCGCTACTAGTACATGATCCTAGTACATGCTCCTCAGCGATGAAACGAAGCGGAAGTGCCGTCTTTCCGGGGGCCCACTAGCGGTTCATTCGCAGGCCGTGTCATCTGTCGTAGTGGCGCCGCTTCCTCGCCTGCTTCCTCTTCTTCCTCACTGTCAGAGCAGTCCATCAGCCCGGGCGGTGGGACTTTCTTCACCGATTGCAAATTTTGCAGCACAGCGTTTTCCGGTATGGTGGGCAGTAATTGCAGGAATCCAGACGATCGCCGACGCAGTGGCAAGCCATAGCCACCCACTGTTTGATGTTGGCTGGAGTAGAAGGAATAAACGCACCAGAATGCAAAGCAAAATCACCACTGCTCGCCTTTTTATATCTCATCGCGACTTATTGTTCGCTATATCGAATACGAGTAGACCGTGTAAGTATGTGTGTCCAGGAATAGATGATCTTATGCAGCTGCAGAAGACGATGAGATAGCTCGTCATCACGCAATCATGGAGATTGTGCTTTCCATACTTCGATCTGCAGCATCCTCAGTTTGTTTGCGAAGGGACGATGAAGCGGCGGTCGAATCTTCAAATGTTGCGCTTCGAGTAACCAGAATGCCTAAACTTAGAGTTCTGCAGATTTGATTCTTGAAATTAGAATTTCTGAATCAATAAGTCTCACACCAACATCAAGTCGGCTGTACATGAGATCTGAAGAAGGAGGGTTAAACCAGCATCTTAATTATCAGACGAGTATACGAAGAAATAGAAAAACGACACGAATACGAAATGGGATACACACGTGATCGTCTCGACAACGGAACAAAAAAGGAACAGGAAGCAAATGAGATCAAGAAATGCAGCAAGTTGTGAATCACGGGATCTACTACAAAAGAAAGCAAATCAAATGCGAAAGCAAAACAAAAACTGCGTCTGTCGTAGGAGCATAGAGAAAAACGAAACGAGAAACGGAAGTAGATCTTCTGGGGATTCGTCTTGAAAAGGCGAACTTCCTATTCTATTTTGCAACAGCGACCACAAAAAAACGCTAGCAGCCCGTTGTTCCTTTGTGCTCTAGAATCACCGTACTACGTGTGAGACTCCCGATGTTCGTCTCGTCGAGCGAGTGCGAGATCCATGTCCAAAGAAATGCTGTACCGAACGAGCCACAGAAAGGCTTCATAATCAAAGTGATCACTTGAAGAGGTAGGTGCAAAAAAAGAACGGAAATCAACATGTCTTGTTGCGCTGGAACAACCATTCCGCGCCTGTGGTCCTCGCGACGAGCTAGGTGCGCGTCTTTTTTCTTTTTCGCTCATGTATTGTTCATGTTCAATTATCGGTTTTGTCAGAAAAATTCGAGTCCCTGCCGCGGGGCTTCAGTATTGAGCAAAATGTATTGAATGTGGTTGAATTCACGTGAATCGATGACACAATTTTTGTTCCACGACTCGTGTGACACTATCACGTGAGCAGCGCGACACGTCGTGCCGCAGTCGAGATTTCGGGGCTCCGTCCGCCAGAATCGGAGAAGCGTGCAGCACGAAGACCGTTTTTCCAAAGGTCCACTCCCCGTAGTCTACTTCACAGAGAGTTGTACAACGATGTATCGCCGACGCTGACCTGTTTCGGTTTCGAATTTATGCAGTTAATTGTGTCCTCTGTCGCGCATGTTCTTACATGACTGAATGGACGTGATACAATTATAAAGCAATCCATCGTGTGGTTTTTCATTGGTCGCGCACAAAAAAAATCTCCGTACACAACACATCTTCTACAAGTAGTGGGTAAATTGTACCTTTCACGGTCGACGGAATTTTGACTGTTCTTCGCGTAGTGGTAGGTGAATCAGTGTTGTTTTCCTGCAGCAGATGAAGAAGTTCTTCTTGTTGTGTCGAGGTTTTTTGTTTGTTGTTGTCAAACGCGCCGTCTGTGCCTACGGCAGAATCGAAAACACCTTGAAAAAGTCCTCGTCCTGGGCAATGATCTCTGCACGGATTTTCTCAGCCTTTGCCATCGCCTCGTCCGCCTCCCTCAGAAGTCGCATCCTGTGTAAAAACGCCCCCACCCCAGAGCTGTCATGCAGATTTGCCGTGACAGAAACATTTGTGATGCGCATCCCCATGACAAGCGTTTTCGATCGTGTTTGGGAATTTGTAATGCTGTACAGAGGACAAGCAGATCGATTTGTAATGCGGCTGTCCTTCCTAACTTGCACTACCTTACGCACTGCAACTTGTCATGCGTCACTTCGAAAACTCCTAGGTTTGTGTTGCAAAATGCCCATCGTGACTCTGGGGTGGGGACGTTTTTACCTAGGATAAATCGCTTGTTGTAGGTATCCTTCCTGTCGACCTTGTACGTCCACTGCAGTTGTATGCTCTGCAAAAGTATCGCACTCGTACAAATTGCGGTCATGCATGACAAATGTGATTTCTAAGCTAAATCAGCATGACCAATACCGCTTCTGCTATTGCCAAAATTTGTGATGCGAATTATAAATATTGCTAGTACGATACTTTTGCAATGCATAAGTTGTTTTTTGTGTTTATTTGTTCCCCCTTTCATGCTCCCGTGCTTCAACTCGTCGAGCAGCTCCTCGTGTTTCGACGGATCCCTGATCTTCTCTAGCATCGCAAAGTCCACTGTGTCATTATGACATTCCTTCTGGTCACAGATGAGACAGTGAACGACAATATGGATTGCAAAAATGTCTGGGTCTGGAAGGATGCAACTTGTGATGCTGCATTTGGGTATGGATTCATCTACAAAAATCTGTATTGCATGAACAGCAAAAGAGGTCCAGTTTTTGCGACGGCGAGAGGGTATTTCTCATGCGGTATAGGCATCAGGAAGCCCTCATAAAATCTGTGATGCTAGGGGATGCATCACAGACATCAGGGGTCATGCCAAAGCTGCATCACAAATCTCTGCATCCTTCCAGACCCAGACATTTTCGCATTTGATAGACAACCGTTTTGGCCTGCATGTACACTTCGTCATATATTCTGCGGAGCATCTATGAGAGCGCACAGCTCCCCCTCCCCCTCATTTGCTTTTGCATTGCATGAACAGCAATACAAACACCAGCACACGTGGAGCCTGTGCATGACAAACCCATGCGCCTAGTGCAGTACTGTTTGGGCTTCCCCAGGAATGTGTCATGCAAACAGTGCCACGAGGGACAGGGAGCGACTGGATTTGCGGTTTTGCATGACAAATGAGGGGGAGGGGGAGTTCTTCACTGTCATAGCATCAACCAGGGCGCAGTGGGAAAGGGTCGGGCACAGGAGATGTACTTTTCTGGGGGAAATTGCTTGCCTGTTTTATGTATCCTGTGCAAAAGCATCGTACTCGTAGTAATCGCAGTTATGCATTACAAATCTAGTTGGTTAGGTAAATCCGCATTACAAATTTAATTTGCAATGCTGAGCCAATTTGTATTGCGATTACTATATATTATATTCATGCGAAAAAAGAGGTAGACAGAGGGTAAACAAGAGGTGGCCGAGAGGTCAAAAAGAGGTCAAAAGAGGTAAAAAAGAGGTCGACAGAGGTGGAGAGGTGGCGCGGGACCCCTTTCGAGAGGGCCGGCGAGAGGGTGCGCGAGTATAGCCCGCCGAAGGACCCACCCTAAGGCGGCGCCTAAGTGCCTCAGAGGGTGCAGAGAGGTCAAAAAGAGGGGGCGCGAGAGTTCGACAGAGGTGGCGAGAGGTGGCGCGAATAAGGGGCGACCTCTCGCGGACCCTCTTGGCCACCTCTCGGCCACCTCTGTCGACCTCTACCCGCGAGTATAGCCGGATTATTAGCGGGGACCCCCAAAAGAGGCCAAAAAGAGGGTCTGCGAGAGGTCTGCGAGAGGGTAAAACACAAAGAAGCGGGCGCGAATCCGCATGGCACTACCCATATTTGGCACTGCAGGCCATTCGCGGAGCTGTTTTGTTCGGCGCCTTTCCGCGCCACCCTCTCGCGCCACCCTCTCGCGCACCCTCTCGCGCCACCCTCTCGCGCTACCCTCCCCCGCCGGGCGGTTTCTGTTCGCCCCCGGTGGTCTTTGCAGCTGCTCCCTGCGCAGAGCGCCCACAGGCGCGGGAAGCGCGCAAGTGGTCCTGCGGGTTGGCGCGGCGCAATGTGTTTCGTTGTGCATAGGCCCGCGGGGTTGTGGTCCTATCGGCAAACAGTCTTGCCCCGACCCAACAGCCTTGCGCTCCGGCGGCAGCCGGAGCATGGCTGGTTTGTACTAGTGCGATGCTTTTGCAGTGCATATTATGTGACACATTCAGCTTCAGTTCCTTCACGATATCGAAGACCTCCTGCCGCTTCTCGACCTGGGTTTTGTGCTTGGATTCCTTGTTGTGTTCGCAACTCCATTCCGTGGGTTTGTGTTTCGCGTTCCGGCACAACCGGCACTATCAACTGCAAAGCTGTCTGGGTCTGGAAACTTGTAATGCTGCGTTGGGAATATTGAATGCTCTGTAATGCACAGGCAAGCATGAGAAATATCTGCGCTTCTTTGTGTTGCGTTTTTCGCATGACAACCTGCGTTTTTGCATGATAGGCAAAAGGATCTCTTCTTGGACACGCATCACAAACTTTTTGGTCATGCCAGACAAGCATGACAAATCTCAAAATCTTCCAGAACCAGACATTTTTGCATTTGATAGGCACTTGAATTGGACGATGCCGGCGTTGTCCGAGGCACAGTAGCTGTTCATTTTCCCGTATCAAAAGTACAAAAAAGTTCGTCACGATCACTCATTGGGATGGGCATTGTCGCAATACAAAAAATGCCTGTCATGCGTAAAAATGCATCACAGCCAAACTTCATACGGACTCTCTCTATAGAAGTGTTTCTGCAATACAAGGAAAAGTTGTGATGCTAAGAAAATTTGTAATGCAAAACCTCCAAGCTAGTGACTGTGACAAACTTTTGTCTGTCCATATCTCGGGCCGCACAACCGCACAGTATCCGATGAGGTCCTGGTTGAGAAACAGCCGATTTTTCGTATGGAAGCGTCAGGATCGAAATCGACAAAGTCGAAATAATCTGTCATGCAGAAAATGCGACACAAAAAGTGACTCTATTGCAGAGAACAACGCAAAGGAGGCAGATTGTAGTCCTGCTAAAAGTCAAGAATTGGGCTGGTGGCTAGCATGACAGAGGGGAGCTCTTTTGCCCTAAACCGCATGACATTGGTGGTCTACGGGCAGGACGTCCCGGTGGCACGACGGCCGATAAGCTTACAAATTCATTCATTCATTCACGACCCTCGCGAGTCAACGCACTTCCGATGGTGCATGCAGAAACACAAATGACAGATTCGCTTCCAGGACGAGGGAAATGCGCCATGCGCCGACTAAAAACTGTAGGTCTAACTGGCATCGATTTTGTGCATCGCAAGTTTCTCGATTTTGTCGATTTCGATCGTGACACTCCCATACTTCGCCGTGTTGAAGTAGAGGAGATGTTCGTAGTCTTGGTACTTGTAGTACTTCAAAAAATTGTCGAAGTTCAGCTTGTTCAGCGTTTTCTATGAACTGCAAAAGCATCGCACTACGTATGAATTGCATGACAAATTTCCTCAGCATGAGAAAGAAAATTTGTAATGCGGATTTAACCTGAGAAAGAAATTTGTAATGCATGAATGCGATTAGTACGTGTGCGATACTTTTGCACAGGATATTTTCCGCGGGTCCACGACTTGACCGGTGTCCTTGTTCGGTGCGGTTTGCTTGTTTAGGTCGAACATTTGGTACTGGAGCTGCTTGTTCTTCTTCACCTCTTCCTTATCCCTGTCGGCCTGAAAATGCCAGCCCCGTTTCTGGTCCCACAAGGGTATCAAATGTAAAAGTGTCTGGGTCTGGAAGAATTCATGTTTGTCATGCTTGTCTGGCATGACTCCTAAATCTGTCATGCACGTTACCCAAGAGCTCCGCTTTTCTGTGATGCAGAAGCGCAGTTTGTCATGCAGAATAGGCAACACCTAGGAGCTCAGAAACTTGTCATGCTGAGCCAGCATTTGTAGCCTCATCATGAGACGCCACCCAGCATCACAAGTTTCCAGACCCAGACACTTTTACATTTGATAAAGGGCTGACCGTGTCGATTCGTCCAGTAGTCCTTCATTCGGTTCTTGAACTTCCTCGCGCGGAGAAGCCGCGTGGTGCATGGGATTCTCAACTGTTACATTCTCAACTACTGCTACATGAATTTGTGATGCAAGAATAGGAAAAGTAAAAAGAAGGAAGCCTGCTGCACCTCCCGCATTACAAATTTGGCACAGAGAAGTTTCATGCTTTTTAGTCCTTCAAAATAAATTTGTCATGCATACCCGACTGCGCCACATCGAAAACCTTTGCACCGTCGCCGCAAGCAGCTACGGCCGCAGGAGATCTAGGGTCAGAACCGCGAAAAACATCGCGAGTATTTCTTCATCCCCGGGCACTTATGTTATCTTTACCGTACTTCTCGCTAACACTGTATGAGCTGCTGCAGACACACTGTGACAGGGAAAAACACAGGCGCCACAATACTAGAACCCACTTTCTAAATAGTATACGGAAAACTGGCAGGCACCTGTCGCACAAAAGAAATAGCAACAGGCGCGGGTACAGAGTCCGAGAAAGTTTTGGCTAGCTTACGAGGAGATTGCTGATTGAAAACCAACAATGCTCGTAGAAGGTGTCACAACTGGCGTCGACAGTTGTGAGAAGAGCGCACCTGATTGGCAAGACAGCGAAAACGGATTTACAGGCCGCGAAGCGTTCTCATGTGTGAAAACCTGCCAAACCGTCCGTAGCTCACCTTCTTCAAGCGTTCGTGGCCGCGAAGTCGTGGGCGTAGCATGATGAAAGGTAGACGGCTGGGCTTTCTCATCGAAGGCAGATTTCCGTCTGCGAGCATCTTCTTCAACAGCGGCCAGAATTCAGCTCGCGGAGAGGGTCGCCGTCCTCTCTCCGGGTTTCCGCTGTATGTCCTCTCGTGCCACCAACTATCTCCGCCCCGGAATGGGGCTAGCCTAGCTCGCATCTATTGTGCGCCCTTAGCTCGCGATTGCGAGGCTAGGGAACAAGTCTCTATTGGACTTGTTGCTATTGTGGCTAGCCCTCCCCCTCTGCTCGTCGGGAGAGAAGATTCGCACCGCTTCGGTTCCACTTGTCACGCACGTGCTAAATACCGCTTGGAACTGCCATCCGTCTGCCCTGGCTCTGCGCACCGAGAAGCCCCGGCGCCATCTGCTCCGTGCTCTCTCCCCTGGCTCTGGCTCGGCGCAAATGCTTTGCGCGGAGGAGTTGGCAGCAACGCATCTTTATTGCGTGCCCCTACACATCTTTATTGCGTGCTTACGGGAGCGAGCCATCTGGATTGCGGCTCACTGCTGCAAACTCCTAGCGCGCCGCCGCATTTGCAACCTACCTCCCTCCAGCGGGGGCCGCCTTCCTCACAGGTCCGCCCGTGCCGACCTGATTTATCGCTGACACCCCGGGTAGCCCACCATCGCCGCGCCGTCGGCTGGTTAGTCCGGTACCATGGCGGTCGCTGCTGGGACGATCTCCGGCGCCGCCGTGTCTTGCTGACGATGTACAACTTGGGCGAATTCCCGTGGAAGAGTGCCCGCAGCCCCGCACAAAATCCAGTCGAGCCACCGTGCGCAGCGACACGGACACCAGCCCGCACATAATCCGCAGGACATTTTTCCAAGAGGAGCAGGAGCACACAGACGTAAGGGTCGCAGCTCTACTGCAGATCAGGAGAAAAGAATGCGAATGCTGAATAGCGGAAGAGAGAAAATAAGCAAAAACGAAAAATGTCGAGGAAACCTATTGACTACGTCGGGCCTCTAAACTACTGCAATCTGTAAAGGCTAATGGTATGCATTTACTCACGCAGAGGGTCGCTGTCGGAAAAATTAACTGTGCTCAGCGGATCCCCCCCACCACCGGGGCAGGGGTTGGCATATTAAGGATCTTGAGCCAAAATGGCTACGGAGTGGCTTTCTCGTGTGGATGCTCATGCTGATGTCGATCTCGATGTGGATTCTGCATTGCAAAACTTATGCAACAGTATGAGAATGTAACGTTTGAGAACTCCATATGGTGGCTCTGCCGATCAGTAGGTCGGGGTGGATTTCAAAGCCGAAGTCATTCTTGCTGTTCTCTTTGTCCGCGAGGTACTCGGACGTGAACTCTGGGTCGATGGGTTTCTGCGCAGGAAAGAGCTGCTTCTGGACTTGCCGCAGCTGCTGTTGCGCAGACCGACCTTTGGTTGTCAGGTCCAGCACCGAATATGCATTGCAAATGTATCGTCCTCGTAGTAATCCTAATGCTAATCCTAATCGCAGTCATGCAAAGTATACAAATCTCGTTTTCGTTCCCAAGGTATCCATTAAAGCAGCATGGCAAATTCCATTTCTCATGCTGGGGAAATTTGCCATGCGACTTCCACTAGTACGATAACGAGACTTTTGCAATGCATACCGAGTCCGGTATGTCGATGTCCCGCTCGGCCGCTTTTGCGCGGGTAGTGGTGGAAGCGGACGAGGACGGCATTTTCTTCACGACACGGATGGAGATACTAGTGCACCAGTTGCAGATGCTGAAGTTGAACTGCGACTGCGAGTGTGATATATTATACTTATTTCCTGGACTACAACTTCTTCTCGCACAGGTGTCGTCGTGGCAAGCACTGTTAGTACGTAGTAATGCTTGTGTCTGTCCCCAAAAGTTCTTGCTAGATCTCGTGGTTCGCAGGGGGGGGGTGTCGTCTTCGTGCTCGATGTCGATTTTTATGTGAGTCCCGTACTATTCTTTGGCTCTCCTTCAATACAACGCGCAGGCGAAGTGCTTCCAGAGTGCTGTAGTAGTCTTTGATCCTACCAGCACTGCTACTTAAGTACGCGACGGTCGTGTTGATCAATACGCGCAGGTCGTGATCGATGATGTTTCCTTGAAGATACTAGTGCCACTGCTACTTCACGTTCAGGAAGGTTTGATGTGCTGGCCGTCCAACAAATGATCCACTTCTACTCCAGAAGATCAGGAACACGACCAGCGCCCTCGACCACGACACAAATTAATATCGGTCGTTATTCTAGTACTCCACCGGCGGGGATGAACCAGCCGCTGCACCTACATGAACTACAGGATGAAGAGGACGATGTAAAGAAAACGCTGGCAGAGCAGCACGGGTATGCTGGTTGAAGATGCTTCGGACGAGTGGGTGTCCTTCGATGATCTCCTGCTCGTCGAGGTGCAAAACTGAGCACTAAGGCTGGAGGAAGTCTGAGCACAGAGTCTGCTCCGTCTCGCTCCGGAAAATGTATGTGTATTCGCGCGGGAGAAAATGTATGTGTATTTGAATCGGAATCCAATCTGCTTGAAGAAAAACACGACGGCCGCGGGGGCAGACTCGTTTTCGCCAAATTATTGCCCTAGACGAGACAGGTGTAGGACAAGAAGGTCGTCGTGTCGCTTGTACTTACATTGTAGAAGTTCAGGATTCCGTTCTTCCAGAATAAAATTTGCCCGACTAAGAAGTCGAGTGGGTATTCTTTTTAGTACAACTCGCGACAACTTTGGCCGCTGCGTCGTTCCGGATCCGGTCGATGTGCTTGTTTGCGGATGAAGATATTAATTTGTTGAAGATGATTCTGGCAGCCGAGGAACCAACTACGATAATTGGTGGTCCGCCTCCTAGTCGTGGAGCTGGTTGTCCGGGCTTTCCTTACCGTTCGCGGCTAGTACAACGTCGAAACTACAAAACTGGGCTCGGCAAACTGCGTGGAAATCTTCAGATTGCTTGGTAGTTGTACACTGTTTGGCTTGTTGCGAAGGAACTCTTCTTGGAAAATTTAGTTTTGTCGGTGTTCGAAAGTAGGTCGCATAGTACTATACTATCTTTAACCACTAGTGTTGACAGATGGGAATGGAACAAGTACGACTGTGCTCTTAGACCACGTAGAGTCTCTCTCAGTTGTCATCTGGTTCTGGTCGGATGTGACGCATACAAATTTTCAGAGTCTGCACTAGAGAGGGAGGAAAAATGGCTTTTCGAAATAATATGAAGTGTAAGCAAGAAGCAGTCAACATCGGTTCTGTTTTTTCCTTGATTTTTCGGCCTTTCAATTGCTTCGCGGCGGAAAGGAGCAGGCGGATAGGTGTCACACAGTTGTGGCGAAATACGACGGGAAGCTCTACTTCTGCAGCTTTGAACCCGGTTTCATCTCTTTGCTTTGCTGTTGCAAAAAAGTAGATCCAGAAGATCATACCCTCAGATGAACATGAATCTTCAAACGTTGTAGCCAATCATATGACGCTGTGACAGTTTTGCATTCCTGTAGGAATTGTGGTGAGCCACGTACTAGGCAACATCGTATAATGTTTGCACTTTCTGTTTCATCTCTTTCATCCACTTGTACTTCTTGTTTCTGAACATGCCGCCGCGACAAGAACCGGAACACAGTACTACCACAACAAATCGACGTCCCCTGACTGCAGGTGCAGCACTACATTTTTATAGCTGCAAGAAGCAACTACACAATACTTCTAAACCGGATTTGCTTTTTCATCTCCTGAAAATACCTAGTCCTCTTGCGTAGGATTTTTCTGCGTTCGATTCTTCAAAAAATAAGTAGCATCTGTCGAGGCTCCTCGAAGAGCAGCGCCGCGCCGAGCTTGAAAAAATCCTTTGTGATAAATTTGTCGTGTCGCTGAAAACTAGTACGCACTTACACCGCTACGCGGACCACTGCGACTCGCTGCTATCAAAAGATACAGATGCAGCTGTCTATAGAGCAAAACTTTCGTACTCATCACAACTGGAACTTTTCATATCACGCCTGGATTCTTCGTCCAGCATATCATGGTCGAGCAAAATTTTTCTACTGCTCTCTATTCACACGCCTCGTCGCTTTTCAAAGTAGTAGCTGTCGTTGTCAGAAGTGGTCGTGTAAATCGAGCGTAATTATGGGCGGAAAATGTGACTACAATGACTCATAGTAGCCAGGAGGGGACGACCTCTCCACGGATTCAACATCCTCCGTTGGTCGTACAGAAAAGGGTGATACGTAAAAATGAAGAGTCGTCCAGAGATGACAGGTCGGGGAGGAAAGTAGAGTAGTAGACCTCCGCATTAAAGGAGGTCCTTCGAAAAGTAAATAAAAGTAGCTTATATAAAAGTGTGTGCCAACAATACAGACAAGACAGCTACACACCAAATAATCCTTCGAGTGCGCCGTACCAATCAAGACTTGGCCTACACTTCTGAAAGAAAAGGTTTGTGGTGATGTTTGCAAGTCAAGCCCGCTCCTGCTCCCGTTGGAAAAGTTGAACTCGTATAAAAATTTGCGGTCGCCGAAATTTTTACTCAGCCCGAGAATATGTTGTCAAATTTTAGACGTTGGTATTGGTTTTTGTTGGATGCGTCCCTCAGAGTAGTACAAATACTACTGACATCCATAACTCAAAAGTAGAAGTGAAAGTGAGGAAACTGAAGCAGCAGAGTTCTTGTATCCAAGAAAAAAACACCATCACAATCACACTTAGGAGGTTTTGCATCAGAAATTTCTCTCGCATGACAAATTTTTCTTGTAATGCAAAAACCCAAAGGGAAATCACCAATAACTCTTTACTGTGATGCATTTTTGCGCATGACAAAAATTTTAATTTTTGTATTGCAAAAATGCGCATAAGTGATTGTGATGGTGTTTTTTTCTTGAATATCTTGTTTTCTTCCTTTACAAACTCGAGCTGGGGTTTTTCACCGCTTCAATGCACTCCGCCAACGCGGCGGTCACCGTTTTCACGTTCATTTTGTTAGAGTTGTACCCCATGAGCCCGATCCGCCTATCAAAAGGAAAAATCCCCCCCCCCATATCGTAATGGAAATCTGTGATGCAGGATTTGTGTACACAAATCGGATTTGTCTTGCGGTAGAGGGCTGCAGACAGATACAAAGCCCGGAAAGGGGTGGCTTGGGGTAGGCACTTAGCATGGCAGACGTCTGCCCTAGTAGCGTAGCAGCATTACAAATCGCCTGCGAAATGCACCGGAGGCCCTGGCTTTGCTCTCTTGCAAGACAGACTGGTTGAGCTGGGCGACCTCAGATGGCACCCCCGTCCCGAATTTCTCTTGATTTTTTAAGATTTTTTTTTCAAAAAAAAAATTTGGCAGGCCACTCGTCGTCGGGTGCCAACGTTCGATGGCCAGCCGCGAAGCTAAGCTGCGCTATTCTACTAGACCTCTCTGGTTCTAGTGCTGCTTTTATTTGCAGCTTCTCCGCATTACAAATTGCTGCTTTCTTGTCTACTTCCAACGATCTTTTTCGGTATCCCTTAGAAGTGGCGACGTATCCTCACAAAAAGTGCTCACTTTTGATGGCCAAAAGTGAACTCCAAAAAAGTCATCTTTTCCCATTTTTACCTCAAAAAAGTCTCTCGATTTTCTAGAAGGTGAAACCGAAAAAGACCTGCAATAATTGAGAATATAAGTGGGAGAGGAGACTTTTTTCTAGACTTTTTTTTTGGGTATGCAAGGTCGGAAGACGAAACCGAGGAGGAAAAACAGGAGACTTTTTTGGGAGCTCAAAAGTGATCATTTTTGGCTTCCAAAAATGTGCACTTGTTGTGGGGAAAAGCTGATGCTTGCTTTGGTGAGTGTTTGATGAGTCCACCACACCAACTGGAATAGCATCGACGCAGCATGCCGTGCAGTTTCGACTCAGCAAACGAGTTAGGAATGCGTAGCCACCTTAGAAATTCACCTGACGACGTGAGTCGCAACCTTTTTCCCAGTGCAAAGTAGGACGAAAAATCCCAAAATTTTTTTTGAAATGATGATATTGGCAGTGTGCCCTTTAGCGGACTGCTGCGTGCTACTCCCTCCTCCAGCCCGAGAGCAGCTGAACGCCGATCTTCTATGACGAACAGTTTTTTTGAAAAAAAAATCTTAAAAAATTGGAAGAAATTTGGAAGACTTTTTTCATCTGAGCCGCCCAGCTCAAGACTGGATGTGTGACCACAAATTAGCATCACAAATTTCGAAAAGCGCGCCTTTTCGATATGGGGAGGGGGGATTTTTCCTCACAATACCGCCAGCACTTTCCCTTCAAGCTCCCGAGCGCCGCCCCGATCTCGATGTCAAAGCGGTCCCGCATCAGCGCGATCACCTTCATGCCGTCGCCGCACCCGTCCGGGATTTTGATGGTTGTCAAAGACGGTAACCGGATCTTTTCATCCACGTACGGCTCGCACCCGATCTTTTTCAACTCCGCCCAAAAGTACTGCGCGTTGGCCAAATGGCGCGCGTGGGAATTCTCGAGACCCTCCTCCGCGACCAGCGTAAGGGCTTCCCGCATCGCGTAGGCCATGGTGATCGGGGCCGTGTGGTGGTAGACGCGCGGGGCGTTACCCTCCACAACCATATACTTTTTTATCATGCTCATGTCCAGGTACCAATTTTTCACCTTGTCTTTCCGACTGTCCAGCTTTTTGAGCGCGCGCTCGCCGAGCGTGAGTGGGGCGATACCCGGGGGACAACCCATACCTGTTGTAGGTAGAAGTTTTTTTTTCACACACTGTAAGTACTAAATCACTGACTTGGTTGATGTGTCGTATTTCATCTGCATAGAAAGAACGAGCACCTACTCGTTCACGTGAGGAATCTGAATCTGAGGCGTGATCCACCGGTACCATATGAATTTCAACTTGAATTTTTGGAACGAGTGATTAATTATGATATGATAAAGTAGAAATACATTTCTGCCCGCCCGCGTAGCAAATGTCGACCTTCCAATCGTCCAGGTGGATCGGCACCCCGCAGATACTTGTTACCGTATCCAGCATGAGGAGGCAGTCGTGTTTTCGGCACAGTTCGCCGATCTCGCCCACGTTAGGTTGCAGTGTACCTGTATTTATTCATTAAGGAAATTTGTATTGCGTCATTTCAACATGATCCATGTCTATATATGGGGTTGCGTTCACAATCACATGCGACCTCCCATGCATGGCAGAAAACGATATTACCTGTGCTGGTTTCGGCATGGCAGATCCAGAGCAGCTGTGGTTTGTATTTTTCCAGCCCGGCCGCTACTTCTTCCACGGTAAAAACCTCGCCGTAGGGCTTGTCAATGCGCTCGATTTTGTCCGTATACCGTCCGTGCATGTCCACCGCCCGCTCGCCGAAATAACCGTTCACACAGATTAAGTGCGTGTCCCCAAACTCGGTGCAGTTTGCCACGCCGGCCTCCCACGCGGCGCACCCAGTCCCAGAGACCGGAACAGTAAACAGGTTTTGCGTTTGCCACATATACCTTTCATTATATTTCAATCTTTTAATTTGAGGCATCCATGGCGTTTATTTGCATGACTGACAGAGAACTCGATACGTCTAGTACCTTCTTCATCAGCACCACAAATTCATAATATTTTTCGATTGCCCAATAAATTTGTTCCATGCATGTTGCTATTTTCTTCACGTTGTACCTGAGCATGTGCTTGATGTCTTCCACGATGCGCATAAAATCGGCGTCCAAGTGCCCCACCTGCTGCAGCGCCATGGCGGCGTGCACGCGTGGGTGCGCATTCTGCGGCCCCGGTCCGAGTAGCAGGCGTTTCACGGGAGCCAGCTGCGGCTTCACCAATTTGGTGTCCAGAAGCGGGTTTTTCACAAAAAGGCCCATGGTTTGTTTTGCAAGGAGAATCTCACGGTTCTTTTTGTTCTTATGATTTTGTTGATCGGTGGTTTTAATATTGGTGTTCTTAGTCACATCAATTATCGGATTTTTGTAGGAGACGGACACATGAGCCGACGTAGCGCTAGCAGCCTGCCGCGTTTGGTATTGCGGAGGGACCTCAGTGGTCGGGGGTGCTTGCTTATTTTCGCTATCTGACTTCATGATTTATTTTGGACAGAAGTAAATGGAATGCAGTACTTATCAAGCACGACGAAAGAGAAAAGCAAGATGTGACAAAATCAAGATGTTCATGTTGCCATCAACACGAGGAGAAAAATCCTCACTATTAGGTGCTTGTTGTTTTCATGTGCCGTTTCAAGATGTTCAGATCGTGGCGTAGAAAAGGAAGGCGCAACTAGTAAGAAAGACCTGATAGATATGATTCGACACGGCTCGTGCTCGGTTGATGCTAATTTCGAGATCCTGATGTAGGAGCCGGCAAGGAAGTTCTTTCTGCGCGTGTTCCTGCTGGCACTGCCGTCTTGTTGCTTTTCGCAAAAAAGAAAAATCCCAACACTATACGCGCTGAACTCAGCGGCAGGTTGAGGCTCATGAATACACGTTAAAGTTTATGTTTACACAAGTAACTACTAACTTAATGTGCGCCACAAGGTTAAAGACTGTTCCTTCTAGAGCTGCCGGCGTGCAAGCTCAACTTTTGCGCGATCTTAGTAGAGGTTGTAAATGGTGGGAGGTCCTGTGATTTGATTGATACGACAACGACGGATCAAATACAATACAATTTGCTTGATACGACGGACCACAAAGTAGTAAAAGTGTGTCAATCGACGCAAGCACGAATGTTGAGATGAATCTGAGTAAAACAAGTTCTTTCGAGACAGTGAAGGTACAGAATTCATCTGCTGTCCGATGCAGTTCGTTGCACGAAAATGACGTACAACTGCAGGCTAGCATATTAGTATTACTTGAACGTAGTTTTTTATCTTGTGTGTACGTCTGGTGCTCTCAGAGTCGCGCGCCCGAGATGAACGAAGCTGCGTCATCTGTTTTTTTCGAATAAAAAACCATACCGACCTGACCTCCTCATAACGGTTACGACGCAACTGACTGCCCTTTCACTACAGGCACAGAATGAGTTGAGGGATAATTCCCTGCAAGAATCGGACGTTTTTGGTATAGGTACCACCCGATATGACGACCCACGCGGAACAGAAGATGAAGATCTTCATGGCAACGAGAAAAATAAAAGAAAGAGCAGTCAGTCAGTCGCTCTAGTACAGTGCGCTTCTCGCCTTCCTCGTGTAATCTAGTGCGCGGTCAGCCCATCGCTCGTATCTAGGGCGCGACGCGAGCAGGTTCTTCCGCGCCTCTGTCCACAGCGTTTTCCTTGTCAAGTCTTGTCAGAAGAGGGGGGCGCTTCAACCTCTAAAAGAAATCTGCAAGACAAAATATCGGGGTAAAAAGAAAGAAAAGGAAAATGACTACGCTATCTAATGGTGGTCAGCTTAATGCGACAAAAAAGGTTTTTTTGTTATAGCATTAACTGTACAGATGAAAAGAACCTTCCCGAGTCTTTTTTTAAACAAGCACGACGGACTGGAGGGGGGGCCTCAGGTTTTGTAGTCCAAAGACAAGATGGAAGTAGACCGACGACGACGATAGTGTGTGAATAAAAACCTGCGACGAAATACTGGATGGAAAACGTGAAAGTTCGAAGTTGTGACGAAAATCAATTGTGTGCTCGCTTCTTTAGGCGAGCGAGTGACTGTTGTACGTGCTAATTGAGTTCCTGAGAGTAAGTGGCTAGCACACTGTGTCTCAACAATGTGCTACCAGTACTTGACCATTGTGACGAAAATCAAAATGAGTGCAAAAAAAGCAAGTGCTTAAAAATGATGGACTGGCATCGTCGGTGCCGCAGTTCCATGAAAAAATGAAGAGAAACGTAGAAAGTACAGGTGAAACAAAAAAAGGAAATTGCAAACAAATCGGAATGAAGAAACCGACCCACTACATCTGAAGCGCTTACTTTCACCCTACCCGCGGCGGCAGTGTAGGATCAGGTTGAGGACAAGGTAGGGCGACGGAACAAGGGAATAAAGAACGACAAAGAGGAAGGGCCCATACAAAGAAATAAAAGTTTCATTTTCAATAAAATTAAAAACAAGGACAACGACAAGCGCCTCGGTGTTATAGTATCTTCTTGTTAGCCGTACTATACCATTTTTCGGGATGATGAAAAAGCCAGTTGTACTTCCCACTACATCGACCCGGTTGTAGCGTCGCAGCACGAGTTGATGTACTATAGTAGTACTCCTTCACGACTGCGACGACGTGCTCTCTTCACACTTCGCGGTCTCGCCCTCCGCCTCCGGCTTCCATTCGCACGATTGGGTCCCCGGGGTAGCAGCGCCTTCGCAGTCTTCCTGCGAAAGAAGTTTGTCGCAGGGAATCTTGCCATCGGGGAGGGTCACCCCTCCGCCCACATCGCCGCTGCATTTCGCAAGACCGGACCCAGCGTCCATGGGAATCGGTCCAGCGTCGCAACCGTAGTACTCGCACTCGACCGCGTCGCCCCACAGTGTGTTATGCGAGTTTCAACGGTTACAGCTGCAGCTGTTGTGATGCCAGAATAGTAAAAGTGCAAGGGGGGCGCTCCTTGCACTTGCGCTTCTCGCATTACCAATACCGTTGCCCGGTGGATCATCTCCATGCTATTTGACCCTTCGAAGATTTGTCATGCGAAGTGGCTTATTCATCATGTCAATGCAAATGCCGATGGTCATTTTGCATGCCAAACGATACAAAACAGCTGAGAACGCAACGCTTGAGAATCCCGTACGAGTCGCAGTTGAATTTTTGTTTCGGGAGATCGGGTATCAAATGCAAATATGTCTGGGTCGGGAAACTTCTAATGCTGAGTTGGACATAGTGAGTGCTCTACAGTAATGCACAGCCAAGCATGCGAAATATAATTTTCGTGCCTACAACAACGTGTTCGACGCGTAGGCGGTCTCTTCTTGGACACACACCACAGACTCTGCAGTCATGCCAGACAAGCATGACAAACCCTGCATCCCTCCAGACCCAGACATATTTGCAGTCGGTATCGGGAAGGGTAGCGATGAATTATCCTGTGCAAAAGTATCGTACTCGTACTAATTGGATTGCTAAAAATATGCATGGCAAATGTTATGTTCTGCCTAAGGCTAAGGTAATAAAACAGTATTACAAATTCCACTTCTCTTCTTGCCAACGTTGGTAATGCAATTACTACATATTATATTCATGCGAAAAAAGAGGTAGACAGAGGGTAAACAAGAGGTGGCCGAGAGGTCAAAAAGAGGTCAAAAGAGGTAAAAAAGAGGTCGACAGAGGTGGAGAGGTGGAGCGGGACCCCTACCTTTCGAGAGGGTCGGCGAGAGGGTGCGCGAGTATAGCCCGCCGAAGGACCCACCTTAAGGCGGCGCCTAAGTGCCTCAGAGGGTGCAGAGAGGTCAAAAAGAGGGGGCGCGAGAGGTCGACAGAGGTGGCGAGAGGTGGCGCGAATAAGGGGCGACCTCTCGCGGACCCTCACTCTTGGCCACCTCTCGGCCACCTCTGTCGACCTCTACCCGCGAGTATAGCCGGATTATTAGCGGGGACCCCCAAAAGAGGTCGAAAAGAGGGTCTGCGAGAGGTCTGCGAGAGGGTAAAACACAAAGAAGCGGGCGCGAATCCGCATGGCACTACCCATATTTGGCACTGCAGGCCATTCGCGGAGCTGTTTTGTTCGGCGCCTTTCCGCGCCACCCTCTCGCGCCACCCTCTCGCGCTACCCTCTCCCGCCGGGCGGCTTCTGTTCGCCCCCGGTGGTCTTTGCAGCTGCTCCCTGCGCAGAGCGCCCACAGGCGCGGGAAGCGCGCAAGTGGTCCTGCGGGTTGGCGCGGCGCAATATGTTTCGTTGTGCATAGGCCCGCGGGGTTGTGGTCCTATCGGCAAACAGTCTTGCCCCGGCCCAACAGCCTTGCGCTCCGGCGGCAGCCGGAGCATGGCTGGTTTATACTAGTCCGAAACTTTTGCAATGCATATGAATTGCGGCACAACAAGAGGGGCGGGAGTAACGGTAGTACTCACCGTGCACCACCCCTCGCCGGCTTCCGAAGTGAGGAAATGTCCACCGGTCTGAAGGGCAATAGAGCTTTCCGCTTCCAGTTTCAAATAGAAAAGCTCCGCGGAGCTGGTGACGTTTGCTCTAGCTGCCGCCCATTTCGTTTTCTCCATCCACATGCAGGTCGAGGCAGAGGCTCCCGCCCCCTTATGAGAGCGCACAACGAAGAACAAGAACCTGAACCCCCCCGCCCTCCCTCATTTCTTAATAATGTCCTGCATTTTGAAATACCAAATCCACAGCTACTTTCCTGTAGGTTTACGTTTACTTTAGGCTCTGTCGTGTGCATAAAAAATTTCGGAACCTGCAGGTGCAGCTCAAACAGTATTACAATCTGTGTGCGGAAAATGAGTCCTGCTCATGCGGAGGCCACGTTCTACTTTCATCTCGCGCTGCAGCTTGTGTAGTTCTCCTTGCTGCGCGTGCTGCCCTTCAAATCGGCGGGGAGGAGTAAAAAGTTCAAGAACGTCGTGCACTCTCATACTGATCGCAGGCTGGCCGTACCTTGTTGGCAACACCATCCAGAGGTCTTTCCGTCTTCTCGAGACGCCGACATCCCGCCCACGCATCATCCACCCAGCTTTTGCAGTCCCCCGGGTAAAAGCCCTCACCATGGTAAGGTTCGTCAAACCAGCACTCCTTGGGATCCGCTAGTATGCATTGCAAATATGTCTGGGTCTGGAACGATGCAAGGAGGTTTGTCGTGCTTGTCTGGCATCATGGTACGGTATGGTTAGACTAGAAAGAGGGTCTGTGATGTTGCGTGAGCGTGATGTACAGGGGCGGACGCTTTTGCGTGTCATGCGGAAAACCAATTGTGTGCTCGCTTCTTCAGGCGAGCGAGTTACTGTCAAAACCAAAACGCAACACTGAGTGGTCGCGCATATAAATATTTTATACTTATTTATTTCTCACACGGCTTGGCCGTGCATTTTCTTCACTGACACTGTTCAGAAGCTGCAGAAGCAGAATTCAGTATTACAAGTTTCCAGACCCTCACTCGGACATATTTGCAGTGCATAGCGAGGCATGCCTTTCCAAGTGCTTCCTTCTCTTCCGAGCTTGACTCCGCTGTCAGGGGTGCCACGTGCTGGATCTTTTTCTGGCACGCGCATATGCTTTGTAAATAAAACGGTCCCACCGCCCTAGCAGACTTGTCATGCCAATTTGCATCCTCATGATATTTCTCATGTAGCTCGACGCCATGAGTGGCATTTTCTACTTGTCCTTGTGTTTAAGAGTGATCTCCTGTTGTAAAAGTGCGGTAATCTTCCATATTTGCCGCCGCTTTGGCATAAAGGCATCGGATCTGTGTTGAGGCAGAGGCGTCTGGACTCACTACAACCAGCAACGCACGACTACACTGCAATGAATATCAAACCCAAGCTTTTTTTTATACATAAGTACGGTGTGCCAAAACTACTTGTTCTGGCCCTCCTGTCTTGCAGAATTATGTCCATCCTGACTTTGGGAAGCAGCCAGGTGGAGGTGGGAACGTTTTTACTCCAGATAGCAGTCGGTCCAGAATCTCCGAAAGAGCGATCCGGATGAATTTGACTTTCCGACGAGTCAACCGCTCCAGGGGAACACTCGAGGAGGGTAGTTGAGAACTCGCTGCCGTCAACAGAAGTAACTGCCGTGCTGTTCGTCCCCCCACAGCCGGCAGCATCTTTTTTGCCATCTTGCGCGCTTTTTGTCATCTTGTTGATCATGCCACCTTCGAGTAGAACAGAACTAGTACGCCGAAGTTGCGCGTCTTCTGCCTCATCTGCCCCCGGAGGACCCCGACCCGCTGCTGCGCTCCTTTGCAGCTTGAATAACGCTGTATTTTCATGGCCGCGATAGTTGGTTTTCTTTGCCGCCAGCGGCATCTTTCCCCCAACCGAAACGCCGACAGCACCAGAAATCTTCACGATAGCCACAGCCGCCGAAATAGATTTTTGAGGAACACCAGGACCACGCCCCATGTTTGCGTTCCTCCTGGTACTAGGTGATGATGTTGTTCTGCGTTTTGGAGAGGAAGGGTAGTGGTTCTATTCTTCGTTCCACTTTAGAGGTTGTGGAGAGTTAGTACTAGGGGACGGGGATGAAAAATTGCACCGCAGTAGTTTTCCCTTTCTACAACTTGTTCAGCAGGCTAAAAATCAAGGCATGGTCAGCTTCAGGTGCCGTAGAAGTAGAGGTGATAAACAAATTTGCGTGATGCTGCTTTCAGCAAGAACGACGTGGGGGCCTGTCTAGAAGTTGAGAAGAATCTATCATGGTGACAACTATCGTCTTGAGACGAAACTATCATGGCTCTACTGCATGATCTCCCACCGGACATTCACGGTCACGGTGTGACATCAAATTACGCGTGATCATAAGTTGTAGTGCTGCCTAGTACACCTAAAAATTTTTCAGTACGCAAGAACAACGATGGACGATTTATATAAGTACTCATTTTGTTGTGATTTAGTACTTCTTTATTGGATTGTGTACGAGGACTCCTCACGATTTATTTCATGGCCGCGTTCATGTCTCACTTCATTTCGTTTCTTTTCAACGTGCGAGCATCTACTTGTGGCGCACGAATTAAGTCATTAGTTCCCGGGACAGAGACAGAAATCTGTAAAAACAACGACGACAACGAACTACGACACGTTTCTTTATGTTGATAGCATTTGAACGAAACCGAGACCACCCTAGGAAGCTTCCTTACTTTCATCCAGGATGAAAGATGACGATGAAATGTTGACGCAGTAAAACAGCTTTCTATTCATCAATTTCGCTGGAACAAATTACTAAAACTGCTCGACGTTTTTATTTTTGCGTACTTGTATAATCATTCTTCAATACTTCTTTTTTGTAAGTACTTTTCCGAGGACTCAAGGTGCGGAGGGGGCGGGTACGAGTTGGAAACTGTAGTTTTTTCTTCTACTGCTTGATGCTATGGAAGCAGGCAGGTGGTCTATCATGTCCTCGTGAAGATGATCAACATCTTCGAAGAACCGGGGCGGTGGGGAAGCTAAGGTAAAGGAACCACTTCTACCGCAGGTCGTGTTATGTAGAAGTTGTCACAACATATTTTGCAGCTTTGCGGCAGTAGTTTTGGATAAGCTACTGCGTTTGTCGCGTTGTTGTGTAGAAAAAAGTAAAAGATGTAGTACATATGAAGGGGCGAATAAAGCGCGGGTGTAAGAGCGACCAGGACGTGTTCCTTTGTGATTTCCAGTTATACTTCCAAGCGAATGGAGGAGTGCTCCGTGTACTGTGGTGCAAAACTTGCTAGTTGCTGTAAGAGAGTCTGAGTCTATCCGTGAATGAATATTTTCAGCGAATTTATGTTTATCATCCCAGTTCACCAGCCATTCACATTTTTATACTTTAACTTTTCACCTTATACAACCATATCAACTGCAAAAGTATCGTACTCGTAGATATTGCAATACTGCATGACAAATCTTCTGTTTTACCTGAATCAGCATGACAAATTCCACTCTTTTTTCTGGGCAAATTTGTAATGCAATCCATACTAGTACGATACTTTTGCAATGCATAAACCAATACTAGGCCGCACAACTTTTTACTTCTCACTGAGCGCCACCACGCCCGGGAGCGCCTTGCCCTCCAAGAGCTCCAGACTCGCGCCGCCTCCAGTGCTCACGTGCGAGATCTATCCTGAGTAAAAACGTCCCCAAACCAGAGTCAAGAGGCGAAATCTGCTACACAAGTCCACCAGTTTTGGTTGTTTCGCATGACAAGTTTGTCTTTGTAGTGTAGTCCTCGATTTAGCTAGTTCAGAAGCATCACAGATCCAGCATATCACGCTGATTCTAGCATCACAAATTGTTCCCAAATTTGAATAGAGAATGCTTCTCATGGGGCTCCGCATGAGAAACGTTTTTGGCATGCAGATTTGCAGGACAACTCTGGGGTGGAGACGTTTTTACTCAGAATAAGATCTCTGCGGCCTTCCCCGCGTTTTCCACCAGACTTGCGGTGTCTTATGCTGTGCAAAAGTCCTATCGCACTCGTAGTAAAAGTAATCACAATGATGCATGACAAAAGAGAAATCTCTTACCTGAGGTAGTGGTAATAAAAAAATCAGCAATACAACAAATTTCATTTTTCCATTAGAAAATCTTTTTATGCGGCCTTTACTACTAGTACGAAGATATACTTTTGCAATGCATATGTCACCACCCCCAACGATGCTGATAGCGCCAGACTTGGTTGCTTCGATCACCGCATCCAGACAGGAGAGACTGCCCTTCGCAAACTTCTCGAACTCGAACACGCCTTTATCCTATGTAAAAACGTCCCCACGAGTTCCCCATAGCTGAAATGCAAATTATCTGCGTGCTGAAAATGTTTGTTCTCATGTGGAGCCGGCCCAAGAAAGGCGCTTACATTTTCTAGTCGTGTGACGGAATTTGTGATGCTCCAATCAGCGCGACGTGCTAGATCTGTGATGCCGCTGAGCTACTTGGACTTGGAAGGATCGAGTTTTGGGCGTCTATCTGCCCAAAAACTCGGACTCGAAACTGAAGCCACAGGAGTGGCAGCTGAACAGGACGACACTACGAGGTCGTTAGATTTGTCATGTGGAACAACCAAACCTTGTTGATTTGTCTAGCAGATTTCCCATCTTGACTATGGGGTAGGGACGTTTTTACCGAGGATAGCCTTGCGGGCCGTTCCACAGGATCGTCTTTGCCTCCATGATCAGCTCCTTGTTCTTCTTCATGGATATCCTGCGTAAAAGTATCGCACTCGTAGTGATTGCACTCATGCATTACAAATTTTTTTCTCAAGGTAAATCCGCATGACAAATTTAATTATTATTTCTCACGCTGAGAGAATAATTATAATTTGTCATGCATTTATACGAGTACGATACTTTTGCAGTTCATAATGGACTCAGGGCCGCAATCCAGGCCCATGTAATTTTCCGGGATGCCGCTGCCGCCCAGGGTTTTCTATCAAGAAGAAAAATCGAAATCCCGCCTCCCCATATAATCAGAACGGAAAAATCTGTGATGCGGATTCGAAGCGGAGGCGCATGCAAGGCCTGTGTAGGTTTCTAGAGGTATACCCTAGCTCTTCTTCAGCATGATACTAGATGTTGCTGCCGTACGTAGGCTAAAACGCATCACAGAATGCCTGCTCAGTGCGTCGCCTCGCTGTTCCTTCCCAAGTATGCAAAAATACAGCGGCATTTGCGTACTAGTACTACACAAATTAGCAACGCAAATTCATCTCTTGTGGTGAATTTTCGATATAATGGAGAAGCGGTTTTTTTCACTTTGATACTTTCTCATCCTTGGCCTCCACCGTCTCGGCGTCGGCCGCAAACTTGTCGGCTGTGGGAGAAAAAAACTGCGTATAGTGTAAGTCTGTCATCTCATGCAAATCATCTTGCAACACAATTACAAATGTCATGCTGGCCACCCATCATGTCCTGTCTTTGGGCGTGTTTTCAACACTCGTGCTAGCCGCGCACGAAACAATCAAATTTTCCCTATCATGCAGAACAAATTTGTGATGCTGTTAGTACAACAACCCCAAGACGTTTACACTAACACAGCCTTTTTCTCGGATATCGGCGCAAAGGTAGTCGATGGGAATCTGGATTTATCGCGAGAAAAAACTGTCGCAGTTTCAAGAACTTGTAAAAAATGTGCAAGAACTCCCATCAGACAGTTTTTTCATGTCACGCTGGAGATGCAAGGAATGCGAGTCTTTCCTTATGTCATGTGGTTTGTTGTTGTCTGAACGCATCCCAGATTTTTTTTTGTCTAAATAACGCAATAAACTTGTCAGTATTGCTGAGTCTACTTCTGCAGGGGTTTGAGACTGAGACAGTTTTTTCTTGGGATAGGATTTTCACGTTTTTTGCCTTGGCCTTCTCCATAATCTCGGGGACAATCTTCGCGCCCTCCTCGTCATACAAAGAGGTGCCTGAGAAGTGCGGGTTTTTTTGTTCTTGTTTCCAGGTGGTAAACGGAAGAATCACTCTTCTGTATTATATATTTTCATATGCGTTGTCGGCAATGTCAAAAGAACGAGCTAAATTGTTGTTCCACGAGGGTTGGGCGCGTAATCAAGCATGTTTGCGTAATCTTCTATCAAATCATTGCACCGATGCTCATGCCCTCCAGCACTTTTTTGAAGGTGTAGGCCATGCCGCCGCCAATGATCATCATGTCCACTTTGTCCAAGAGGTTCATGTATCAAATGTAAAAATGTCTGGGTCAGGAAGATTGCGAGATTTGTCATGCATATTTCGGATCACGCAAATGGCGTCTGATGCAGGCAAAAGCATCACAGGTTTTGAGCACGCCTCATGATACCTCTCCCGCATGAGAAACTTCCTACTTGCGTGCCAAGAAATGGACAAGTTTTGGCGCTCATGCAACACAAATTTTTGCGTGTTCCAGAGTTTGCATCACAAGTTCCAACCCTTCCAGACCCAGACATTTTTACATTTGATATCATGATCAGCTGGATCTTGTCCTTCACCTTGGCGCCGCCCAAAATCGACAGAAAAGGCCGCTGCGGCTCCTCCAGGGCCTGCGGTAGAATTTTTTTAATTTTATGCCGTTCGATTACAATTTCATCTGAGAATCTTCCAGTACTCTAGCTCTTCTTCTTCAACAAGTCTGTACTAGTATTAATTAATATCACAGTTGTTTGCATTCGTTTTCGTACTATTTAAACGCATGACAGATCCAGTATAGCACCTACACTGAGGAATTCAGGTGTTCTTGCCACGGAAAAGTCAAAACCATCGGTCAGTGAGGTGTTCATGAGGTGCTGGTCGTGTACTAGTATTGATGAATTTATTCTGCTCGGCGTATCGTGTACTAGTATCGTGTACTCGTATTAATTTATTGCTTAGTCTGCCTCGAAACATCATGAGAAATAATTTCGATATTCATTGTGTAGAAGTACCTTTGCGAAGTAATCCAGCTCTTTCTTCATGAGTAGGCCCGCTGCTTTGATTTCGATCTATCAACTGCAAACGCGTATTGAGTCTGGGTCTAAATCTGCAAGAAAGCCGCACAAAGAGGCTGCTGTCGTCAACTTATTTCGCTGGTGCAACGTGCAAATAATTGCGGATTCTGGGCGGGAGCGAGTGCGAGCTTCTTAGCACTGAATTTATACAAGTCTAGTACTTCATTCTTGCAGTCGGCTGACGAGACTACAAAATCGTTTGCAATTGATACGCACTGCACGCCGACCATAGAGGAGTGCGCTCGGTGAGCGGTGCCAAATGCGTCGTTGATGTAGATGTCAGCGTAGGATGAGAGTCCGTTTCGGAACCGAATCACGGCAAAAAGTTCATCTTCTTCAACACCACCAAGCGCGAAAGACAGCTGGGCTTCTAGAAGAGGCCTATACTTCTACTGCCGGAACTTGTTGAAAACGGAGCTGTAAAAATTGTTCGCAGCAAAAGTAAATTGTAGAACATATTTTTCGCCCATTCTCCGAGAGGGCAGCTACGGATGAGCCGCGCGAAAATGAATCATGCATAGTTGTTATAATTGACGGCCATGATACAACCACTTCGAGCAAGTACCACTTCCGTAGCGCAAGAACATCATATGATGCACAACTACATTCTGGACTGATTTAGATTGCTAATATTTGTTTGAGTTCTTATTGCAAGAATTGTGTTCCGTTCTTTCTTGCGTTGGAGTTTTTCTGATGAGCTTTTCCGCCGGCGTAAACTTTTCCACGTCCTCACTGGAAGCCTTGATTTTGTTCCCGTCCGCGTCGACCTGTTGTTCAGCATTGGGATTCTCTTGTATGTGATCATCTTCCTTACATGCGATTGTGTTCGTCCCCTTCTATCTTCACAACAACTTGTAGGGACCAAATGCAAGAACATGTCCGGCGCGTACAAGTGCAACGACCGTACGAAGAACTAAAGATAGATTACAGTTTCAAAGGTGCAACGCGAACATTATGTTAAGGGGAGTTGGAGTTAAGGTTAAGCTTAAGCAAGCATCCAAATCCATATTGATAGTCATATCTACAATTTTATCGCAAGACTCACGAATAGTTCAATTTCGTGAATAGTTCAAATTGAATAGCTCAACTTCGTGAATAGTTCAAATTGAATAGTTCAATTTCGCGAATAGTTCAAATTGAATAGTTCAATTTCATGAATAATTCAAATTTAATAACTCAATTTCAACTCAATCTCAAATCTCAATCTGAGTCACAATCTGAATCTTAAATCTTCCTACCTCGATCTCAAATCTTAAGAAATCTTAAATCGATCTAAGATGATCTATCAAATCTTATTCCAATCTCAAATCTTTTTTCAATCTCATATCTTAAAAAATCTTAACTATCAAATCTTATCTCAATCTCAAATTTTAAAAAAATCTTAAATCTTAAACTCATCGCAGGCCATCTATGAAATCTTATTTCAGTCTCATAATCTCAAATCTTAAGTATCGGATCTCAATCTCAAATCTTAAAATACGGGTGGGGGGGGGGGGGGGGGGGGGGGGGGGCCCCCCCGCACTAAGAAAATCATAACGCGACAACCTGTTTGAAGACTGAATACTCCTGCCAAGAATTTTTTTTTTTTGATCTTTGTTGTTTTTCAATGAAGATGTTACGAATGATCCTCTTGATGCAAGAAGTCCAAACCTGTATTTGTATACCGCCCAGGGAGGCGGAGACTTCACACAACAACAAAAGTAGATAAACCGCAGAC